CATTTGAACTGTACAGGAACATTTGAACTGTACAGGAACATTTGAACTGTACAGGAACATTTGAACTGTACAGGAACATTTGAACTGTTCTGGAAATATCTGAAAACATACTCGAGGAAGCCGATTGGCAGTGCATCGTTAGTGAAGGAAAAGAAACGGGAAGGGCTTGAGTTATATATTAGCGGCGAGCCTTAGCATACCAGGTAGGCACATATGGGCACAAAGGGCATCGAGGGATGGGAAAAGCAATCATCTAACATTCAACATTCTACCATTCTACCAAGCATTGTGCTCTCATCAGAGATTACACAGGTCTCACTCAGTCTTGTTGACCCAGGCCGATTCATATGTTTTTTTGTACTTTGTCTTCCTTTGCTGCACCAGACTGGTCAGTTTTCCAGGAGGCCTTGCTAGACTATCTAGGGGATTGGGTCTCATGTTATTGTGCTGATGGTGATGGTGATGGTGATGGTCGGGCCTGTGTCTTGACAGTCTTGACAGGCCCCCTTTTGGGCTGACGACCGAGACCCAGTCCACAGAGTCTGTTACCACCTACGGTATTCCTAGTACCTACCACCTCAATACTGGTCACCAGCCAGTGATGAGTGATGAGTAATGAGTGATGGATGACGGCCCAACCCAACCCAACCCCCGCGAGCCACTCTCCACTCTCCACTCTGCAATGCCTCCCTCATGCCATCATGTCGGGGTCAAGTGTCAAGTTACCAGTTACCCCAATCCCCAACTCCCAATTCCACCACCGCACTACGACCATGACCGTCGAATTCGTTTCGGATCGGAACAGCCCCAGACTCTTAGGGTTATGTGTTCGAGACCCAGCAACTCTCGATCATAGATGGCGTTTCCTGGAGAATGTCGCATCGCCTCCTTCCAGCTGCTGACCTTCTGGTTCGAAACTCGTCCTTCCAGCTGCTTGCCTTCTAATTTGTAACTCGAACCCCGAATGAGTTTGTCTGTGTGCCGCTTCAGCACCTACATATTACGCCTCGAACCCCGAACGAGTTTGTCTTTGTGCAGCTTCAACTAGACATACATATTACGCATCGAGTCCCTCGCGGCCGCCATGGATGTGTCGAAAATCTCAGGACTCGGCTTTATAGGGCTGGGGGCCATGGGACTTCCCATGGCCGGCCACCTCGCAGCCAAACTGCCCGAACATATCAAGGTGTTTGTGTACGACATCAACCCGGCCAGCGTGGACCAACTACAGCAGGAATATCCGAACAGAATAGTCAAGGGTGCGAGCGCAAAGGACGTGGCAGACAAATCGGTTAGCACTCATTCATCAGCTTCTACTTTGGACAGAATCAAACCCAAACCCTTCTACCTTTGACGGAATTCAATCCAACCCCTATCCACGGCTTCTACTTTTGACAGAATCAAACCCAACCCTATCCACTACGGCTGACAGATCTATGACTACAGGACATTATCCTCACCATGCTACCCGAAGGAAAACACGTTCGTGCCGTCTACATGGAGGGCGGCGCGGACGCGGATACGATAAGCGCGAGCGACGTGTCGGGCAAACTCTTGATTGACTGCTCGACCATCGACACGGCCAGCAGCCTCGCGGTGAAGGAGCACATGTCGAACAAGTGGCCGACCACGTCCTTCTACGACGCGCCCGTCAGCGGCGGCGTGGTGGGTGCGCAGAAAGGCACGATCGCCTTCTTTCTCGGCTGTGACGACGGCGACACCAATCTGCCCTTCCTCACGCAGCTATTGAAGCTCATGGGCCAACATGTCATCACGTGCGGCGGCCCGTCCAAAGGCCTGGCGGCCAAGTTGTCCAACAACTACTTGTCCGGCACCATTGCCATCGCCGTGTCCGAGGCCATGGACATGGGCATGCGCTCCGGGCTGGATCCGCGCGTGCTGGCCAAGGTCTTCGCCGCCGGCACGGGGCAGAATACCGTGTGCGACAAGTTCTGTCCCGTGCCCGGCGTGGTCCCTGAAGCCCCGTCGTCCAAGGGCTACACCAACGGGTTCAAGGTGCAGTTGATGCGCAAGGACTTTGCGCTGGCTTTGGACATGGCTGAGCGTGTAGGTGCACGAAATGTGCTGGGTCCTGCTGGTTTGGCCACCTACGATGGCGCCAGCAATGATCCTCGCTGCAGGGACCTCGATTCCAGAGTCGTCTTTCGCTATCTAGGAGGCAATGAGGACTGGCAGAAGACAAATGTACGGTGAAGAGTTATTGTCAGATGCAGATGACGATGTCAGTGACAGATGTTAGATGTCAGACATTGTTCTTGAATAGAGATGAATACAGATAGGATTTACTCAACGTGGCGAATGTTGTCCTGCCATCTCTCATTCATTCCCGTACATCGTATGATCATGTTGTCATATCATTATAATATCATATCATAGGAACGGCGTACATTAGAGAGATAGAGACAGAATCGAACGATGAATACGTCAACACAACATCTGTGCTGTGAGGTTCGTCTCTCTGTCTCTCTTTGAATCTGTTAAAGGTCGAAATGTTCCATGTTCTCTATCAGAAGGTCGCAGGGAGATCGCAGGGAGATCGCAGGCTACATAGTATGGTGTAGTATGGCCTAAACCAGCCTTCTGGTTAAAGAACAAGGCTGGGAATGCGCCCAAGTTTGACAGAATCATCCCTCCACCACGTCCATCCGTCCGCACCTAGAATACTACAGTACGCCAGAACTATGTGTAATGTCCAACGTCCAATGTGCAGTATGCATACAGTATAGTAGTACAGTAGTCCAAGCCCAGCCGCGTACAGTGTGTACAGGTACAGTATATAAGTACATACAGTAGGCCTAGGGTAGGTAGGTATATACAGTACATAAGTACATAGGCCTAGGGTAGGTTAGTAGGTATATACAAGTATATAGGTAGGGTTAGGGTTAGGGTTAGGGCTAGGTTAAATTACTGTACTGTATGTACCTAAGGTATATCTAATACTCCCTACAGTACGGAATACGTACCCCCCATCGCCGTCGTCGTCGCCGTTGCCGTCGTCCCCAAGTCCCCTCACATCCACCTCCACATCCACCACCGGAAATGCCCTGCCACCTGCATTGCACTACATTGCATTATATTGGAGAATCGCCGGATCGGATTTGGGAGGTGGGAGGTGAGATAGGAGGTAAAGGTGGAGGTGGATGTGAGGTGGGAGTTGGAGAAACAAAGGGCTCAGGTTCAGGCTTAGATTGAGAATGAGGATGAGAATGCGGACGAGGATGAGGATGAGGGGACCAAGCTTGGCCTTTGACTGCAGTACAGCGTGTCTCTCACATACACGTACAAGTACACGAGGTCAGCCGTAGCCCACATGAACTGGTGTGTTGGGGTGGATGTGGAGGTGGAGAAGAAAGAGCAAGAGGAAGAGAAAGAGGAAAGATGGGGGAAAGCGAGGGGGAGGAGGGACGTCAATCACTCCAACACCAACACCGGCACCGGCACTGTATGCTCTGCTCTGCTCTACTCTACTCTACTCTATCTCTGTCTCTGTCTGTCTGCTATGTGGAGTAAGACTCGGTAGGTCAGGTTGGTAGGTATATACTGTGCCTTGTACCAGGTAGTTAGGTAGGTAGTTACAGTAGTAAGTAAGGTAGGTACATAGGTACTGATCCGTACTCCACACGCATATATACAGCCCCTATAGTATAGTATAGTATAGTAAATATGACGAATCCCCAGACCGAATTCCGTCGGGGGTCGTCTCGTCTCGTTTCGGAGAGAGGAGAGCAGCGAGCGGAGATGAACATGAAGATGGAAATTGGAGCTGTGGTTTCTTTTGTATTCGATTTGAGGGCTGGTTTTTGTTCGTTTCCTTTCTGGTTTCTTTCTCGTTTCTTGAACCCCTCGACCGATCTATCTAATCTCTTTCTGTCTGTGTACGTGTGTGTCCAGCCTTGCTTCTTGATTTTCAATTCCTTGATCGAGTTCCGAATAGTATAAACTGCTACTGCTATTGCACCTGATACTGCTACTGCTACTGCTACTGCTACTGCAAACTACCAGCCAGCCAGCCAGCTAGCCAGCCTGTCGAGCCGAAGCTGCTGAGGGAAGAGACAAAGATAAAAACAAGACAAGACAAAGAAGGCCTCTAATCCCAAGGAAAGAATAGAAGCCCTCCAATCCTAAACAGACACCACGAACAGACACCACGAACAGACACCACGAACAGACACCACTAACAGACACCACGAACAAGCGAAGAGATAGTCTTAGACGCTTCACCCTCCAAGAAATAGAGAAGAAAAAATGTCCGACTCCTCCACGCCCGCACCCAAATCGTCAACCGACCCGTCCCTCCGACCGCTCCACCAAGCCCTCTTCGACGCTGGACTCGCCACGCGCCGCGCCGTCGTCGGCGACGTCTACGTCGACCGCGCCCTGGCCAATGGGTCGACGGAATTCTCGCGGCCCGGCCAGGAGCTGGTGACCGAGTGGTGCTGGGGATACGCGTGGACACGACCGGGACTGGCGCGTCGCGACCGTTCGCTACTGAATATCGGCATGCTGATGGCGTTGAACCGCGGCCCCGAACTGGCCGTGCATGTGCGCGGCGCTAGACGCAATGGCCTCTCCGAGACGGAAATCCGCGAGGCCATCCTGCACGCCACTACGTACTGCGGCGTGCCGGCTGGTGTCGATGCCATGAAGGTCGCAGAGAAGGTGTTGGATGATATGGCTGCCAGTGGGGAACTGCCTCGCGAATTGGGCGGTAAGAGTCCAGATGCGTGAGGGTAAAAAATTAAGTATAAGGGCGAGGGTGAGGGTGAGGGTGAGAAGGAGGGGTGAGAGAATAAGCATAAGGGCGAGGGAGAGGGTGAGAAGGAGAGAGAGGGAGAGGGTGAGATGGTGAGCATGAGGATGGGCATAAGGATGGGTATGAGGGTGAGGGCGAGCGTAAGGGCAAGAGAGGTTGAGAATGAGACGATAAGGGTAGGGTGAGGGTGGGTGAGCATAAACACGAGCAGGAGCAGAAGCATCACCATCACCATCACCATCACCATCACCATCACCATCAGTCCGCATAGAGAGCAACGTAAGGAGCAGTATAGGAGTTGTCAACGTAAGGTGGATAGATGTAGGCACGCGGCGGGCAGGGGAAAATCATTCTCGTTGTCCTGGGAATTGTGGTTGTGGTTTTGTGTCTCCGTGGTCAAACACTCCGCGGTAGTACGACAGTGCAATACGGCGGAGCATTGTCAAAATACTTACAAGTATACTTAAGGACCTACAAATAAGGCGGACATTGTCCGACCCTGATTATAGAGCTACAAGAATACTAGGCAGTTAAAGTACGAGTATAATAGACAGTATGTACTATATACTCCCCATCTGGGCCTGGCACTGGCATATGTAGATAGGGTCCACCACGTATGATCCAATCCTTATGAACGATCGTATAGCACCTCCACAGGCGGAGCCAACATGTCTACAGATGGTGCCAAACAAGACTTCACTTACAGTGGTCGGACGGCATGAGACAACACATTCGACATCTAACACCCAATCTAAACTTCAAAGAACTTGGTGACTACACTCGGCCTCCGCTCGATCCGACTGGCGCGACGCTCTTCAACATTCTTGGCGTCGTTGGCCGCGATGATGTCCTCGCCCGTCTCTGGGTGATCCATGATGGACTCGGTGTGCGGGAAGAAGCGATTGAAGAGCCAGTAGAAGACGCCGGCGGCGACAAATGAGTACATGTAGCCGATGGCAAACCTGTCCGCGAGGTGGGTTGTTAGCATGTGGCTCTTCCGACGACCGATTGTTTGCGCTCCACGTTAACTAGCTAGCCAAGCTCTTCGACGAGCAAGGTAGCTTGCGGGGGAAAAAAGAAAGGAAGAGAAAGGGGTGAACTTACAGGTGCTGACCGCCCAAAGAGACGCTGGTCTTGCCATTGCCCGCCTTGACGATGTTGTCGACGAAACCCGGAAGCGGGGGAATGCAGCCGATGAAGAAAGCGACGACGGCGCGCCAGTTGCTGCCAAATTTGGGCGAGTAGCGGTACATGCCGTGGAAGTTGTACATGTCGGGGACGGACACGTTCCCGCGTCGGACAATGTAGTAGCTGCGGCACAGATTAGTGGTTATGAACGTGGTAGGGAGGTGCCCAAGGCCAAGGGACCTAGGCGGGATTGCCGAGAGACGTACTCGGTCATGAGAATAGAGGTCATGGGACCCAGGAAAATGGTGTAGCCGCCGAGGAAAGCAAGGAACTTGGCAGCCGATGCGAGGATTTTCCACTGCGGGTGTGGTCAGCGAGCGGGACAACAGCCAAAGGCAACAAGGGCAGACCTGGGTTGACTTACCGGAACAAAGCCCCAGCTACCAATGACGGCAGCAAGCAGTTGACCACGGCGGATGTTGATGTACTTGGGACAGAAAGCCATGAGGTCGTTGGCCGCGCTGATGGAGTTGGCCGAGATGTTGATACCGAGGGTGACGATGAGCAGGCCGATGGCACCAAAGGCGGCAGCAGCGCGACCGCCGTGGGAGCCAGATTCCATCCAGAGTCCGACGATCTCGATGGGATTCCAGATGACTCGGCCATATGCCGTCTGAGAGGATGCGGCGGTGAAGATGCCCAGCAGGCCAACAATGGCTGTAAATTCCGATTAGCAAGATGGACAGAGCTCGGACCAGCCGGGGAACTCACTGAAGATGCCAGGGATGACGATGGCTTGCACGTTCTGTGCGCTAGGTTTGTTCGAGTACCTCGAAAAGTCGGCGATGTTCAGGCCCAGGGTGGCGTAGTTGCCCAAGACGCCGTTGAGATCTGCAAGAGGGCGTCTGATTAGAGAGAAACCAAGCAAGAGATGATGCTGCCGGGACTTACTGCTGAAAAAGGCCCAAGCGAGCGCCGAACCGTGCAGGGTGGTGCCCTGAGTGATGACGGTACTGTGGCTGATGGTGCCACCGGCCTTGTGCAAGGTGGAACCGAAAACGGCCAAGAAAATGATGGGTGCAATCACGCTCTTGAAGGCGAAGAAGTATTGCACCTTGGTGTAAGGAATGCAAAGGAAGGGCAGCTGAAGCAGGAAGTAGAGCACAAAGCCACACATGCCGGCGGTGGTGATGCCTTCGCTCGCGGGAATGTGATTGGGGATCCTGGCAAAGCTTGGCCAGATGGCTGTGAGCAAGACAGTCATGCATTGACCGCCCGTCGTGGTTTGGACACTAAACAGCGACAGGAGGTTAGCCTGGTGAGTTGATGGAGTGACGGAGTGACGGAGTGACGGGGTGATGCAAATGATAGATTACTCACCCGAGCCACACAATGGCGAGCACGCAGCGGGACAGGACGACAAAGTAGCTGAACCAGTAGCCAAAAGGCATGCGTGCGAGGACGGGAAAGGGCGTGTGAAGCTATTCCATGACCATGTCAACCCAGCTCAGCTTTTCTTTTTGCAGGACACAACTCACAATGGCGCCTATTCTACCATTGGTTGTGATGACGAGGCCCATGAGGAAATTGCCCAGAACGCAGGCACCGATGGCCATTCTCCAGCTGAGGCCGACGGCGATGATGGAAGAAGCTGTGCCACACACGAAAATCAGCACCGCTCCGCTGCGCACTCTCGTCGACCCAATAGACGAGACGGATGACAGGGCACTCACCGACTTCCCAGTTCGAGACAGCCCAGGCGTCGGCCATCCAGTAGGCGACATAGGCACCCCAGTTCCAGACACGCTTGGACGGCGGGATGGGATCGAAGTCGGCATTGGAGGCGTTCTTGCTAGCGGCAAAGCTGCTCTCCTCTTGTCGCACCTCAAGGCTGAACGCGGGCAGACGTCGCCTGAAGTTGGACACGCGACCAACTTCGACTGGCTCGACGGCCGAGGTGTTCTTCTCATCGCGAGAGATTTTGTCGTCGGGGGACGACATGGCTGGGGTCTGGGGTCGAAGGCCGATGGTCGAGGGTCGAGGTGGTGAGTTGGGACAGGACAAAATTAAGGAAAGATACAGATACAGGTACAGGTACAGAGATACAGATGCTTTGAGGGCGTGAGAGGAAAAAGGGAGAAGGGAAGGCAAAGCAAGGCAAGACAAATCCGAGATATGAGGGATGAGGGATTGGGATGCAGTACTTTACTATAGGCATCGCAGGGTCGTTATGACGTGAAATGAAGACTCGATGAAAACTTGTCATGGCTACTGATAAGAAGCATTAGATCTTCGCCTAGTGGCGCCGTAGGGTTTGGCCCGCCTGTCAAGGCCACGACCGTCGTTGCTTTTCCGGGGGCTGACAGGCCTAAACCAGGACTGGGGGGAGGGGAGCGGGACCAGTAGATAAGAGTGACAGAACCTATGACAGGGGGCTGCTTGAACCTACGGGCACCCACAGGGACCTACAGGCATGCTGCTGTAGCATCGGGGGTGGGGTAGATGAGCCCTAGCCTCCAGATAGCCTTCAGGTAGCCTCCAGGTAGCCTGTAGGGAACCTCTCGGGAACCCCTAGGGCGCCTCTAGGTCCGCAGCAGTAATCCCAGGCGTGAACTTGCTTCTTCCCCGAGTTTGGTTGTTATCGTGCCAGTGATGCTGCACGCGATGGTGTCAGTGCCTGGCCTGGCAAGATACGGAGAACATATACGTAGAATTGCACCTTACTACTTGCTACGTGGACGTCTGTCCGAGATAAGCGAGAGCAACGAGATAGGTCGACTTGACAAAAGAACAGCTCGTCTTGTCCCAAGTCTGCCTATCAACAGTTTTCTTTTGATTCGATCGAGTTGCGATAGCCGATCTCGAACTCGAAGGGTATCTTGCCGAGCGGGCCACAGAGAATGGAGGATGGAGGACGCATAGCCGTATCTTGCATGGGCACCACGTTTTCAGAAGCCTTGATACTCACCTGCCGGTAGTGTGTAGTATGTACGGAGGACAGAGCTATACTACACTATATACGGAGCACCTCGTGGCACAACTCAACCAGGTCAGCTCCTCCAGTATGGAGTATGAGGTGGTATCTACATTTGGGTCCCCAATCCAATCTTCATTAGCAACAATCACTACTCCATCACTCCGGTCTAGACTCTGTACGGAGGTACTCTCTACTCTGGACTGAATAGCTCCAAGCTCGCCGGGGAAGACCGGGTCCTTGTCTCCGAGCATATCTACTGTATCTCCGACCTGTTGCCTCAGGCTCTGCGACGGAGTACGGAGTACTCCGGCCTGTTGCCACACTCTGTTGCCACACTCTGAATTCTGGATTCTGGATTGACGCTGGGTCCACGGTCACGGTGGTGGCGGGTGACGGCAAATCTCGAGCTTACCTGATATACGTACTGCAAGATCCTCTGGTCTCTGGTCACTGGGGATTGCTATGGCTGCCACTGGACTGCCTCGCCTCACGTCAGATTGGAGCTTAAGCGTGGGCATTAGCATTCTCAATGTCACTACGGTACTCCAGAGCCAGCATCAGCCTTGACTGTTGAGGACGAGTGGCTAACGTTCCGTACGCGGTCTCCCTATCCGAGCGGAGGATACCACTTATCATCCCATCTCATCTCATCTCACTCATCTCATCTCATCTCACTACGCTATCGAGACGAGCGATCGCCAGCATACATCCCGCGGTCAAAAGCCTGGGTGTCTATGTCCTTACGTACCGAGCATGTGTCCGCATAGTACTCGGTACTGAACGATGGGGACCAATTGTCACACAATTCTGTGTACATCCGGGATATTCTGGAGCGTGACTGAGGCTTTCGACTCGTGTCAAGCCAGTACTGTGAGTAGTAAGTAACGTCTCTGGCGCCGCAAGTCAAGTACGGAGTACGGAGTACAGTAAGTACGGTTTCTCAAGGGCCAAGGCCTAAGCCCTGCCATATCAACCATATCAGATCATGTCAATATCAATATCAGCCAGAGATCTCAGATCATCGACCTTGGACCTGCGGAAGGCGTGTGACATGGAGTACAGCACTAGACTAGTACAGTCCCAGACACTTGAACCCTTGGGTGGTCTTGCCTTGCCTTGCCTTGCAATCCTACTCGTGCTTTGCTTGTAAGGTACAACCACCACCACTGGCCTCTCCAAGGTACTGGATTGTGTGTGTGTTGTGTTATGTGTTATGTGTTATGTGTTATGTGCATGTGTACTATACACAGTCCCACGGCAAACGTCTACCCCTACAATGAACCGAGGTGGACATGGACATGGACATGGACACTCGGCACCAGGAAAAGAAGAGAAAGAGTGAAGCTGCCCAACAACGTCAACGTCGGCAGTCCTGTTCCTGGCACGGAGGACGAAGACCCGGCCGGCCTAGATGAAGAAGGATGATACTATATTATATTACTACACAAGGGCACACGCACACGCACACTTTATGCAGCTTTTCATTTATCGCCACACAATGAGGAGAAGGAGGAGGATCACACACAATGAGAAGGAGAAGGAGGAGAAGGCGGATCCTTGCTCATAGTCGAGGACAAGGAGGAGGAGGAGGAGGAGGAGTAGGACGAGGAGAAGGCGGATCCTTGCTCTCACGCGACTTGCCTTGCTCCAGGTTGGAGTGGTGAACTGAACCAACGTCAGCATACGGTAAGCATTAAACACGCAGGATTCGACCGACCCATCTCAACCCGAGTCCACATCTATAGAATGTCACCTTGACCTTGGACCTGTGTGAGTCCTGTCAGTATCTCTCATCTGGTTCCATGTCACCTGGACTTGTGTGAATTACATACAGAGTGGACTACTAAACCAGCTCATACTCCAGTCTGGTGAAGGTGGTTTCTGTCTCTAGATACATACCCTCTCCTCTATCTTGTCTTCTGTCTTTAAAGACATACCCTCTCCTCGGTCTTGTCTTCAACAGTCACATTCAGTTGTCTTCTGTGCTCAGCTCAGCTCAGATCGATCATCCGGTTCAACTCTTGATCAACTCTCTGCTCAGATCATCCTGTCCAACAGTTCGGTTTCAGTTGCCTTCTGTGCTATCCTGTTCAACTCTATTCAACTCTCTACGACATGGCCGTCCTGTCCGTACTCGCGCTCTTGCCGGCTCTTGCCGTGACGGCGATTCTCTGCGTGAGTCTTGCTACCTAGCTTTCGTCTCGTGAGGGTCATAGTCATCCTCCTCATCCTCGTCCTCCTCTTCCTCCTCTTCCTCCTCTTCCTCCTCCTCCTCCTCCTCCTCCTCCTCTTCCTCCTCCTCTCTCTTCCTCCTCCTCTTCCTCCTCCTCCTCTTCCTCCTCCTCCTCCTTCTCCTCCTCCTCATCGTCATCGTCATCGTGATGACTATGACCCTTGTCCCAGATCACCCTCATGACTATGACCCATTTTCCAGACAAAAAGCATTCCATTCCATTCTCTGACATTGCTGGTCGCAGGTTTTCGTCCTAGCCGTCTACCGGCTCTACCTACACCCTCTGGCGAAATATCCAGGTCCTCTTCTCTGGAGACTGACGCAGTGGCCGGAAGCCAGATCGGCCTGGCTGGGGAGGAGACACATCGATCTCCATCTTTTGCACGAGGAATATGGTAAATCAAGCTCAAGCCCTTGGGGTCGATTTCGACCTCGACATCCCCTTTCCTTTCATTTCCTTCCATTTCAACCTCGACATCCCTTTCCTTTCATTTCTTTTTGTTTCCTTCAATTCCAACCTCGACATCCCTTTCCTTTCATTTATTTGCGTTTCCCTTCCCTTCCAGTGCTGACACCACGGTCAATGCCAAAAGGTGACATTGTCCGCGTTTCACCCGACAAACTCTCCTTCCGAACCAGCGGAGCCATTCACGACATCTACACGGATCGCCAGGCCAACATGGTCAAGACCGGCTGGACCGAGGCATCCATCCGAAGTAACCCCTTTGTCAACACCCATATCATGCCCGACCGTCATCTCCATGCCGCCAGGAGGAGGTTACTCAGCAACGCCTTCTCTGAAGGTGCCATGAAGAACCTGGAGAACTATGTCGTCGACCGCATCCGAGATTGGTGCAATTACATAGCCGAGGCCCCGGAGCAGAACCAGACAAAAATCGACGGGGAGAAGGATGAGCTGTCTGGCTGGAGCAAAGCTCGCGACATGGGCATCTGGTCGACGCTGTTGACGGTCGATGTCCTCGGAGAGCTCTGTTTCGGGTCCAGCTTCGACGCCATGAAGAACGGCCACACCTTCGTCATGGATCTGCTGTTATCGAGTTCCAAATTGAACAATATTGTAAGAAGTTGTTTTCTTTTCTGGGCTGATCTCAGTGTTGATCCTCCTTCCCCCGCTTTTGAATTGTGCTTCCCTTCCATCAAACTTGTCTTGGTACTGATCACCAATGGTGTCTTTGATGACAGATCGCCTTTCTACCAATCCGAAATCTCATCTTCCCCCTCATCAGAACGCCAGCCATTCTTTTCGTGACGAGTAACGAAACCCTGAAGCACCGGTTCGAGTACCGCGAGAAGATAACCGGGCTTGTCGAGAAGCGGTTTGCGCTGGAGAAGAGCAACAATGCCGAAAAGGCGGCCGGGGAACAACGGCGCGATTTCTTCCATTATCTCCTGCACGCCAAAGATCCACAGACCGGCGCCCAGTTCCAGTCGAAAGACCTGGTGGGTGAAGGCTCGCTGCTGGTCGGCGCCGGGTCCGACACCTCGTCGACCGCCATGTCGGCCTGTTTCTTCTACCTGATGCGATGGCCGCGCGCGTTCAAGAAGCTGCAGGACGAAGTGCGCTCGGCCTTCCAGCACGTCGAGGAGATTAGGCACGGCCCGAAACTAGCCGGTCTGCTCTACCTGCGCGCGTGCATCGACGAGGCCATGCGCCTGTCTCCGCCCGTGCCAGGCCTGCTGGACCGCAAAATCCTGCCCGGCGGCGCCGTCGTCGATGACCACTCACTCCCCGAGGGCGTGGTGGTGGGCGTGCCGATCTACGCCATTCATCATTCGGAGAAATACTTCCCGCGCCCGTTCGAGTTCAGTCCCGAGCGCTGGATCGTGGGCTCCGACCTTTCCGAGGCCGAGGCCGAGCGCGAAGCGGAGGCCGGGGGAGGGGGTGAGGCAGGGGTTGGGATTGGGGTCAATACTGGACCTGGTTCTTCTCCTGTGACCCCCGAAGCCGTCGAATTGGCCAAAGCCGCCTTCCACCCTTTCAGCTCCGGTCCACGCGGCTGTATCGGCAAGAACATGGCGTACATGGAGTTACTCATTGCCGTTGGTCGTGCCGCCTGGCTGTTCGATATCAGACTGAAACACGGCGATCGCACGGGTGAGGGACGTCCCGGAGGCGAGCCCGGCCGCGAGAGGGTCGGGGAGTATCAGCTGCGAGACTGGCTCATTTCAGGTCGGGAGGGTCCTGTTCTGGAATTCAGAAGGAGAGAAGTGGAAACTTGAAGTTGGAGAGGTGACGTGTACACTGTACACTGTACCGTGTACGTTGTACGGGACAAACGGATGGCATGGGATGGGCTGTTTGCCTGCGGCCTCTTTCCTCTCCTTTCCTTCTTCTTCGTACCGTAGCTCTCACCGATAGATCCGCCTTGCTGACCGTATGGTCGGCGGTGAAGTCTCTTTTTTCCGTCTGAGGCATTGATGATACAGTAGCTCATCCATCTGGTTGACTAGTCACGTCGACTTTGTCCCATTAGTCAACTTGTATCTTCGCTACCCGCTGCCCGCTCCTCTTCCTACTGCCGTGGCTGCTTGTTGATCTCTCCATCGTCGACCCCCCGAATCCACTTGAGGAAATATCCCACATCCTTGGCCACCGCACCAGGGACGCTCAGCTTTTGCACCCACAGAGGAAGAGAACCTTTTGCATCGCTGGTGGTGGCCATGACCCATTCTATCTCGGCTTCGGTTTCGCGCTCGGCCTTGTCCCGCCGACGCCTACGCCTCACCGTCTCCACGGCGGCATACACGCCCGCGACAACCCGCTTGCGCTGCTGCGGTGTGGCTCCTTCATGCACGTTGCGACCGGTGCTGTAGAGAGCCGTAGAGAGTGGACCGTTGCCAGAAGTCGAGGTCAGGTCGACCGGAACCGTAACTGCGATGAACGAGTCCTCGTCCAGGTTGGCCGTGGCCACCACCACGGCGAAACAGCGAGGACTCAACGGTGGCGGAATGGCATGACACATCTCGAACACGCCCAGACTGCAGGCCGTGTATCCTTTCGCCATAAGCGTCTCTTGGACCTGGGCCTGGTGCAGCATGTCCGTCCAATCGGCCACGCGATGCGCATCGTACAGAGTCGGGGTGAAGTCGGCTTCGTGCTTGCTGTGGTTGTCACGTAGGCCGTACACGAACTCGTCCCAAGACGCGTGCCCGGGCTGCGTAGCGTCTTTGCTCGATATGTCTCGGTGCACGCTCCGACGTGCGATCCAATATTCTGCGTCCAGGGTGGAAGATGGTGGGGGGCTGCGCGACACGCGTGAAATCTGTCGAGGTGAAGTGTTTGCAATACCATCACCAGCACCAGAGCCAGCATCAACACCGGTAGGCGTTGAATCTCCCCCAGGACCGCCACTAGATGAAGACCACTGGACCCGCTTGATCGCCGACGCCGGAATCGAATGGCTCAAAACCTCGACGGGCGCCGCAGAAGGTGCGCTCTTCTTCTTTGACAGATGCTTGAACCGGCTGGAGAATGTGGATGGTTCGAGAAACGCGGCGCCGTCATCAAGCAACGCCGTCAGAAAAGCCCCAAGAGCCGGCCGTTCGGAGCTACGTCCATTCGACGAGTCCGGCGGCGGCGGCAGATCCGCATGGCCAGGTAAGTCGGCGATTTGGAGCGGAGTGAGACGGATGAGGTTGCTGAGAGATGAAGAAGAAGATGCTGATGATGGATGTGGAGGTGGAGGTGGAGGTGGTTGGGCCATTGTGTTGTCAATCCTTCAGGACTGTATGATATGGACAGTTCGCACTAATATCGATACAGTCAATGCTGAAAATCAACTGCTGAAAGATTGAGACTGAGATCGAGATCGGGGGTTACAGACACCATCACTACCAATACCGAGTTAACAACATTAGGATGAATGGCCAACTCGGAATATCCGTTTCCTTTCCCTTTCTTGTGATGTGTTGAGATGAGGCACGGCAGGGGGCGGTTAGGTTAGATTTCAGGATTCAGGAGTCAGGAGTCAAGTGTGCCGCAGAATGCAGGTCCCAGACACGTCGCGTGTTTCAATCATACGCGTAATATACTGTAGTAGTAGTAGGTCCCTCCAGGACACATGTACACCTAGATCACTGGTAAAGAATGGCATTCTCTGTATATCAACCAATTCCCAGCCAAACACCAAACACGGCTCCATGAATCCCGGCCGTAAAACAACGCCGCCCTATGCATGGATCCCACCACGTGATCTGGTCAAAAGCGGCGTCGCCATACATCTCCCTCTGTCTCCAGCTTTATCAGGTGTCCCTATCCCTCCCTGGCCCTGGCAGCACAAGCAAGGCTGAACGTACAACATGCACTATAACCTGATACCGGATAGAGAGGGAAGCTTTGTCATCTCCCAATTGGACTTTTTACCACGGACACAATACTCTTACTGTAGTACACGACGCGTCCCTTGCAACATACCGTAGCATCGTCTAAGCATACCCACACTAACCTCCTTTCGTAAAATTCATACCCCTCGTACAGTATCATATCATGCCTTCCTTGGACTCGGTAATGGCTCATCTGCTGCCTCTACTCTCACCAGGATCTCCTCCAAAAACCCTTCCAAAAACTCGGTCACTCCACCACCCATACCCACGGGACACTCCTCATCACATCGTTGAATCTCATGGAGGATCCCCACAGCTTTGGCGGCCAATCTTCTGACCTTCTCATGGGTCTGAACTCTTTGTTGGTGCATTTCGGCTGCAGCGGAGGGGCCGAGTTGAGTAGTGCGTGCGAGTTCCTTCAACATATATGTTCGACGGTGCATGGCTGCCTCGAGTGCTGGAATGAGGACAGAGTCTAGTGCAGTAAGTCCTTGGTTGGGGTCTTGCTTTACATCAGCTCCTTGGTTCGGATCCTGTTGCCTAGTCTGTGCCGGTGTGTTGTTCGTTTTCGAGGATGTGCTATTTGGAGTCGCGGCTGTTGCAGCTTGGTGGCTGATCTTACTCGTCAAGGGCGGCAGCGGCTGCTGGTTGGTCATCGATGCTGTGGAAGGGGCTTGTGGAATGGAGGGAAGATCTTTCGGCGAGAAGGCGGGGAGGGGCTTTTGCCCGGTAGGCTTGGAAGTGGTCGGTGTTTCATTTTTCTGGAAGGGCGCGCCTCTGCCTGGATTTCCCTTGAAAGGTGGAATCTCTGGAATGAGCATGCGGGGCTTTTGCCCTGGCGGAGTTTGCCCTTCAGGTACCTGGGTCGTTGGACTGTCTCCCCCATTGATCTTCAAAAATCCCATGTCTTTGGCCAATTGCGCTTGGAAGGCCTTGTTATACTCATTGGATCCAGGGCTATCTTTATGTGGCAGTGATGGGCCACCCTTGTTAGCAAGAGGGGCGCCGGGGGTGTTGGGGGTGTTTGTAGACTGTGCAACGTGTATATGGATATAAGGGCCAGGAGCCTCGCTGGACGACGATCCAGTGCTCTTCGTTGGGGATGGTGGAAGCGGCACCTTGGCCGGGGTTGGAAAGGCAGATTTGACGGGCGATTTTTGAGGGGAGGATGGAGCCTTGAGTGTCTCGTCCCATTCAGACTTGCTTTTGCTAGTCGACATGTCAGTCGAGGCGCGGGCATTGGTGTCGGAATCGTTCATCGGGCGAAGTCCCACCGCTCGACCACCTGCTGGTCTCACGGTCCCAAAGTCCCAAAGATCTTCATTTTCCGAGGCTGAAGGGTAAGGCCCCCGGGACTCTTCTTCGTCCTCATCTTCGTCGTCTGAGGATCGGTTACCGCGAGTGGCCATGTATCTTTCATTTCTCTCGATGAGCTCGGTCAGGTAAGTCGTCTTCTTTGCCTTGCGCACGAAAGGGTGTTTCAATAGTTCCTTCGCCGACGGTCGCTCCCGAGGATCTCGTCTTAGACAGAGCTCAACAAAGTCCTTGAACGTCTTGGAGAAATTCCCATGCAAAGTTGGCGGAGGATTTTTAGGAATGAGAAACAACACTTTCATCGGATGTATGTCGGCATACGGAGGCTCTCCTTGCGCAAGCTCGATGGCCGTGATGCCCAGTGACCAGATGTCTGCTTTGTGATCATAGCCAGACTGCTTGATGACCTCGGGAGCCATCCAGAAGGGGGTGCCGACGAAGGTGTTTTTCTTGGTCATGGTAGCTGACAATTGTCCCGACACACCAAAGTCGGCCAGCTTCACTTGCCCATTCTGCCCCAGAAGAATGTTGGCGGCTTTGATGTCTCGATGTAATTTCTTGTCTGTATGCAAGTAGTCCAGACCCAGCAGCAGTTCGCGAATGATGATGCAGATGTAATCTTCGTGAATGTGGCCAGGTCTCATGAGGTCTGAGCAACTCCCACCAGAGCAAAATTCCATAATGATCCAGAGATCTGACCCCTTCAGGAACGAGCCATGATATTTGGTCACGTACGGAGACTGCAGCTCCGACAGTATAGATATTTCTTGTATGATGTCTTCAACTTCATCTTCAGCATTTTCCACATCGATGACCTTGATGGCCACGGCTTGCCCAGTCCGCTTGTCGACTCCTTTGTACACCTTTCCAAAGCTTCCACCTCCAATGCAATTTTGTTTGGTATAGAGTTCTTCGGGGTCCATCGCGGGGTGTTCGTGGGTTGTGAGCAGGGAGATGAAAAAGTCCTGGTGGCGTGGTCTGGGAGAGTCGAATCAAAGACAGTGAGGACTGTCGTGGTCTGAAGTCTCGTCAATGAAATCGAAGTCGTGAACTTGAGAACTGTCAACGTCAAGCGGCTGATCTTGCAAGGTGTCAGTGCACCGATCAGATCCTCAACGACAGGCGAAAACGGGGCTTGAGCTTCGTGTCAACAGCGTCGCTTTCGGTCGTCGTAAGGCTTCATAAATCATTGTCGGCATTGGGCATCTTCGTGGATGCACACAGAGCTATCAGGCTGTCGTCGCGGTGTTCTTCAATGGAAGTGAAGATGAAACGAACACCAGACTCTGTTGTTTACTCCTTGCCGCAAGTGGCGCGCCTCTCCATGGTCACTCCGATTGGCTGCTGCCATATTTCGATGTGCCCGCTTCTACAGTTCTACGCAAGACAACAGGCAATCCATTCAGGAACCGGCTTTCAATTCTTAGCTATGGTTTCATGTGATCCCTGCACAAGTTGTATAAGGTGACCAACGTACGTCCAGGCAGCACAGCCATTTGGCCAAATGGTATCTCTAGGTGCTCGTCCGAAACGCCTTGCAAGGCACCCCGCCGTATGGGCAGGTCATCTGATATCTTCATCCCTCGTTAAACTCCACCATGACCGTTCCATTCTTTAGGCCGGTATCCGCGACCGTTTGCTCTCGCGAATCAATGAGATTCTTACCCATGGAAACCAATTCGAAATCGACCCCTGCCTTGCCTTCCAGGGGTTCCGCTTTCAAGTACTCATAGATTCGTTGCACAGGATCATCTTCGGCGAATCGGCGAACAATCCTACCACCCGGGTGCCGGATCTGCACTCGCGTAATCCCTGGTCCAGCTGCAGGTTCGATATGAGGCCGATCTGAGGGGATCTGTGAAAAACCACTTGCGTCGCCGGCCACTTGGCCGTCCTCATCGACATCCATCGCCTCTGCTGACCGTAAATCACTGATACTCCGTGTGAGCTCATCTGGATCTTCTGCTGGCCGTGGGGGTGATTCCAATTGTTGAGTTTGTGACGCAAGACTGGCCTGCAACGCTCGTTCAAGCATTTCTTCCTCGGTTAGTTGATCGATGGATTTCTCTTGCTTGGCCTCGGACCTTCGTTTTGCAACGGGGTTGCGTGCGTTACTCTCCAGACTGTATCTGTCCAAGAATTCGTGTAGCTGCATCAGGAATTCAGGAGCCGACGGAACCTTTCGTGCCCACAGCTTGATTTGTTCACCTGTCCTGGGATCGACGATAGCAACGTGTGGGTATTCGTTTGAATCTTCATAAGTCGGAAAGTAGTATTGGACGTACTGTGCTGCTCTTGGGTCGTCTCTGTTGTATTGAAAGAAGATGAAGTTCTCCTTGATTGTGTCCACGATACCCTCGTTCTTCCACAAATCTCGATTCAGTGCTTGACAGTCGAAGATAGAAGGGTCTTGAATGTCGACCAATATCCATTTTTTCTGTTCTTTTCCTTCGTCTCTGGCATCTTCCCATTCGCCCTTGTACATCAGATCCCATGGTGGCTGAAATAGTCGTGCAAGTCGAGTCGCTCTTGATGATGCCTCGGAAGCCCCACCCGTCGACTGTGCAAGCACATTACGACCATCCTCCTCGACGTTGATGTCTCGGTCCCAGATACTTGACGGTGGGAGATGCTGGTTGAATATCCCGGCACGTGCTAGATTATTCAAGTCAGTTGAGAACAAAGGAATGCGGGAGTGATACTGACGTTGAACTCTCCTTCTTTCAAACGCCCGCATACGTGCTTCCACCGCCGCATTATATTCAGCACTAGATAGGGGAAGAGTGTTTGCTTCAGGGCCGACCAATGTCTCTGCTTGTCTTGCGATTGGTGCACGAATCTGTTCCTCAAGACCACCCTCTCCGTAGATCTCCTCTTGCAATCGCCTGGCCATTGCTTCGTCATCTTCAAAATCGGATGGTCCAGCTGGAAGCGATGAGGCATTCGTCTGTTGGGCTTTTCGATAACCGGTAACCTCCGGGTCATTGTCGTCTGAAATATGTTCGTCGGCGTCCAGATCGATAGGATCATGTTCACCGCCAGTTGGACGGGAAGCCGTTGGTCGCGGAGGGTGTGATGAAGAAGAACCAGCGAGATCTGCGCCCCCGTTTTCGAAATATAACTGCACCGCTTGGTTAGGATCACCATCAGCGAGCTGCACATATTGTGCCGCCAGTTCTGGGGTACTCCCAGTGACTGTCACAACCGTGGCTATCGCCTCGTCCATTGCGGGATACTATTGAGCGCCGATGAAGGTAGTTGCAGGTGTTCGATGGTCGAAGCGGTGGGATCGTGAAATAGAGGGTATTTGATGATTCAACTCCCTCAACAGCCTTTCAACGTGTGATGGTCTCTTGGAGAGGATCGGAATGAAGCATGATAGTGATGAGATGAGGAAAGAGTTCGCAATGGGTAGAAGAGTCACCGGGTTGAAACAGAATCTGGCATTTTGCAGGCAATCACTAATGTTTCGCTCACGGTGAGAGGGTCGGAGGCAAGGCGACGGTCGATATGACGAAGACGCACCAGTGGATGCATTGCGGGTGCAATGCACCGGCAGTGCAGTGGGACGTTCGATGACTGGAGATGCAAACCTGCCAAGGAAATGGCTTCATCAGCCACTGGCGCCAGCGCCAGCCAACAGCAGCCAGGTTTCAAATGACAAAAGCCCGCGTCCAGGCTGTACGGCGGAGCATGAAGACTACTACCGCGCGACGAGGAATCGTGGCTTGACGGGGTTTAAAGTGGCTGGAAGTGGGTCATTCCCACGACGCGTGAACTTGGCATTCTGTTAAGGCAGGAACGACCTGACTCGCGACTGCACCTTTCTGAGTCGTGCCTTCTCCAACTGCAACAGCGCCAGCAAAAGCAGCAACAACCACCTTAATGGCTGCTGCAGTACTAGGAAAGAGGTCTCGACGAGTGCTTGACGAGGAAGGTGCGTTGCTGTTCATTTCAGATCGCCATGGATTGCGTTGACTGGAGAATTCTACAGATATCGAGACTTCGATCCCCATCGCGAAACGACGAACGCGACGCTCTACACCACATATATATGAAGATGCAGCACGGCCAGATGTATTGGAGAAACGAGATACACAGTCCGGCTTGTCTGTAAGGACGCGTAACAGACGAGTGAAACATACCGTTCAAGACGAGGTGGTAAAAAACCAGACGGCCACAGCTCATTCCGTTCAGCAGGCCTCTTTGCATGCCTCAGGTATGCGGTCTTTTCCAAACGCGATCCATGATCTCAAGCTGATTATGCATTTCAGACGAAAATGTGCCTCCGCCAGCTGTTTGCACCCCATCAGCTACTCGGTTCAAGGATGTACTTGCAACCCATACTCCGAGCACGCCAAAACATCGCGTACGGCTTGTTGGACAACTGCTCACACCCCGGACATCACGTTCGTCCACGCCATCAAAGTCGCAAAATGTCTATGCTCAGGCCAGACAACTCTTCACCCAAGCAAGCAGCGGGAAAGTAATCGGTCGAGAGGCCGAACGAAGCCAATTGACAAGATTTATTTCCACCTCCCTTGAAGCCGGAACTGGTGGTTGCACTTACGTTAGTGGACCACCAGGCACAGGGAAAAGTGCATTGGTTCAGGAGATTTTGCAAGAGTATGGCGAGGAATCCGTCAAAGTCGCGACAATCAATTGCGTGGCACTGAAGTCTTCCACCGATGTTCTAATGGAATTTGCCCAAGCGTTCGGTTTCTCTGCCGGCAGCCACAAAGCAGCGAAGTCAAGCCTTACTAAGCTCTTCACCACCAAGACGGCCGACTCGAAGATGCACCTTGTCTTGCTTGACGAGATCGACACCCTTCTCAATGGCGACTGCGACGTGCTGTACAGCTTATTTGAATGGGCAATGCACCCCTTGTCGACCCTCATTCTGATTGGAATTGCCAATGCTCTTGACTTGACCGATCGCTTCTTACCACGACTGAAGCTGAGGAACCTCAAACCCAGGCTACTCCCATTTCTTCCCTACTCGGCTGAACAGATCTCCACCATAATCTCCGAGAAACTTCGGTCGTTGTTACCTGTTGGAACCACGGCCGCTGGAGACTTTGTCCCACTGATGCATCCTGCCGCCATCCAATTAAGCGGCAAGAAGATTGCGGCTCAGACTGGGGACTTACGTAAAGCTTTCAGTCTTGTTCGTCGTGCAATTGACCAGATTGAACAAGAAACACTCTTGAAAATGAACCGGGAACAGAGCATCACCCCGACCAAGCAACCACTTGCAGAGGTTTCGAACTTGAGAACCAATCTGACCCCGTCTCCTGTCAAACCAGACCACAGATCAGTCCTCGGTCAGCTTACAATGGAGACGGCGCCAAGAGCAAGTATTGGACTGGTTGCGAAAATTGCCTCGGGCATTTTCAACAACGGCACTCTATCTCGCCTGGGAGGACTGAACCTGCAGCAGAAAGCAGTACTGTGTTCCTTGGTTGCGTCAGAGAAGCGCCAATACCAAAGAAACCCTTACACGACACCATCAAAATCGTGGTCCAAGATCCCTACCATCAAAGGCCTGTTTGAAAAGTACGGCGTCCTTTGTAGACGTGATGACGGATTATTGCAGCCTCTAAAGACCACCGAGTTTCGAGATGTGGTTGCCAGCCTTGAGACTTTAGGGTTGGTACAAGAGGCTTCCGGGCGAAACTCGAGTTTGTCTACCCCATCCAAGACACCTTCTCGGACCGGAAGAGCAATGGATGACATGCAGGTGGTGAGCGCCGTCTCTGAAAAGGAGATGAGGGATAGCTTGAGTGGTCCAGGCTCTGATTTGCTCTCGAGGTTGTTGGATGACGATTAATGGCATGGGATCGGCGATTTGCATAGCAGGGGGACTTTTGCACAGAGTATCGCATCAGGGAGGATTGTTTGAACATGGGATGCGATTGCTGAGCCTTTGCAGCGATTGTGGAAATAGGTACGGATATGCAGTAAGCGAATTGCGTTCGTTATGGGCAACTGCGGATTGTCCCAGCATACGGAGTACTCCGTACTCTGTATCAGTGTATCCATACTCCAGAGTGTACTCCGTACCTAGTACTCGACATTCGAGGTGTGCAAAATGACGTAATGATTGTCTGTTTCAAGCTTTCGCTAAGCTTCTCCCCTGTACCAACTGCACCGCTGGGAGTGGCACAGGCAGCTGGCCGTCAACTACCTACTGGCACCCTAGTGAGAACCCTGAGCCAAGTGTCAGTGCCCTCCAAGCCTTGAATCCCGCGACGCGACAGGGGTCGTTGCTACTACTGGTACGACATGGCTTGGAAGCGTCGTCAGCCTCCCGAATTCAATGGAGCCCTGCGAAATGCACCCGACTCTTCCTCCACGGGGCTCCCGCCCTCTGCTTCTTCGTCCAAGCTACGTAGAGCTCTCTCTCACCTAATCCGTACTCCGTACTGCTAATGTAATCCTTCGTCTACGCGTCTTTCATCCCTCCGTAAGCCCTCTTCTCGGCCAATTTCCACCCGCATTTTGGCCCATGCCTGCGGGGCACCGCCAGAGCTGATACGAAGCGCGACACGATGGGAGACAACGATTCAGAGGCGCCAGTGTTGCGCCAGGGTCATCCGACAGACAAAATCGCTCCTAAGCTGGTCAACCAGGCCGACAAGCTCCAAGAGAAATACCAAGCGCAGGCAGGCGCAGGGAGCAGCGACAAGAAGAAAGGCCCTGCCGGAGGCTTCGACGACACTCCCCTACCACACGCGCCTCCGGGATATACGCTCAAAATCACGTTCCACAAGGCGGAGAATCTTCCATTTGCTGACCTACAAACCCTTTCATCCGATCCCTACGTCCTCGCCGTACTCCATACCGATTTACCCAAGAGACATAAACAAGACCCTGAGCTCACGCTCAGGACGCCGACGATACATCGAAATACCAATCCTGAATGGAACACGGAATGGATCGTTGCCAACGTTCCCAAGTCTGGGTTCTATCTGAAGTGTAGGTTGTACGACGAAGATCCCAGCGATCATGACGACCGACTTGGGAACGCACATGTTGTTGTCCATCAGATCGACGACAACTGGAAGGGTCTTTCGCATCAGTCGTTCAAGTTGAAGAAGCGCATGGGAAGCAAAAGAGCATACACGTTCCGGGGCGCTGCCGCTCTTGTCTCCAAACGCATCAAGATGGGTGGACATCTCATCGTCAGCGTTGAAAACCTGGGGAGGACTCAGGATGAGAATGGTGGGCGCGCATATACTCTTGGGCCTTTAGCATGGAGTCGTCATTTTTCTCCCATGATTGGGCGCCTGGTGGGTATCAAGGACACGGAACAAGGGCAAGATGGCAAGAAAACCGAGAAGTACAAGTATGTCGCAAGCCCAAGCATGATTCCAGTACCCGCTAACACGCCACTCTAGCTTTCAAGCCGTCCAACTGCAACTTCGTGGACCTATCCCAGCAGAACTATACCATCGATATGTGGAATTCAAGTCTTTCGTTGCAGGCATGTTCACCGCCCACTCCCTACGCGGCCGTCTCTTGAATCGCGCCCTCCACCACCAGCATGCTCGAATCTACAACTACGACCGCACCACCAAGTATGGTGCTTTCCAAGAGCCGTGCATTGATTTGACGAAACAGTTTTTGGAGTTCGTCCACTACGATGAAGGTGGACGGATCTTCACCTATGTTTTGACCTTGGACGCTCAACTACGCTTTACCGAGACGGGAAAAGAGTTTGGAGTCGACCTGCTCAGCAAGCACACCATGCACAGTGACGTTAGCATCTACATTGCTTTCAGTGGCGAGTTTTTCATTCGAAGAATCCGACACCCACAACAGCACAAGAAAGATAAAAATGTTGATCCGGCCTCCGGCACTCACCCTCCAGCGCCAGATCCCGAAGCTATCAAAAATGGTAACAACGACCATGACGACGGCGACAAGGAAGAGGATCAATCGACAACACAATCCAGGCCCCACGGAGAACCCTCGGACTATGAATTGATCATCGACAACGACAGCGGCACGTACCGACCTAACGCGAAAACGCTCCCTTTGCTCCGCCAGTTTCTGTCCCAGAACTTCCCCGGTTTGAAAGTGGTGACGCTCGATTGTCAAGCCGACGAGGAGAAGATGAAGAAGTTGAAGGACGAACAGCGCGAGCACAAGAAGCAGTCCGGTCAGCAAATCACGTACCTCCAGAATGTCAGTATGAGCAGTCTTAGCTCAAGTGACGAGGAACGGCTTGAAGCCCAGGCCGCCGATGGACAGCCGAAGGAGCACAAGTACAAGCATGAAGTGCACAAATTCATGGGCGGGGGCAAGGACCAGCACCATGATTTCGAGACAGAAGAGCCGGGGCATGCGGACGGAAATGCCGCGGAAAATGAGGCAAAAAGAGATGGCGAAGGCGGAGGGTAAGCAGGTATTGATAGCAATCCTGCTGGTCGGGATACGAGAGACAGCGATGACAACAATCCAGAAGACCGCGATCACAGCCACGGGAAATAGCACTGACACCACTGAATGCTGATGTGTGAGGTTGAACGGGTATCGACTTCGTCGAGTCCTTCTTTCTGCAGCGCCAGAGGGTGTGTCTAGCGGTAGGATCAGTATTAGGGGTTGATGCCGACATATCCTGTGGCTTGGTTGTTGGGACTTGTTTCTTTTGACCTGGACGTTGACGTGGTATTTTGGGTTGGCTTTGAAGTTGGTTATACCCTGGCCTTGTAATGAGAGGACATCAGTAATGCTATTACCTATTTATGCCTTAACTCTGGTCTTCGCAGTTGGATCATGGTTGTACATACCCGGTTTTGGGGTGTGATTAAGGTAGGCAGATAGGATGGCAATAGAGGCATGGAATGTATAATTCCGAGGAAGACCGTGTGGGCTTAAGGCTTAGGGGCTCGAACACACAAGCTACTGCATCGATCCACAGAAAGACCTCACCACGATCAAGGACAGACGCGTTGTGTCGGGCAGGATCTTGATACTGCCACAACCCTCTTTGTCACTGAATGCACTCATACAGCAACTTTTCAGTACCGTCGACAAAGATGAACTCGAATCCATCATCTCCAAGGACGAACAAGAGCATCTCACAAAGAATGTGCTGCGGCTGCCGTTCCTTTCAGCGCCCCTCAGCGGACTGACTGATCATCTCGTCACTCTGGCCCAAGGAACACATATCAATCCCAGTGTCAGGGCAAGTGGTCAAGGGCCAGGCCAACCCATCACAGAAGCGGTCGACCAAGGGCCCAACCCGCAGCCACGCTCCTCAGCAGCTACTAGTCCCGTTCAAGACGGCATGGCCCCCTGTCTTGGCGAGTTCTACGAAGTCTCCAGCAAGACTCCCGTCGCTGGCGCCTCAGCAGCGACAACCACAACCGTGGCAGCCCACACTGCTGGGAAGGATGATGTCAATGGACTCTCCGAGTTCATCCAACCGCCACCGAGCATAAATCAGCCAGCACTCCTCAACGCCCACTTTGTCAAACGCGAGTCGGCAACGGACCCCAAGTCTGGATGGCGTCCCACGACCGAGTGGGAAGATCCCATATGGGGATGGATTGTGGTCAACTACATTGACTATGGCATCCAGCTCTTCACCGCCCAAGGCATCTTCTACCGCGAGGTGAGGTTACCGGGAAGGGGAGCCGGCGGTCAAACAAGAGCCGATGCCAGTACGAAGTGGCTGCCCTTCAAGAAGACGGAGCAGCAGCCCGATTCAACGGCCCAGCTGGACAAATTAATCACGCAGCTCACGGCCGAGGACGGCGTGTATCTGCAGGCTTTCCTAGACATGATCAATGGAGCCCTGAAACAGTCGGGCCCTGCCCCCGGGGAGTACGCCGAGGCCTTGAATTGCATCGTGGGGAGGCCGCTGGCTCTGGTCAACATGGGTTGGTCCTTGGAACTGTCGATGCCACCAAACAAGAACTAATCAACCATCATCGGCAAGGACCCGGAGAGATATCTCCTTGACCCGAAACACTCTGATGCAGACAACTCTGATGCAGACAACTCTGATGCAGACAACTCTGATGCAGACGACTCCTACCGGTTCCCCATCAAGCTCGGAGACTCTCATCGCGAGTATGACGGCCTAGTTGGCTATTTCCCCCAGATTGACCGGTCCAAGTCCACCAATCCTCCAGACGACGGCAACTTGCCCCTAAACGACGAATTTGATCTCACCAAGCTATACACCTACTTCGGACTCGATCAGAAGCCCGACGTGCCCGGTGTAACCCCCGGTATCTACCCCCTTCGCGCGCTCAACCACGATTCCTACCCTCGCCTTCAACCCTACTGGCTTGATCCCGCGGCCTACCAAACCCTCGATCCTGCCAGCACTCCACCAAGCACCTGCCGCCAGCTACGCCCGCGCCTCCAATGACGCACTACAAGTCTTCGCCGCCATTCTGGACCCCTTCCAGCCCATCCACGGCTCCTCCAGTTTCCTGTCCATCAAAGAACTCAAACTGCTCGACTGGACCTGGCAGCAGGCCCTCAACCACATGGCCGCCTTCCTCCACATGGGTCCCGCTGATGGTGATGAGGGACGTGCCGGACTTTGATCCAAGCTACAAGCTCCGAGCGGATTACTGGTTGAGCGGCGAGCAGAAGGTCTACGACAAAGATGACGGTCGATGTGCTGCCTACCAGTTTGTCCGAGTGGAATTGGTTGCAACCATATTATCGGGATGTCAGCCCCGAGTAGCAGAAGACGGGTGAAGCGCCGAAGAAGGGGACAGTGATGAGAGAACGAAATTCATGCCTATCAAGGTCGGGAGGATGGATGCTTGACCGAGGTTTGAGAGGGCGCCGTATACGGCTATCGAGGGATATTTGCAGATGCGGAAAAGTGTCGTTGATGATAGGTAGGGATGGTGAGAGGGGACTATAGACATCTATCTAGGTACAGGACATGACTGTCGTTGTATATAGCTGGTCGAACATGTCAGCATATGAGAGTATTGTCTTCTTCATCCAGCTCCTGTCTTGCATTTCCCCCAATCTACATCCCTACTCCTCCACTTGTTCTTCTAGCCGCTACTATCCATCGAAAGGTTCATAAAGGTCAAAGACAAGGGACGGTTCGTTCGACGGGGGGCAGAAAAGTGGTCGAAGGCTGACTTCTCGCTGGCGCTGCAACTGCACGCGTGAGAGTGTGAAAGTGAGCGACAGGAGGGTGAGGGGCTCTAAAAGCGGCATGCTCGGAATGAGTCGCGTGCGAGATCCGAGCCGTGTCTCTAAGTGCCAAGCACGCAGCTGATGAGCCTCGGCATCTCGCATCTCGCATCTCGTATTTCTGGCAAGACTGCGGCTGTGGGTGCAGGCTGCGCATAGAGGCGGATGGCAAATCAAGCTCTCCTCACTGTTGTAATGAATCCAAAGAACATGGAAGAACACCCACTCGACTCCGGCCTATCAATCGAACACGAATGCGAATGCATTCTTGGTGGATGAAGCACGCCGCCCACTCCGACTCCGTAATAATTCCGCCAGCTTCCTCTTCCTCTTCCTCCATAAATTCCAAACTCGCCCCAGGGCGGACGGAGAACTACGACTTGCTACTACTCCGTCCATACTACTAAACCTCCATCCATCTCTCGCTTCCTCGCTCCCTCGCTCCCTCCCTCTCTCTCTCTCTCTGTGTACGGATACAAATTTCGCCTTCCCTGCCATTCACACCCAGGTGGACCGGAGAGCACCCACAATTGTTCCCGAAGTCAAGTGCTTGCTCGCGTCTATATCCCTGTCGCCCACCCTTCCCTCGGTTTGGTGCTGTCGGTTCGGGTTCAGCTCTGATCTTGGTCATCTTGGTTCTGTTGTAGGGCTCAGACAACCAGCTCAGCCCAGCTCGGATCTGGTTATTCTGTTGCGGCGTACGAGGATCTTGGGAGAGGCGCGGATCTGATCGACCTGCTTAGTCTGTGGAGATTGTCGTGTGATCCGACAGGAGGAACGAAGCCAGCCAGCGCGCGAATCGAGCGTGGAGATCTGCGGTTTTTGTGAAAAGGCGCACGACAACAACCAGAATCTATCTGAACTACAGGACTTTTCTCCGTGCATACCTGCATCTTGAACCGCAATCACCGTGCGCTTACATCACTTGTTGCCACCATGCCCATCAAGTCCAATTTCCCCGACCTCGACCTGAAGGTCACCGACATTTTTTCCTTCCTCTTCAATCGCAAAGACCGGCAGTTCCCCGATGATCAAAGTAAGTTCGAATCCAGCATAAGCACACTCTCAAGATGTGATGTGTGGTCCAAGTTTCCTGTCGAGAAACGACGCGAATCACCCGGTCTTCTGGAGCTCTGTTGCTAACTGGTTTGTCCACAATAGTCATCTTCCAGGACGCCGACAACCTCGACCGCCAATATACCTATACCCAACTCAGACAGTTGAGCATTGACTTTGGCAAAGGTCTCAAATCCAACCATGGCTTCCGCAAAGGCGATGTGCTGGGTCTGTTCGTGCCCAACGACATTGAAGTCCCCCCGGTTGTGCTCGGCACCCTTTGGGCAGGTGGGGTCGTGTCCCCGGCCAATCCAGGCTATACCGTCGCCGAACTGGTGTATCAACTCAAAGACTCGGGAGCACGTGTGCTGGTCACGCATCTGAGCGTGCTGGACAACGCGCGTAAGGCAGCCGCCGAAGTAGGCATTCCCGAATCCGACATTCTGCTCCTGGGCAAGGATGGAGACCCGGGGCGCAAGTTCAAGCATTGGTCAGCCGTCCGCAACTTGGAAGGTACTGTCCGTTGGAAATCGCCCAAGATCGATCCGAAAACCGACCTGGCATTTCTAGTCTACTCGTCCGGCACGACAGGCCGGCCGAAAGGTGTCAAGCTCACACACCACAACATGACATCCAACATGGAGCAAATCCATGCTACCGAGGGCTGGCTGACGTGGAACGGATCCAAGAGCGTGCCCGGCATCCCGGATGCCCCCAAGGGCAAAGGTGACAAGGTCCTGGCGTCTCTGCCGTTCTTCCACATCTATGGGCTCAACCTACTCGTACTCTCGCCCATCTTTTCGGGCGTGCACCACTTGGTTCTTGCGCGGTTCGAGCTGGAGAAATGGTGCCGGCTGGTACAAGACCAACAAGTTACCTTCAGCTACATCGTACCACCCATCGTGCTGCTCCTGTGCAAGGCGCCCGTGGTGGGCAAGTACGACTTGAGCTCGCTGCGCATGACCAATTCCGGCGCGGCCCCGCTGACCCGGGACCTCGTGGAGACGCTGTATAAACGCAAAGGCGTGCGGGTCAAGCAAGGGTACGGGCTCAGCGAGACGAGTCCGACCATCTTCATACAGCGGTGGGAAGACTGGCTAGACTCGGTCGGCTCAACGGGATGGATGGTGCCCAACCTCGAGGCCAAGTTCTGCGCCGTGCCCGGGCCAGGCCAGGAGAGCGACGGCAACAAAGAAGTGCCCCGCGGCCAGGTGGGCGAGCTGTACGTGCGCGGACCGAACGTGTTTGTCGGGTACCATAACAATCAGGCTGCCACGGTCGAGTGTCTGGACCAGGACGGCTGGTTCCGTACCGGCGACGTCGGCTTCATGGACGATAAGGGCAACTTGACCATCACGGACCGCGTCAAGGAGCTTATCAAATACAAAGGCTTCCAGGTGCCGCCGGCCGAGCTGGAGGGATACCTGGCCAACCATGAGCTGGTGGACGATGTTGCTGTGGTGGGCGTCGACAGCGCCGAGCTGGGCACCGAAGTGCCTCGCGCCTACGTGGTGCGCAAGGGCGGGCTCCAGGCGGTCAAGCCCAAGGACGCCCAGGAGATCATCACCTGGCTGAATGGCAAGGTGGCCAACCATAAAAAACTGCGAGGCGGACTCAAGTTCGTCGATGCTGTCCCTAAGAGTGTCAGCGGGAAGATCTTGAGGAGGGTGCTGAAAGAGTCGGCCCAGAAGGAGTTTAAGGCGGAAGAGCAGGCCAAGTTGAAGGCCAAGTTGTAAGGCTTGTCGAAAATGCCGGTGGAGGCCGGGAAGTCAACCGCCTCGTTTCTAGAAAGACGAGGTGTGGCGGACTGCTCTCCAACAGGAGAGATCAGTCATCTGGTTTTCTCCCTCTCCTGTTTTTTCAGGAGCACGCGAAGGCCAAGATGTCTACGTTCTTCAAAATATGTTTGTGTCTGATCCAGTAGTACGAGTAGTGTATAGCAGGTAGCACCAATCATACATATCAGGAGCCTCGCCGCGTCCATCAATCGTGGGATTACGTGGCCTCCTAAGCCTTCCAAGGTTGGCTAGGTATGTACTCCGTACATGTATGGTCTTCACAACTACCTAAGAATGAGAGCTATCCGAATCCCACCACTTACAGTCGGACTGCCTAGTCCTCCGTACTCCGTACTGTGTCCGTCTCGAGCAAAACCTTCAGCGTTGAGATGACGTGAAAAACTCGGTCGAGGTCTCTTCTCCCCGGTCATCGTGAGGACAGTTGACAGTGGACACTACTCGACGTAGCTCTCACCATGTGGGCGCAGTCCACGGTGGAATCGAGTGCCAATGGCCGATATCCGCGCGGACTCTAGTCACCCCCGCATACGCATACACCAAGCATGGTTTCATCAGCTCAGTCCTAAATGGGATAATGAGAAACAGCCCGCGAAGGATGATCTCTGCTAGTGAGAAACAGCCCGCGAAGGATGACCTCTGCTAGCTGGAATCCGTCCAAGAAATCGCCGAGCAACTGGAAACATGTCTGTCAGAGGCGGCTGTCCAGCCCAGCCATCCCTCAAGAGGACTGACTGTTTGAGGACGGTCCTCAGCCTGGCATGCCAACAACCCTTGAAGCCTGTCCTGACTGGGATTGCTCGGTACAGAGAACTCCGTACGAAGGACCCGTACTGTGTGCTATTTCTTTTTCCAGACTTCATCTGCAAAAACAAGCGGCAGATCGCGTCGGCAGCAGCGCAGGGGCAGGGGCAAGGGTTGCGGGTTGGATTGCGGATTGCGGCTTCCTGCAGCTGAAACCAGACTTCTGCGTACGGAGTACTCGTACAGTAGATGGCGGGGGTTTTTGGCCTAAGGCCAGGTGTAAGGAGTACATGCGAGTACGGATCCTGCTCACGGCATCTACAAGGAGAGGAGGGTGGTGGTGGTTGCATAAAAGCTGACCTTCGGAGTACGGATCCTCCGTACCTGCAGAGCAGTGTCACTGTGAACACAGGGAACGTCGGGTGAAAGCGGCATCTGCTCTGTCTCTAGGTACCTACCTATTTAGGTCTGTCTGTATGGAGTAGCATGAAACATGAAACACTGAAACACTGAAGCGGTTATCGTTCGCGGCTAACCTGGGAGTAATATGGGTACGTTGCTACCTCGCTACCGCCCCTACATACGAGTAGAACATCCACGTACGAGTACGGATACTCGTATGTACATACTCGGTCCAAAAGGTACTCCGTATGCAGTCTCCCTGGGAGAGGAGCAGGGATCAAGGTCCAGCAGGCACAGGCACAGGTCCTGTAGCGAGTGCTCTATGTCATACTGTAGGACCTGAAGATGCTTCTACGGATTTCGGAGTACTGAACCTAAGGCATACGCATTGGTACAGTACCAACCTATTCGGTGTAGTATGTAGTATCCGTCCTCTGTACAGAGTACTCTACCCACCAACGCTACCTACCTACCACCTAAGGTAGTACCTGGCATAGAATACGAGGTAAGGTATAGTGCTCACAAAGAACTACTAACAGAGTATGGTATGTATGTACTCCGTACCCCGGACTAATTACTATAACACTCCGTTCAAGCTGACAGCTGGGCTGGTGCTCTCCATGTGTCCAGGACAGGCGCAGAACCCCCCCTTCCGCTGGGCCGCGGACCTCTAGGCGCTGATCCAAGGGCTGCTTAGGCGTTAGCCCAACGGCTTGGGCTTAGGGGCCCCTGGCGTGGAAGACAGGGGAGGCCCTTGACCAGTTCCCGCCTAGACAGGCCCATTAGTATAGGCTGCACCAGGCCCAAGGATCCCTCCGTTGTGTTTGTATGTAATCTGCACGGCTGCTCCCTTGATTCCCGCGCGGCGATTCCGCCCTGGTGCCAATGGCCTAATAATAAAAAAAGCTGTATTGGCCAGGGTCTTTGCCCGGAAGCCTCAGGCCCCTAAGCCTTAGTTAAGCCCTAAGCCCCTAAGCCCTTAGCTTCAGGCTCAGGCTTAACCTTAGGCTTAGGGGCCTTAGGGCCTTGAGCGAACTTGTCCCGCCTCCCAGCTCCCAGCTCATAGCTCCCAGCTCATAGCTCCCAGCTCCCAGCTCCCGCCGTGACCTCCACCTCCACCTCCTACCTCCCATCCGAAGTTTCACATTCTGTAACATGCGACACTCGCCGCACTTTCGACTTTCGACGAACGCCGCAAACGGAGCCTGCGAACAAACCGGTCGGGCATCATTTTCTATCATTTCCCACTTCCATTTCCACCGTCACAGTCACAAGCCTTCGGCCCCCTTCGACCTCGGAACAAGAGAGACACATGCACCACCGTCGCTTCGAGATCATGTTATAACACCACACCCAGACTCAGACCCAAACCACCTCCCCCCATCCTTCGTTGAACGATCCTTTTTCCTCCCAGCTCCCTGTACTCGTCGCACCCACCACTACTCTGAACACGACACAGCGCCACCGGTACTATCAACCTGAACCTCGAGCACACTCGAAGCTTTTCACATTAGATTTTCTCTTACCATCCTACCATGGCTCCCTCGTCCGAGTCCCGCTCCATCTCGACGGACAAATCTCGTGCCTACAGCACCTCGTCCTCGTTCAACCTGACGGTGCTGATATCCGGGTCCGGGACCAACCTACAAGCCCTCATCGACGCCTGCGGCCAGTCCCCTTCAGGAGACAGCGGCCCTCGGACCCTACCCCAAGCCCAGATCACCCATGTGATATCGAACCGGCGTGATGCGTACGGCCTGGTTCGCGCCGAAGAAGCCAACATTCCCACGACGTACCACAACCTCGTCGCATACAAGAAGAAACACGCCAACACCGAAGCCGGCGTCCAGGCAGCGAGAAGGGAATACGACGCCGATTTGGCGCAGAAAATCCTCACCCACATCCCATCTCCGGATCTCGTGGTTTGTGCGGGCTGGATGCACATTCTGTCGCCGGTCTTTGTCAACGCGCTGGCCGCGGCAAATGTGCCCATCATCAACCTCCATCCGGCGTTGCCTGGCCAGTTCAACGGCGCCAATGCCATCGGGCGCGCATACGAGGCCTTCCAGCGCGGCCAAATCTCCAAGACCGGCCTCATGGTCCATTATGTCGTCGACGAGGTGGATATGGGCCAGCCCGTCCTGGTCAAAGAGATCGACTTCAAGTCTGGGGAGAGCCAAGATGACCTCGAACAGAGAATGCACCAAGCAGAGTGGCAGCTCCTCGTCGAAGCTACAGGTAAAGTGCTAGCCGAGCTGGAAGGGAAGAGACGAACCGAGGCCTGAAATCGGAATGAGTTTGGCTTGGTGCTTGGTGCTTTCAAGCTGGTCACCTCTTAAAATCAAGCTAGCCATCTCCTAAACTCAAGCTGGCCTGGCCACCACCTAGTTTAGGAGGAGAGGAAAATCTTGAGTATTTGGGACGGGTCATGGAGGACGGAACATGGTCTACAATTCTACAACAGAAAAACACCTCTATTCATATGTGGGTGGCTAAAAGTCGATTATGCGATGAGAACCAGCGAGGTGTTGATTCTTGTGGCTGTTCAGTGGTGGTTTTTGTCTGTGGATTTGGGATTGGGATTGGGATTGGGATTTTGACGTCTTGGAGTCTTGGAGGGAGCTCCATTACTATGCTATGCTATGCTATGCTATGCTATACTTGCAGTTGTAGTGTGTAGTGTGTGGTATGTAGTATGGCAAGAATGGAATGGAATGGAAACACGAGTGGATAGTATATAGGATCTGGTGTCTAGTGTTTTCTGTTCTGTTTTCTGTTCTGTTTTCTTCCATTCTGCTTTACGGCCTGCCTCGCGAACGGAAAGGAAGTTCTGCCTCCCACCGCCCACTTCCCACCGCTGAGTCGCGTAGAGTAGACCAGACTAGAGCGAAACAAAGATAAAGATAAAGTAGCGGCGAAGTAGAACAGACTAGATAGACAGTGCCGGACAGAGCAGAGCAGATGGACAGGACCGGATAGAGTAGAGTAGAGTAGATCAACAGTGCTGGAAAGGGTAGAGTAGAGTAGATCAGCAGTGCTGGAAAGGGTAGAGTAGAGCAGATCAACAGTGCCAGACAGAGCAGAGCAGAGCAGAGCAGAACAGAGGCCAGTCATGCTAGTATTGATATCATAATTTATCATTCATATCCCATCATGGCGAGCTGAATACAAGTAGGCCAAGACTAAGGCTCACAATCGATCAGTGACCTCGAACGAGCTTGACTACTGTAAAGCCTTATGGACTTAGACCAACTAAGGTACAGACACACACACACGATAGTAGCAGACATGTAGTAAGATTCCAAGGAGGGTTGATTGACCAGCTCAAACTTGGCTCGAGCTGAAAACTAAACTCCAACATACCTACTGGTGCTACCTACCTATAGGTTTGTATCATCAATCATACCGTATCTCCTCCATATCCAAGCACCTCGACCACGACGTTGCCAATCGTAGACAAGGTCCAGAGCCCGATCAAGCCCAACCCGATTCTACGATCCATCCTCCACCCATTCAACGGCACCACGATCAACAACCCCACCAGCGTCACCAACAAGGTGATGCCCGAGATCATCAGCGTCGTGCTGACCTCGATCTGGTACGGTTGATATTCGATCGGTCGGTGCGGATGTTTGGCGTGCGTGTGGCTGGCCTTGTGGATCATCATGTACATGCCACCGATCCCGATGCCGAGCAGGATATTCAGCATGGGCCCGCCAAAGCACGCCGAAAGCGCCATCACCGGGTATCCCAGTTTGGCCACCGTGATGTCGGCAACCAGATCACCCAGGGAATTGCCCACGGCGAAAATAGTCAGCCCCAGAATGGCGTCCGAGATGCCCAAGATGACTCCAAACGCCTTCAACACGCCAACCACTTCGTTGGCGATGGTCGAGATCCACGCTATCGCCACCGCGAAGCCCAGGAAGCATAAGAGCGGTCGATATTTAGGTTCGCGGTTCGCGGTTGTCAAGGAGAGTAGCACGGAAAGGGAGATCAGCGAAAACACCAACGACCCCAACACCACTCGGATGTAGAGCTTGATCGTGTGACCCTCGTCCATATTGGCCCAGACAATGGCGACCACAAACAATGGTGCTGTAAACACCTGCACAAACACCAACCATCTGTTCCACTCCTTCTGCCCGGCCGGCACGCCAGCAGTGGCAGTTTTCGGCGGGTAGTCCGACAGGGTCCGGGTCAAGCTGGTTCCGTGAGGATGGGACGTTCCAATAACTTCAGGCAGAGTGGCTTTGGGGGCGAGATCTGCGGGGTCACTTGGTAGACCGACATGGCTGTGAGTTCGGCTGTGATAGCCTCCTCCCGGCGCCAAAAGGTCCGGGTCCAGATCTTCGGGTTGGTCCTGCTTGGGCTCAACGACAGGCAGGGTAATGGTTAGGAGGAACACACTGGGAGCGGTGACGACGCCGAGTATTCGATCGGTGATCGACTTCTCGCGCCATCCGCGCAGCGTGGGGAAAAGTGTCGCGATGATATCTTGCGGGGCCGGAAGGTGTTTGTACGGCCACCAAGAAAAGTGACGCCTGGGCTCCTCATCCTCGTCGAGAAGAAGGCCAAAACGATGGGCGGATTCCGGCGACATGCTGGGCTCCGGCAGGTGCATGCTAGCAGACCTCGACGACATGGGAGAATCTGAATAAGGGGGGAAGTCTTCCTGTTGCAATCGCCGTTGTTGGTGATCTGGATGTGGTGTGCGCAGAATCGGGATCTGCAACGTTGGGCCAGCTCTAGGGGAGTACAGCGGACTACTGTCTTCTCCATGACGCTCCTCGTTGTAGTTGGGGCGACGGAACGAGGTTGCGGGTGGCGCCAGAAGATTAGCTGATCTGATAGAATCGGGGAGTTGAGCTTGAGCATCCAGGCGATGTTGTGAGCTCGTGGGTGACAAAACAAGTTTCGGTGAGGCCGCATTGCGCTCTTGAGTCGAAGGCTCGTTGAGCGTTCGTAAAATCTCCGCGCTAGGTCTGGAGTGCGTTTCCGGGGCTGTCAAGGAAGAAGCGTCACTGATCAGAAGACTTCCGGCTCCCCTTTCGGACGCAATGTCGGATAGGAAATCCGTGTCAAGTCGGAGGCCTGTAGCATCGTTGGCAGAAACTGCGCGTCCTCGAACCCCTGGGCCGTGGGGTTCTTCCTCAATGCCGAGGAGGTCGTGAGAAGAATGGCGGACAAGTTCTGGCTGAGAGGCGTGAGGAGGAGCACTGACGGGACCTGGACTCAGATGCGTCGTGTCTTCTGACGAATATCGACGCAGACCGATGGGCCGTGTAGTTGTACTCTTCTTTTCCAACGAAGTCATGAGTGACCTGAACTCCAGGGCCCCGATCAAGCTCGGCCGGATCGGGGTCATGGTGTTTCTTCTTTCTCCCCGCGGTGCGCGGCCAACTCTCATCTTGCTTTGCAACTCCGCGAGGTGTCGATCTCTAGCTTCGTCATCATCGTCCAGATCTTCGACTCTCCAGGTTGGAGTCCCGGGAGTGCGCAGGGTTGAGACACTCTCGCCGGACGATGAGCGAAGGAGGCCGGTCCGCTCACTTGCCGGGCGAGCTTCTTCGTCTTCCTCTATGTGAGGTATTTCGAGTTCCTGGGCGTCTGGAATATGGTGACCCAGCCTGGCTGTCGTTTCGGCCAATCTAATTCGCCTTCGTCTTGTAAGCCACCAATGCCACGCAACCACAAAGACCACGTAGAAGACATAGTAGCCGATCATGGTCGCACACTCCCAGAGTCGCAGACTCCCGTCCGCCAGGAAGACCAGACTGAAACTGGCAGCCACCGCGAAGAACCCGACGTCTCGGACAAAACTCTTTTTGGCGACCTGGAACGGTGCCACCAAGGCCATACTCCCGGCGACCACGGCGGAAATGAATCCAGCGGCGCCCACCAACTCTCCCACTGCCAGACTGCCGCTGTTGCTGCTCATGGCCGCGAATGTGGAGAAGACATCCGGACTCCCATTACCAAAGGCCAGGAATGTGACTCCCGTCAAGCTCTCACTCATCCCCAAAATCGTGGCGATCGTGCTCAGGTTTATGCAGAGAAAGTCCGAGGCCACCATGCCGATGGTGCTGAACAGGAGACTGACCCATAGTACCAGGATGATGAACGCCAGCGGCTGCGCATGCGGGAGGGAGCAATAGTAGAATTGTAGGTATGAGATGAGACCAGCTTCTTCATCGGGGCAGTTGTTCTTCACAAAGGCACACTTGTCGCTGGAACGGTGGACGAGCCGACACTAGATTCGACGAGTTAGCTATCGGCGCGGCTTGAAGCGGCGTTCGACAGGGATAGGGTTGGGTTGATCGAACCTCCAAGTCGTGTGGCTTGAGTGACCGGGCGGCAATGGACTCGGCATGGTGCGCAGTCTCAGGGCCCAAGCCTCTCAACAAGCTGTAACACGCAAACAAGGTGACTATCAGGGCGGTGGCATAAAAGGTGCGCCCGTGATGCTGGCGCGGGCGGCGCAGGGAGGGAGGGTGAACAGGGGCCATCGGGGAGGGTCGCACTTCATGCTGAACAGATTGGGACGGGTACGGAGAGTAAGGATATCATGGACGAGACTGGGAGAGACGCCGGTATGGGTATGAACAAGATGGGCAGGATAATATGTACAGACAGACAGATGGACGAGAAGTCGATGTCGATGTCGATGTTACTGTCGATGTCGCATCCAACTTCTCACTCCACCTGCAGATGCAAACCAGGAAATAATGTGAATCGGTGACCTTCCGTCATTATGCATTTGCTGCTCTCACCTCTCACATCTCCGCACGGCCACAGCCATGGCCACCAGGGCTCAAGGCATGCACTAGACGCCAGAACTGTGCTCGGACTCTTCCAAGGCTATTAGGTGTTACTGGATTTCAGTATACCAGGGCGTGGCCATTCTCCTCCACAAACTATAGACCTGCGGCAGACTCTGTACTGCCTGCATCGTTCCTCTTCACCCAATCCTGGACACCTCACATCATGGTCCAACCATGGCAGAATCAATGCAATCCCATGGCTTAATTACCACCGGTGACAATTGGCCACTAGGCATCGACTGCTTGGAAACAACAATTACAGTGTATCTGTAAGGTACGGGTACACCAGACGGTGCTGGGCTTCGAGGCTTCCTCCATGTGCGCGAACTTCGAAGTCCTGTATCCTGTGAGCCGAGGCTTGTTCACAAATCATCCCCGGTCCCTGTCCCTGTCCCTGTCCCTGTCCCTCGCCCTCAGATCTCGGTTATTTGCTATTTCCTGCACTTCTACAATTTAACTGTTGGTTGGTCTCGCACGGTCCGATCAATAACTGCATGTTTCTCTCAAAGATGACCTCTGAGCCTTATCCCTGACAAAGTCCATCCTGTGGTCGCACTCGCTTCAGCATGGCACCAGCACCGACCTTTGCGGACGTCCTGCCAGTCAAGCAGCTCTCCTCGCATCAATACACAGTGGCCCTCGAGAACGAGTGGTGTATAGGAACAGGTTGGTCTCAGACAGCCCTGGCCCCTTCTCCTGCCTTCCACTGAGAACAAATCGCAGTGCCCAATGGCGGCTACGTGACATCGGCCTTCCTGGTCGTTGCGCGCACCCACATGTCCCTCACCCACCGCAGTCGCGCCGAACCTCACCCTATAAACCTACACCTGGAATTCCTGCGGCGCACGTCTATCGGCCCTACATTATTCACAGTCAAGGACGTGAAACTCGGCGCGCGCATCAGTAATCTGCACATCACGCTGTCGCAGCAAGAAGGCCCCAACGACCAATGGCAAGACGAAGTGGAGGGATACATCACCATAAGCAACTTGGGCACGGAAGCGGGATTGAGCATTGACACGGACTACGAATTGTACCCGCCAGTGCTTCCGGTCGACTTGAACCTCCTCTCGCGCGGCCAGGACCCGAACTACGCTCTGCGGGTGGAGGACCCGTTCGCTGAATTCCGACGAGCCGCGCAGAATATCCAGATGTTCCTGATCCGGCCGGAGCGGAGGCCTGCAGGCCGGTCGAAGGCCATCATTGATCAATGGGTGCGGTTTGCCGTCGGCGGCAACGGCCCGAACGGCCGCTGGACCAACGACGCCCTGGGATTTATCGTCGACATCTTCCCGCAGATTGTCGAGAGCTATGTCAACCCTTTCGTCGAGGAGGCCGCGCTGGGCCAGCACTCGGAAAGCGAGCTGAAAGAGTTCTTGCGCTCCAACGAGCCCCGCGCCAAATATTGGTATCCCACGCTCGTGCTGAATCTGGATGTCAAAAAACTCTTGCCTCCGGAGGGCGTCGAGTGGTTGTTCGTCCGCGTCAAGGCCAAGGCAATCAGGAATGGGAGGTTTGATTTGGACGTCGAGGTCTGGGATGTCCAGAAGGAGTTGGTCGCCACGAGTTCTCACTCGAGTCTGGTCGTCGACGCCTCGAGGAATACGACCCGCAAAGGGAAGACCAAGACCGCCAAGCTGTAGAAGACGCCGTCTACATATCTACATGCGATTGTCTAGATTTGGTACTCCCGGTCAAACCACAGCAGGTTGAGCTATCAGCAATGTCGATATGCTGTCTGGCTTTACTCTAAACTAGCATTGACCACGACACGACGGATGGAAGTGTGGGCTGTTTGAAAATAAAGGTGTTTTGAGCAAGGGAGGCTAATGATACAAGTAGAGCGGGTGGAAATAATACAGCCAAAACCAGATGGCCCACGAGCAGGATATGCTATTACAGTTACATATGCTGCAGACCACCTACAGGTAAATAGATCTATTTGAGCCACAGGTGCTTCTGGGTAGCGTTTTCCTGGTCCGAGCGACTCACTTCTCGTTATCCCATCTCGTCGATCGCACTATCATCATGGACTCCAGATCTGATTAACTTGGCTCATGACTACTCCTCGGCTTCATTCAGCTTCTCTTGACCAAGCCACGAGGCGGTCTGGGAGGTAAAGACGGATAGAGCCTGCATGTCTCAGGCACCCGACGTTCTAGCCCATGCTTGAAGGCCTCGACAGGCGAATGGTAAGAAGAGACGCTGTCAGACAGGGAAGCTCATTGCGGCAATAGGAGGACGAAGGAGTTTGTGTGGTGTGGCGGAGGAAATGTGGAGGAGGCAGGGTGCCAGGATGGCGGGAGCATGATCGACCGGCCGGTTGGTTGGTCGAATCGAGGCGAGAAGAGTCTAGATCCGGATTTAGGTTGCTCGCCAAAAGGCGGAGTGTATGAAGGACACGGCCTCTGGCCACTGCAGTGGACGGATGATGGAAGTATGGAGGACGATGGAAGTCGTGAGACGGCAGAGCAAGACAATGATAGGTACCTATTGGTGCACCGTGCAGTGACATCAGGTTGCACGGATATCTAGGACGGTTGAATAGACTGCATTCTGTACTCTGTATTCCGTACTCCGTACAGTAGGCTCCTCACCCATGTCATGCATCAGGCTCCCACGACGAAACTCCACCCTGCTGCCTTCTTCTATGCCGCATCTGGATGTTTATGGGATGACAGTCATGAAAGCTGGACGCCTTAGCCAACGAAAGAGAAGCCATATAAACCCCCTTGATCTCATTGTACAGAAGTCCTCCAGACAGCCTCCCATTTTTTTAATGCCAGAGACTCGTTGATTGCATTGAAGTCCATTATCCATTGTCCATAATGTCAGGCCCTACTCCAGCCAAACGACCCTTCACCGGCGGTTGCCACTGCGGTTCCATCAAGTATGAAGCCACCATCCTGCTCACTGACCATCCGGTGGCCACCCGCTGCAACTGTACCATCTGCCTCAAACAAGGGTTCACTGGCGTGCAGCTGGACCCGCAAGACTTCCGCCTCCTGTCTCCCGAATCGTTCTCCCAGATCAAAGACTATCAATTCAGATCCAAGGACGTGCACAAGTACTTCTGCGACACATGCGGGATTCACGTTGTTGGGAGGGGCCAATTCGAATACGAAGGCTCCGTTCACCACTTCTTCGCTCTCAACATCCTGACGCTCGACCAGCCACAGGAGGGGCTTGATCTTGCTCGATTCAAGATCAAATACGTGGATGGGAAGAATGACAACTTCAAGGCCGGGGCCAGGGATGTTCCATGGCCATGGGGGTGTGTTTGAGGGTTCAATTGTCATCCTGGCCTTGTTCTTGTCCCGGAGCTTCCTACATACATTCTCGAATACGCTATTGGAGAAGCGTGACTCGATGGGAATGTTTTGCTGCTGCTGCTGCTTCCTCTTCTGGCAAAGAACTTTCCCATCAATCTTGATATCCAGATCGGATTGGCACATACAAGCCCCTTTCCGCCAATCAAACGATGTGCTGGGGTGTTCTACGGGTTGGGGAGGAGTCTTGGATGGGCAACATCTTTGGCTGTGGGATGAAGGAAGTCTCCCATCCTCACCAATACAATTGAAGGTCATAAGTTCTGCTACTCCGTACTCTAGGTGTGGGACGCGCGGGGGTAATGAGTACAGGAAAATGACGCTCCACAACCCCCCGAAATCTTGGGGTCTCGCCGACCTCGGCACTGGGTTTGTGCTGACGCTTCTGTTCATCTTGTTCATACTGTACCTAGGGAAATCAGAAAGAAAAGCCAGACCCTGCCCTCATCTTGGTACTCTTTTAGTATCTTATCAAGCTGGATCTATCCAACCAGAATCACCCTGGCAGACTAGCACCGTGAGATTCATAAGTCCTCATATCCAACCAACCCCGGACTCGTCCAGTCAACGACCTGAAAATTCGCTATTTGGCTGGTAAAAGGCCAGTAGCCAAAGGCCTTATCAAGATGACATTCACTTATCCTCCGCCGTCGACCTCTTTCGCTAAACTGTCGTTCCCTGCGCCGCGAGTGGTGCTGGTAACCTATTCGCGCCCGGAGAAATTGAACTGCACGACTGCGGCCGACGTGCTCGAGATCACTGCGATATTCCGGTGGATCGACCAAGAACCGTCTCTGTCCGTGGCCATCCTCACGGGCGCGGGTAAGGCCTTCTCGACAGGTGCCGACCTGAAAGAATGGGCGGCGAAAGTCAGCGGTGCCGGTGCCAGCGCCAAACCAGGTGCAGGACCAGGTGACGTCCCCGGGGCAATCCCCATGTCCAATCGCGTTGGCAAGAAGCCGGTCATCGCAGCTGTGAACGGCATGGCGCTCGGCGGGGGTTGCGAGACTGTGGTAAACTGTGACCTGGTGGTCGCTGCCGACACGGCCACGTTCGGCCTGGTCGAGGTCAAGCGTGGCGTGGCGCCCTACGCCGGGGTGCTGCCGCGACTCATTAGAACCGTGGGACTGCAGAGGGCAAGTGAGTTTGCCTTAACCGGCGCAGTCATCAGCGCGCAGCAGGCGGAGAACTGGGGGTTGGTCAATAAAATCGTCCCGCAGCAGGACGTGGTCAAGGAGGCCGTGAGGTATGCCGAGTTAATTGCCGAGAACAGTCCTGATTCTATCATCTGCACGAGAGCTGGGCTGAGGCAAGGCTGGGAAACTGCCAGTGTCGTGGAGGCTACGGCCGTGACGGGACAGAAGGAGTGGGCAGAACTGCAGAAGGGAGAGAACATTCTCGAGGGGCTGAAAGCGTTCAAAGAGAAGAGGAAGCCTGTATGGAAGGCCGCGCGGCTGTGAGCTATGAGCTGTGATTGCGGCCTGAGCCTCTGGTCAGACTTTATGCGTCTCGATGAGCGCATGAGCGCAGGGACACGGAACTCACCACGAATGATAGCAAAAGCACCATCTGGGGTTACTCGATGTAAAAGTACAGGGAAAACGAGACACTGTGTATTAGACGCACACCTCTCTGCTGCAAATCGAGGACCAATTCTCTCGCCGCGGAAATGGCTGGCTTCTTTGGCTGGACTGCCTCGTGCGCTCATGATCGAAGCAAGCTGCGATAGCAATCGCCATTGACATCGACATCAGCGCCACTCTACCCCTTCATTCACCATAGTGTCAATCCCAAACAGCAATCTTCTCGTTGTCTTGGTCTTTTTTTTGTCGCCCTCCTCCCCAACTACAGTCTGCATGACCTCGTCAGCCCCTCCGCCTAGACCTTGCGGTAACCTGGACCCCCGGCACTGCCACGTCTCATGAACGAGGTCAATTTAGGCGGCCTTGGGGCATCGACGAAAGAGAAGGACTAATAATATGATCCTGGTGACGATCCATGCTCACATACGTACGAGAGGTAAAAGATGGATTTGAATTGGATTGGGTATGGTCGACTTAGGTGGGATTGCGTGATCCCTGTATTGTTAGGTCAGCTCTCGACAGGCCGACTTGCTACCTCAACTGGCCCTACAGTACACTACTGTACTGTTTTCTATCAGGTCTATCTCCACGATTCTGCTGTTGGCTGCATCATTGGCATAGTCCCGATGGCACCAACCCCCTCGAGCAATGCGGTCGCACCTAAACCTGCTCGACAGGCGACGGCCTGTACCTACTGCCGGACACATAAAATCAAGTGTGATACAGAGCAGCCTTCATGTCGGAATTGCAGGACGCGAGGGATCGAATGTATCACCACCGATCTCCGGCGCCCTGGACGCACAGGTCGACGAACCAACCCTGTAGGGCGTCGCAGAAGTAACGCCAACCCGCGACCTTCTGCTAGCAGTCGGCGTCCATCTGTCACTCGACCGCGTTCCCAAGCAACGCCTACATCTTCCTCTGGATCTCCCTCTCCACCTACGTCTCCCACAGCGAAACTGCTTGTTCCGATCCCTCATGAGAGCCCACTACCTTCGATGTTCCTGCTTCCTTTCGCAGAGGATCATCATCAGCGCCGTCGTCGTTCCAACAGCCACGAGGCCGTGGTTCAACATTCACGTCGAGAAACGAGCATGACGGAGGGACAATCCGAACCGAGATCCCTTCCCGGTGGTCAAGGCCCTCGAAGTTCCCATCTAACCGTCGTCGCTGACAAGAGTCGCTCACGATTTCAGGTCATTGGTAGTGGGAGCAGTATGTATATTCTGGTGCAGTGGCTCGATCTTTTCTTTGCGAAACGCGACTTTTGGACTCCCATCTTTCCATTTTTCCAACAAGGACTGTCATACTCTGTCGAGATGCCTCTCCCCTTGCTACCATCACTCCCGCCTTTACCACCGCCTTCAAAAGTTGAAGAGTATGTAGCGACCTTTTTCTCACGAATCCACCCCATTCACCCTGTCCTCGACCAGGACATGTTCTATGATTCGATCGAGGATCTTCGGTCCAAGCTAGAAGCACATCCCTCTGCTCTTGATTCGAGAGACTACCCTGCGCTGGCTTGCAGCTATGCCGTCTTTGGCATTGCTGCCGATGAATTGGAAGGACAGCCCACGGAGCTGGGCAAGTACTATCTTGAGGGCGCATATTTCCTCTACGCGCATCTTGTGGCCATACCTTATGTTACGTCGGTGCAAGCATTGCTGCTACTGACCGTCGCCTTGAAGAATCGGAATAAAGATGGAGCTAGCTGGGAAACGCTGGGACAGGCAATACGAATCGCACAATCGATAGGATTGCATCGGCATGACTGGGCGATGCACAGAGGCTCTAACCTCATGAATGCGGATTCTACGGACGCCACCCAGATGGAAGACCTTCACTCCCGGATCTGGTGGACTGCCTACATTCTCGAAAGGGCCATGGAGTTGGAAACAGGCAGACCCTCGGCCATTCGAGACTCTGACTGTAACCAGATCCTACCACAGCCGGTGCTTCCTCCGCAATCGACAGACTTGAGCTTTGATTACTTTGCTGCACTCATCGGCCTTGCTCGAATCCAAAATTCGATCAATGATTTATATCGCCCTAGACCCCATCGACGCAGAACCAAAGATCTGCTACATCAAATGGGACGCTTGGATCGCTCCTTACAGGACTGGGCGGCGGGTTTTCCCGAAGAGATTAGGTACGCAATGTATTGTGCGGCCAGTTCTGAGACAAGATAGTAACATCCTGCCAGACCTGGCCGAGATGTCTTCTGTCCTTCCGAGGAGTATCATCTTGCAACATACATCACGTTACATTACCATCAGACGTGAGTTTGAGTATCCCAATTGGACTTCCTAATACTAAGTCACCAATCTCTTCAAGTGTTATCGCACTACACAGACCAGCCCTCATGTCAGCCACCAGCTGGCTAAGAAACCGAGTGACCCATCTGTGCGCAGGAACTCCTTGGAAAAACAGACTGAGGTACTGTCTTTGCATAGGAGCTGCCTCGGGACGGTCTATTCTCAAAGCCTGGAGTGATTTGTTGATGTACAGCAAGCCGTCACTCTTAATCACCCTCAATCAGGCCACCCTTGCCATTCTGGTCCTGGCAATGTACGTGATCAGAATTCCATCAAGTCGAATGAAGGACTCGGACTTGGCAGTAAGGGAACTCTCTCACACACAAATTCATGCTCGCTTATTGACTTGCCCTTAGATGGTGGTGACATTTACGGAAGAGGTTGAACGGGAATATCTGAGGATGGGCCAGGACGAAGAGTTCATCAATGGTATGTGGGATTTTCTGTCTTGACGTATTTTCCTCTAAATGTGCAAAGGGCTTGTCGCACTTCGGCGACAGCTTGTTGAGCATGTGTCTTCCACAAAGTCCCAAAACAAAGTAGGACCTCATGTCGCGGAGGCACCGTCCGCAATCCACCAACACTACTATACCAGCGAGGCCGCCTACGACTTTGCCACAGAGCTTGATCTAAGCATGCTTGATGATGCTTGGCCTTCGGTCTGGACGAACGATCTAGACGGTTTCTACATGGATGACCCAGACCAAGACATGAACATTTAAGAAGTTGGTACACACAAGATTTGGTTGTATTTATCCGTGGTTGCCACCGCTTCATCTCTTACAAACCACGGTACAGAGGAAGTTGGGGCATGGTGAGCAACAGAACGTTCTGGGCGCAAGGCGGACTAACTCTGCCCTGGTCGACCGAAGATCTCATGTCTTGACTCCTTGTTCCAGAACACACGACGAGTTTTGTGTCCACCCTCGAGCTCAGAGAGCCGTCTTCTGTCCTCGTGGGCGTCGACCGTCCTTGTCAAGATAATATACCAATACCGCCAGTGCAAAAGACAAGGGTTGTGCTATGAGCCCAGCCAAGTAACCTTTGAAGAATCTTGGTGCTTCTGTAGTTGGCAGCAGCACAATGGGCACCCAACTGTTGAAGGCCATTGCGAAAGCCAACATTGCGCTCAAGATGAATGCGCGTTCCTCGGCGTCGTTGGCGCATATCAAGTTGGCGCAGGAATACATGATGGGAGCCATTGAATTTTCGACCTGGCCCACTGCAACGGCGAACCACTTGTATCCAAACGGCGAAGAATCATAGAGGACAAAGGCGAGGTGACCCAACCCCATGGTCAAGTGGGCAAATGCAAAGAGCGGCAGCCTCGACTTGGGACCATACCTGTCGCTGATCCAGGAAAAGGCGATCGACCATACAATGGCGACGCAGGGAGCGACGGCGGTGAGATTGTTGACCGTCACGCCCGAGTACTGCTTGTTGCTCTTAATCCACAGGGCCCAGGTACCCTGGGGCATGACCAGATATCCCTGCTGGAAGATGACACTCCAGGGCACCAACACCCAGAAATGCCACCCGCCCAGGAAACGCTTGATAGAGGATAGCTTCAAGGCAACGGCTTGGTTGGGTTTTCGTCCAACTGCCTCCATCCTGGCCCTGCTCAGTGCCAGCTCTGATTCGGTGAAGAGCCAGCGCGTGGCATGGCTGGGAGTTCCAGGGAATGTGATATAACCGAAGATCGCGACAGGTAAGCACACAACTCCGCCAACCAGAAACATCCACCGCCAGCCTGCGCGACCCATGGCACCGTCCAGGTCTGCATAGATGCGGGCAGCGAGGAAACCTGTCGAAAACGTGCCGATGGCTGCCGACACGTAAAACAGGCCGGCTCTCCGGGCGATCTCATCAGGTCTGTACCTGCACATATCGTTAGCGCCTGCTTCTACAGTGAGGATTGCCTTGTGAGGTAAGGCTGTTTGCTAAATCTATACCAGCTGCCAAAGACATAATGGATTGACGGGAAAAAGGCACCTAGCCCTCAGTGTTAGGATTTCTTTGGACTGGAATGGACCGGATTCGACCCACCCTCTGCGAATCCGACGAGGAATCGATAGGCTGCCACCTCACCATACGAGTTGGCGCGTGTAAGCAGAGTTGTGAAGATCGCCCAGATTGCCATACAAATTGGGATGACCTGACGAGGAGGAAGTCGAGTATTGATCACTGTGAGAGGAATGATGGAACTGCAGCACAGTCAGCCTGGTGACAAGATACCTGGAGGCGCCCCCTCGCCCTTACATGGCATAGCCAACGGTGAAGATTGAGTTGAGCTGGACCAGTTCGTTGCCCAGAAATCCAAGGTCTTCTCGCATCCCGCTGATGTAGGCATTGATGAACATGCCGCGGTCGATGTACAAGCACTATCGGTGGTGCGTCAGCTGCGCGCACCACTTGCCACTGAAGGTTTCTCACGGCGACTTACCCAGAAGCCGAAGCAGGCAAAGACGAGAACGGATAGGTCGAGCTTCAGGATCAGTTTCCTCTCAACAGGCCCGTCATCTGGGTGATACCACTGGAAAAGGCTCCGCTTCTTGCTGTTGAAATCAATCACGTTGGGTTGCACATCCTTTTCTGACGTGTCTGGGGCCAGTGTGTCCATTTGGACCACGCGAGACACGGCATCATTTTTAGCAGAGGCTGGAGGTGACATTGCGAACAAGAAATCGTGGGTTTTTGTCGCTTGCGCAGTTCATGCCAATGCTGTACAAAATGGACGACATCACCTTTTGAACCCTTGCGGGCTCATGCCTCCGACATTTGAGAATGATGCCATTGATGGTGCTGGATTGCACCATGGACATGGTTTGCACATGGCCCGCTATCAGGGGAAGGCAGGTCAAGGATGGGTGAAAGCATCACAAGTTCAAAATACGAATCAGGTATAGGGACTAGCAGATTTTGTCACCAAGTTGGACAGCATCTTTCGCTCGGGAAGAAAGATTCGGTCCAAAACAATAGCCACCCGGACCACCCTTTTCCCACCCGGCCCGGCCTCCACCCGGGAGGATACTGTATCTCCCAGGTTCGGGTGGGAGTGGATGGTCGGATGGGAAGATGTGGCTTGATCTGGCCGCGGTGAATGGCGCCATACAGCTCGTGATCCAAACCACCGAGTCTGTGGTAATATGGTCCTTAAAAGAAAGGCGAGCTGGTCTGGCTGCAGCCGCGGGCAGTGGGCTTGATGCCAAAAGAATGGGAGGGGCATTTCACAAGACAAGGGAGCACAGGGAAGAGGTCTAAGATGATTACCAAGGACACCACCATCCCGCATGTCTATGTGCCAGAGGATGTGCCATACGACGCTGCCAGGAGTATTTCTGTATGTTTTTTGCTGGACGACATCGGTCAAGACCAAGACCGGCTGACTGACAAGGTGGACAGGTCATCATCATCGGGGCCGGCATTGGAGGCATAGCGACGTCGGTCCTTCTTCAAAACAAAGTGCCCAACCTCAATTACACGGTAGTAGAGAAGAACGCGGGAGTGGTGAGCACGATCTTCAGTTATGGTTCGCCCACCATGCAGTGCCCGCTGATACCTCGACAGGGAGGTACCTGGTGGGAGAACCGATACCCCGGAGTGCGGTGTGACGTGGCATCGCATTCGTACCAGCTGTCCTTCGAGCCCAACCCGAGCTGGAGCGAATTCTACGCCCGCGGGGACGAGATCCGCCAGTACTACGAAGACGTGGCTCGGAAGCACCGCGTGTACGAGCACATCAAGTTCCGACATGAAGTGACACAAGCGATGTGGTCGGCGGAAGACTCACAGTGGCATGTCCAGGTGCGGGATCTTGAGAGCGGCACCGTCGAGCTTGCCAAAGCCAACTTTCTAGTCTCTGCGGCCGGGCGACTTAACTCGGCCCAGCTCCCGGCCATCGAGGACCTCGACCAGTTTGCCGGCTCCGTGGTACACACAGCCGCTTGGGACGCTTCGTTGGACTACAAGGGCAAGAGAGTGGCAGTGATCGGCAACGGGGCGAGTGGCATGCAAGTGATACCCAACATTCTGGCCGACGTCGAACACCTGGGTCATTTCGCCCGGTCGAGGACTTGGGTGTCGGCCTACTTCCGAAGCAACCTCTTGTCGGCTCCGGCAGACAATCCTGGCGGACACCAATATACACAGGAAGAGGTGGACCGATTCACCAGCGACACCAAAGCGCACCTAGCATACCGTAAGGCCCTAGACGCCACGTTCCACGCCGGGTTTCAGGCCTACAAGGCTGGCAGTGTGGAGAACGCGGCGGTGAGGACCGAGTTAACGGCTCTCATGTCGGAACGCATCCAACACGATCCAGTCCTTCTGGAAAAGCTGATGCCCGAGTATGCTCCAGGGTGCAAGAGGTTGACGCCGGCTCCGGGGTACCTCGAGTCCCTGCGCAACCCCAAGGTCAACTACGTGACAGACAAGATCGTGCGAGCAACACCGTCAGGCCTGGTCACGGCTGACGGCAAAGAACACGCCGTGGATGTCATCATCGCCGCCACAGGCTTCCCAGACTCGTTCGTGCCCCGATTTCCCGTCGTCGGTCGGTCAGGGGTCCGGCTCCAAGACCTCTGGTCGCCAGCGAGCAAGACCGGGCCCGGGTATCCGGAGACGTACTTTGGTATCATGGTACCACGGTTCCCCAACCTGTTCTTTGTCCTCCAGGCCCAGGGCACCGCGCTGGGCGGCACTGTCCCCGTGCACTGTGAACAGACGGCGACGTACATTGCGCGTTGCATCCGTAAGATCCAGTCGCAGTCCTACTCGGCCCTGGAGCCGAGCCAGGATGCAACGGACGACTTCAATGCCGTCGTCGACGGCTTCTTCGCCGACAAGGTCTCCTCCACCGACTCATGTACCAGCTGGTGGAAGACCTCCAGGCCATGCGGCCGGCCTCCGCGCATGGTCATCTCCTGGCCTGGCTCAGGCCACCACAAGTGGGACATTTCGCGCGACCCGCGTTGGGAGGACTTTGTCTTCCACCGCCGCACCGGCACCTTGCGCAATCGATTCCATTACTTTGGCAATGGTATGACTCGGAAGGAGCTGTCTGGAGACCTTGACTCTTTGACCAGCTACCTGAACGAGGCTGGTCATATAGACCTGCGGACCATTCATGAGAGTTGGACTGACCAAGTATAAGGAGAGCCTAGAAGGGATTTAAGCAGCAGTACGGCCTTGGGGGGAGAACCGAAAATGGTTGATGGAGTCCTAGATACATAGAATGCGGTGAAGAACGAAGAGCTGCACCGACCATAGATGATACAGGTATAGATTTGTCAAAGGTTGAAATATTCCATGTTCGCTATGAAAGGGGTATGGGGAGCCCAGACTATATACCTAGGTGTACCTACCAGCCTTCTAGTTAAAAGGCAAGGCTTAAGATGGGAATGCCTCAAGTTAGTGCCCTAAGTTTCAGGATTCGGTTCGTATAGAATCTGATGGTTTATTTTTTTTGTTCGGAACATACTTATCAAGGGCAAAGTAAGGACCACGAAAAGGAATCTATAGTCCTCACAAGAGCCATAACGCCAGTGACAGATCTGATAGAGTCTGCTTTCCAGTAAGCCATCAAGAACGTCGACCTCGACCTCGACCGGACGACATGGTCCTGACTAGAAGGGAACGTGAAGGTAGATAACAACAAAAAGACTGTTTATATGATTCTTTTCTGTTCTTATCTTTTTACTATCTATACACACACACACACACACACACACACACACACACACACACACACACACACACACAGAATACCGAATATCGAATGTCAACACCAGTATATCGCATCCCCATTGAGCAATTATCCGATCGGATGGGAGCCAGCGAGCAAAGTGCGCGTTAGGTCGGATTGGGGCCAGCGAGCAAAGTGCGCGTTAGGTCGGATTGGGGCCAGTGAGCAAATTGAGTGTTATGTCGGATCGGAGCCAGTGAGCAAAGTAAGCGTTATGTCGGATTGGATCAGATCAGATCAGATGGGGTCGAGTCGGGTCGACAGGGACAGGGACACAGATGGAGATAGATCAAATGTCGCTGGAATCAATCACCGTCGCCACCACATCTGCCAGCTCGGCCAAGGATACCTGAAGTAAATAGAGGCAACGGTCAGCTGGATATAGATACAGACAGATATAGATAGATAGGTAGATAGAGACATGGGAAATTGATAGGTACAGACATGGGAATATAGATGTGGAAAAACAGATATACATGTAGATGACAGATACGGACATGAAAAGTGTGGAATAGGGAAGTGGAAGAGGAATAGGAAGTTGAAGTCGAAGTCGAAGTCGAAGTCGAAGAGGAAGAGGAAGCCGAAGTGATCTAAAACGTTGACAAACATAGACGGCAGTCGTCGAACTCACCTTGACCAATAGACCGGCCTCGACGTCAGGCAGGTTCCGATCACCGACGGCGTCGCGCACGACATAGATGTTGTAGCCTAGCTCGGCGCCGGCTCTGGCTGTCGCAGACACGCAGTTGTGGGCCTGATAGCTCTATGTTAGGTGAAAGGATTTATTCATAGGTAGGTAGGTAATAGGCAAATCAGGCGCTGGATCAAATCATATAAACCCAAACCAACACAAACCAATGGTGACTGGGTGGATAGGGTAGTATAGGGTAGTATAGGGTAGGATAGGATGAAGGGGTCGAGGGAGATAGAAACACCAAATCAAACCAAACCAATGGTGACCGGGTAGGATAGGATAGGGTAGGATATGGTAGGATAGGATGAAGAGGTCGACGATGATAGAAACAGAAGTGGTTTGGTGGAAGGTCTCCAAAGACTCGTATAGAGAGAGTGACTCTCTCCCTCTTTCCCTCTTTCTTGTTTTCTCTCTTTTTCTGTGTGGGTCTCACATACCATGTATCCTGGGTAAGTTGGTAGATATGTTAGTATCGCGATCGAGGTTGAGGAAGAGGAAGAGAGAGGCAGAGGCAGAGGCAGAGGAAGAGGAAGAGGAAGAGGAAGAGGAAGAGGAAAAGGAAGAGGGAAAGCAAGAGGAAGAGGAAAATATTTGATTTTGATCTTGATATCGATTTTGTTTTGATTCGGGAATCATACCAGTCAGGACGAGATTCTTCTTCTCATACCGAGCCAGAATCTCCTGCAGCGTAGTGGTGGTGAAGGAACTGGCGTGGCGCTTGTGCACGATCTAGAAGTCATCCTGTCAGTACTTGAGATATAGAATCCAGTTTTCAGTATTGGTATGTCAAGGCATATATGTCAGACACCACGATAGAGCCGTCGAATGGTTGGCTGGTAACCTTCGACTGTTGATTCTTGGAGTGTGCTGTACTGTACTATACTGTATTGTATGGTATTCAGATGTGGTAGGACAACTGTGTGCTATGGGATGGGACGGATGGGAGGATTGTATGCTGTGGACAGATAGGACGGGATGGGACGATTTCATGCGTGGGCTGAGGCTGTGGCCATGAATCCTTGTAGATTCTCTTCTGTTCCTAATCTCTTCTCTTCTCTCTCTTCTCTCTTCTCTTTTCTTTACTTACAGGCTCATCTCCCTTCGGCTTCAGCTCGTCAATGATCTCGCTCAAGGGCGTGCCGGGCGTGAAGATGGGCGCTCCGGGAGCCGAGTCTGCCACCACATGGACGATGTTGCCTGCTGCATTGCGGTATCGCTCCAATAGCGCGCGGATGGCTTTGCGTGACGATTCGGCGTTCTCGACTTGGAGGAGGCCGTTGAGGTATCTGTAGTGGTTGAATGGTTAGCTCAATAGCAGAGCAGTGGCAGTGGCAGTCGCATTTCCATTCCCATTCCCATTTCCACATTCACATTCATTGAGATCCATGCTAATTCCTCACTTCCATGGTCTCGACCACCCCTTCGCTTACCAGAACATACTCCCCAATGGACGTGACATTGGTTCCGCATCGTAACTAAAACCGGGACAGAACGGGACAGGGGGACATGGCAGGGCAGGCAGGCAGGCAGGCAGGCAGGCAGGCAGGCAATGGCAACACCAACACCAACCAACATTGGTAGTCTTACTCGTTCTGTGCATCGATGATGATCAGCACGCTGTCCGACACACTCGGAGTCGAGGGCGGGATGCCCAGAATCGTGCGGATATTCCTGGCAGGCATGTTGGGAACGAGGCGAGACGAGATAGAGGTTGTATGTGTCGGATGGCAACGAACAAGTCAGTCGATGCACGGTACAGAGACAGGTACGGTACTGTAGGCAAAAGACAAAGACCAAAAATAAGGAGAAAAAGAAAGAAAGAGAAGAGGAATTCCCCCCCTTCTATTCTATCAGGAAACACGAATTCTATTCCATTCTATCCCACTTCAGTAAATAAGGTCATCTACCTGTGGTGCCTGTACTGTATGCTTGCACATATGCTTCGGCTGGGCAAGTAGGCTGGCGTTCAACTTGGCAATTTCGGGTCTTCGGGTGGGAGCAAGCGGAGTTCGGGTCGGGTGGGCGTCTATTGTTTGTTGTCTGTCGTGCTAGCAATTCAGCTCAATTCGGGCTTTGTTTTGCCTGGGGAAAGTCGTAGGAGTGGATTGGCCGGCACAGAGAGCAGTGGTGCAGTAGTGATAGTAGGTAGTAGGTAGTAGCAATGGTGGTGGTGGTGGCGGTGGTGGTCACTAACCCAACCATCCACCATCCATGTCCGCTGCATGCCTGATTCAAACTCCTTCAATCATGTGGCATCTGTCGTTCGTTGGCTAGGACACATCCACCGCCCGAGCTCCTATGTGTATACAGGTCGTGGGGGCCAATGCCGTGCTCCCGACATTTGATCTGGTATTTCTGAGCCCACGGCCTCCCTCAAGCACCAAACCGACGCATGAAAGATCCATACGTATAACTAGCCCCGCCGTCTGCCGAACTCGACAGTGAAGCCGTCTCTGACCTGCGTTGACCATAGACCTGGGTGTCACGGCTCGACGCTGAGTTGCACGGGCGACTGTCGGTAGTGGCAGTGGCAACGGTGGTCGCGGTGGAAATTGTCGCCCGGGTCTGTGAAAACAACGAACCGGGCGATGTTCGTCCAGCCGATCCTGCTGCTATGGATTCTCCTCGTGTCGATAGCCCTGCTCCTCCGAAGCACATCGCAGACGAGGATGCGTTCGGTGTCGAGTTTGTCGAGAGAGCGGATTTGCGAGCAAAGAATCCCGACGCCATGATCAAGTCTGAAGAGCAAGCCTGGCTGAGCTGTGAATGTGATGACTCCAAAGTGCAAGTATCTTACCTCCTTCGTGGGGGCGACTGTTGGCAATGGAGTTCAAGTATCTTTCTTCCTTCAGGGGGTCGACTGTTGGCAACGGTGGTGGTGGTTCTAAAGCAGGGTGAAAGCTGCGTATCTATCGCCGTGCGATGAATGCTGCAGAATAGATCCTGGATCCTGGCACCTGCGTGAGAGAGGACAGAGGACCTGTGAGAAAGAAGAGATTGGCTTCATATACTGTATCCGGCTCAGAAGCCAGCTGAACTTCCCCATTTCAATTTCGCGCTCACCTTACATATTTTACCTCACCGTAACCCAAAGCCAAAGCCAACCCAACCCTGCCCGACCCTGCGCGGTGAGGCGAGGTGAGGCGAGGTGTGGCAGTGTGTTTGCAATGGTCTTTGATGGTCCAACGAGAAGGCCGACACCATCTTGTCTTGCATGCATGCCGTCACCCATGATCACCGGCTCAGGCTCCAGTCAGATGGCAGATCGATCACAGTGCCCGGAACACAAGCGTTGCAACGCAAGCAAGCGCTGACAAGGTGCAGGCAAAGGAGAGGGAGAGGGACAGGGAGAGCCTGAGCCCGTCCACCGCCTGAAGGTGGGGGCTGACAGGCACACAGGTGTGTCCCGACGTACAAACTGCGCGGTGAGGGAGGCGTGAGGAGCGTGAGGTAAGGTCGGGTTGCTGGCAGCCTGGGTTGTGCCTTAGGCTGACTCGGGCCTGATCTGGACGCAGGGGCGAGAGTGGTGTGTATAAGCCGGAATCAGACGTGACAGATGATTAATTCTCATCCATGTATCCGTACTACTGTAGGTACAGGCACCTAACAAATGATGCTCCTAGTAGTCGTGACGCTAGCCTGCTAAGCCCTAAGCCTGACATGTCGACATTTCTAAGCCTCGTCGGGCCTCTGCCCCTTCGCCAGTTTCTATGCGTTGCGGAAGACACAACATCCAAACTCTATCACTCTAATACTGTGGTACCGCAAAGAATGCTACCATTCTATTCATCCTGTCATCGAACCCCGTCGCTGAGTATGATCCCTTATCCATGCGAACCCCGATCTGCACCGAGCAAATGCTGTCTCTGAATCACCCACTACCAAGACTCCATGCTCAACGTCCAGGTTGCTGCGAACTTCTCACCAGTTTCTCCAGGATCGACAACACCCCTAAGACCAGTTAGCAAGGGATCCAGCACTAGGACGGTCTATCAGACTCACCGGTCACGCCCTGTGTCAGCGTGGCTGAAGCTTCGGTGCTTCTGGCACCCAGAGTCACAGTCACCACATCTCGAACCTTGCCAGCCTTCTCGAGTTTGTGTGCCCAGTTGAACACGTATTCATCTTCTCTCGAATCACCAATCACCATGAGGAACTCCGGTAATGGGATCCCATGCTTCTCGGCTTGATCAATGATCATCTGGGTTGCCAATCCTTTGTTGACATCCATCTCCGAGATAAACAGTCCGTCCTCAATGGGTATCGCATTCACATGTTGGCTACCGCACGCATCGTTGATGTGATTGGCACATTCGCCCGCTTGCTTGAAAGCTCCGGCCCGATCCTCGGCGTCGCTATAGTCGAATATCAGCGAGCAATGCCGTTCCTCGATCCGACTGCCCTCGATTCTCTCCACATAATATTGAAGAATGCTGCGGACACCCTCTTTCCAATCCTTGAAATGTTCGAGGTTGGCCAACTCTTCCCACTCGTCCGAACCGGGCTCCAGCAAGAACCCCCCGTTCTCGGCAATCATCCCGAGCCCACTGACTGGACTGAAGAGTCGCTCCATTTCTTCGGGCATTCTGGAGCTCATGACATAGACCGTGTTTCGCTTATCCTCGATCAGATCATTCAACACATCAATGGATCTCTTGGGAGTGGTCAAGATAATGTCGGTTGGGGATCCCCAAGATGCCAGAGTTCCTTCGTAGTCGAGGATGAGCAGCCGTTTCTCGGCTCGGAGATATTTGGGCTTCACCGAGGTTAGTGACAGACGCGGCACGGACGTAGAGTCACGAATGGCATGTTCTTTCCAGGCGCGGTCTAGCCCCTTGGTGTAGGTCCCGAACCACTCGGCTGCGTTTTGCTTCACGACAATATCGTGCATGGCCTTCCACCGGCGTTCCCTGTCCGGAGCGGGCATGTCAAGCGCCTGCTTGATGGCCGCAGCGCATTGGCTGTAATGCCATGGGTTCACCAGAATTGCATTATGGCCGAAGACGGTGGCCGAACCTGTAAACTCACTAAGGATCAACGGTCCGAACTTGGTTTCGGCATATTGGCCGTCCTGGCATATCACAAATTCATGGCTGGTCAGGTTCATTCCTTCTCGTAAGCTGGTGATCATCAAACATTCTGCCACGGTGAGGAGGGCCAGATACTGTGCAAAGTCAATGTCTTGCTTCAAGAACACCAACGGCTGATGTGCCAAGGTTGAATGGGTCGAATTGACCCGAGTGACAATGTCTGCGACCGTGGCACTCAACTCGGGATCTTCGGTCGAAGAGGTGGCGATCTGGATAAGGACAACCTTATCCTTGTACTCGGGATACTTGTTGAGAAACAGTTCATAGGAAAGGATCTTCTGTCTGACTCCACGGATATTGTCCAATTTATCCCGAGCAACGATGATCCGCTTCCCACGATACTTGTCGGTGATAATCTGCACCCACTCAGACACCTCAGGCAAGCGACGTTGCTGGTCGAGGGACTTGGGGTCGATGCCGACGGGGCAAGTGTTGACATGGACGAATCTTCCATCTTCCAGTATGACCCCGTGTCTGGTCGCTTCGACATTGAGTAGACGGCTGCAGGTTTGCAGGAAATGGTGGCAGTACTCGTCGGTTTGAAATCCGATCATGTTGGCCCCTAGAATGCCGTCCAAGAGCTCAGTCCGAACGGCGAGACATCTGAAGATCTCTGACGAGGGGAAGGCAGTGTGCAAGAAGAACCCTATCTCCGCTTCCGGAAGTCTCTGTCGCAACAGACCAGGCACAAGCAACAGGTGGTAGTCGTGGATCCAAATCACGTCTCCCTTCTTGTAGTTCTTCGCAATGCGATCGGCAAATGCTTCATTTACCTTGACATAGAAAACCCAAGAATGGTCTTCGTACGCCTTGCTTTTCGGATGATCTGGTATCTGGTAGTGAAAGACCGGCCAAAGAATGGTCTTGCAGTAATGCTCGTAGTGACCATTGAGGTCGCTGTCACTAACATAGACCGCTAGAGAATCATAGTCATTCTCCAGTTTCTCTGCAATATTCTCCTTGAGAGGATCGTCCAACGCATCGGCGGGACAACCTAAGGTCCCGACCCAGGTCTTTTCTTCCAGGGTCCCTGCTTCCGCCGCAGCATCAATAGCATTGAACAGCCCCCCATTTCCAAGTAGCGCTTTCTCCACGGTGTAGTTGTATTCTGAAAACCGTTGTTCGTGGCTGAATGTCCTTGTTCTCCTGTGTTGCCGCCCACGCTTGCTCTGTAAATTGGACACGACAGCCACAGCAGCCTTGTCGAGTTTGTCCTTGGCCTCGGCCGCCGCATGCCTCAGGATCGAACTCGGAGGCGGTGATTTCGCACGTGAAGGGGGTTGATTCCAGCCAAAGGTCTTGCCCCAGCCTGGTGAATGGAGGTCGTGACGGGAGATTGCTCGAGGATCGCGTTGCACCGCAGGGCGAGACTTTTGGTTGGTCCGTGGCAGAGTCAGGCTAATCGGTCGTTCGACATGTGGAAGGAAGATCTTCTCATGATCTGTTGTTGCACCTGGAGTTTGGATCAAAGATCCGGGACTCTGGGTAATGCCAGCGACGATGCCCGGGGTGGGTGTGAACAAGCTGACGGTCTGGGTGTCGACCACGGCAGGTTGAGAAAGAATCTTTTGAGCCAAAGTCGACTGGGTTCTCTGAGGGTCTGGTCTCTCCGGTGGAGAGTTCGAGGGCACATCGAAATTGATGGTGTAAGGTAGGAAGAGTGTAGCCACAAAGACAGTCATTGTAGCGACTCCGGGTCGTTGGTCTGAGCAGCGATGCAGCCGATACTCGTGGACAATAGTAGAGGTGCGTCAGGTCCAACCGCAGGATCAGCCGCAAAGTCGCAGCTTTGTTTGGTCCCGTGGGTACGATGAAGGGCTGGCGAAGTCCAACGGAGAGCAGGAGGGACGTCGCGACGGATGAGAGGTGAGTGTGGATAGGGAAGTGACACAAGATCGAAGGAGCCGACAACGAAGCAACTAACGAGTCGTAGAGTCTCGATGAGGGTAGAAACTGCACGACTGCAGCAAGCAGGACATGTGAAATCCGCAGAGAAATAGAGCGAGGGAACAGGGGACGGTGGATGGTGGATGGTGGATGGGGGACAGGCCGAAGAATTAATTCTATCTTCTATCTCAAAACCGCGTGCCAAACAGGTCTCTACTATTGGCGCGGGAGCCAGTCGGGACAAGGTCTAGCTAGAGCTACGCTTCCCATTTGAGGCCGACTGCAGCTTGCTAAGGTGGCTATTGACTCTTTGAGACTGGCAGAGTATCAAGTATGACCGAATTCTAGAGATTTCCAACATCGCGATCTTGCAGCTCTGCCAAAGTTGGTACCTAGTCTCCGTTAGTGGGGAGCCAGAAAGACAGCGGTACTGCGGCGGGCGTGGAATTCCGCAAGATATTTCTTGAGTGGTGAGGGGAGCCTGGGGACAAAACATTGGTGAGAATGACGCACCTGGTGGGGTGCTAAGGAGGCTTTCTCCTGGTAGGTGCCTGGGGCGACGTTGGGACTGGCCGGGCCTGGTCTTGGGGCGGGGTTGGCTGAGGTCAGAGGCTAAGGCCCAAGGAGCTAAGGAGGCTCGCAGCCTGTGCCCGGGCAGCCTCCAGGCTGCCCCCTTGCCTTCCCGGATTTGCAGGCTGCTATTAAATGGTATTATTCACTGCTCACTTCCTACTGGCTCGGCCTCTCTTCCGGACCTCACCAACGCTCGGCAACTGCTATGGCGCGGTTGCCTACATAACTCTCCTACCCAATTTCAAGCCACCCTGCACCGATCTTTCTCGTCGTTTCTGCTGCCACCTGCGTCCCTCATGCCACTGTTCTTTCCTAAACTGGCCGGTTGAAGAGGCTTGCTCCCCCAAGGCCCTGCCACCACGTCACATGCTGTCCACCAGTATCCGTACCACCACCGGACTCCCTCACCCTTGCTCTCCTCTGCCATGCCTCTCTATCTCACTGCGGCCCACTCATCACGCGTCACTAAGTCGGCCCAGAGATCCGCCTCATCTGCCCGTCGTCATTCCTCCTCCCCTTTCGCCCTCGCCCCGCGTACGAAGCCGTCGTCGCAGAGGACCAAGTCGAAGTCCGATGCTCTTGACCAAGACGTGGGTCAGGACGAGGACGAGGATGAGGACGAGGCTGAGGCAAGGCTCGTACCTATTGGCAAGGTCTTGACCACGGTCTCGGTAGATACTGCCAAAGATGTGCTCTCTGCCGTGCAACACGCTCGCGCTTCCATGTTTACCCCTATCCCAGACCGAGCGGGTATGAACAGTGTACGCATCTCCGAGGTCCTGAATTTCCAGCGGAACATGCCGCCTGTTGTGACCCTGGCGCATGTCCATGCCTTGCTTGCTGCTTCGTCCAAAACAGAGCGTCAGATTGCTGCCTTGCAATCGGCCGGGAAGCTGCGCAAAATCAAGGTCACTGGGCGGGGGAACGACATCAGTGGCACGGGAGAGGTCTTGATCTCCATGGATGCTTTGCAAGCCCTGCTGGTACGAAGCGATGTTGCACCAGATGTCGTAACTGACTTTTGCAACGTGCTCCGTCGTCAGCATCGGGCCACCTCTATCTCGCCCCAGGATCTCCCTCCCACCCACGTGACTGTCCTGACCCGGGCAGGCTTTCTCGTATCCTCAAGTCTCTTCGGCTCCCGCAACTTGTCTCTAGCTGGCTCATCCCTGGTTTCCGCAACCAAGATCTCCCGTGCAGCTTCAGGTACCTCTGACGCCGTTGGCGGAGATGCAGCGTTCGAGAACCTAGGCGGAGTCGGCACTGCAAGGCGGCGCCAATCAAATCCTAATTTCAGTCAGCATTTTCAAGGAAGCGATCTGGCTCTTTCGGTGCCAAACATTGGCCCTTACCTCAGACTCTTAACCGCTGGCCGGGAGCATCTCCTTGAACTCCTTGGCAAGTCGAAATACAGAGAAGGCCCTCTGTACCTTCTCCGAGAGCGTTGGGACGGCGCTGTCGACTCCGACAACCGCGTTTCTGTCGCCAAACGCATCAGGGGAGAGTTCTCCGGCGTTATGCCCGCAAAAACCAAGAAATGGAAAGATCTCTATGGTTTGAATTTTGACTGGGTTGTGGAAGAATGTCTTGGTGCCGGCTTGATCGAGCTGTTTGAGACTCGAAGTGTGGGCTTGGGCATCCGTGCTTTGACATGATCTACAAGCACCAGCCTTCCATCACAAAAAGCTGTGGTACCATTGCAGACTTGGTGCAGGTCTGTTGTTTCCACTTGAACACTGTACGGATTGTACTCGTACACTCAGGCGGACATACCGGTGGTTCGTGATATATGGCTTTTCAAAACATCCGATTGTCAGGATTGTCACACCTCTCGCTTTTTCAGGGAGAGCCTATCATACCTCGAGATGTACAGCTGTTGTCGATTGTGCCTATTTCAGAAGCCTCGTGTAAATCCGAGCTGGAGGTAGGTGGATGGAAGGCATGCAGCTATGCTGACTAGGTGAATGGTGGCGTCCGCCGCGAAACATGCCTGCAACCAGCTATACGAGCGGCAGCTCGTCATCTAACACGTGGTGTGTGTGCGTCGCGGGTTCATGCACCATGGCAGATAAGGATGGAAAGGGAAGAAAAGGAGCCTGATTGCATTCGACCTCGAGTAGAGGACTGCTGTCCCAGGGGGTCAATCGAACATGTGCATCGATTGCGGAGAATACCCATCCAGGACGTGGTCGACAGATGCAGTTGGGACCGGCTCGCCCCTTTATCGAAGCCGTCTTCCGCAACCGAATCTGGACAGTGTACTCCGACACTGCCTCGATATATGTACCTATAACTCTCATAGTATAATGCTGGACCGGACGAACCGAAGCTATAGGCGGTTTTGGGGGAGTACAACTTTTATGAAGGATTAACATGTGCAGGCGTCGAACATGAAATCTATTTTGTAGATGAGACAAATTGACTGTTCTAGCAGATGGAGAACACCCCGATGCCGCTTATGTCAATAGGATAATTTACATTCCTCTCCCTTCCTCAATGAGTTTTTTGCCAGAATATCTTATCACACCCTTGTCTTGTCGCAACCCTGGACTGTGCCCTTGTTCAGCAGCAAAGTCTGCCAAAGGCTCAAATCTTGCCACCGCTCAACTTCTCGGCGATCTTCTGCATACGTTCCTGATCACGCAGGGCCCGCTCGTTTACATCGGACGCGAGCATCAGACCACCACGGCCCTGGTCTGCAGTTCTGTCCCGGCCACGCCTAATCATTTCTTCCACGGTGTCTGGCTTGCCGGTCCGCCAAATACTCCTGGTAGTTGTAAAAGTCGCGTCAAGCGCCGCCGCGAGTTGATCTTTGGTGGTGATGAAGCTGCGAGCATTCATGTAGAGAGTGTGCAGCTTGTCCAGACGGTCCTCGTGCTTCGCTGCCAGTCGAGCCTCGTGTGCCGCCTTGCGGGTATTGTAAATCGCGAGTTCTTCTTCCGGAGACAGCTGCAGCGGCTTTTGTGGTTGCATCGCTGAAGGGACTGAAATCTTTGTCAATCGTTCGTCTTCTCGCTCTGGCTGAGCGGCGAGCCGGGCGGTCTCCTGTCGCCTAAGGGCACTGTTGTGTGCGAGTTGGCTGTCGACGGATCTCTTTCGACTATAGAGCTCTTTCAGGCCGTCACGGAGGTATGATTTCCGCAGGTCGGCCATTCGGCGTTTATATTTCCCAATTTCTGTGAGTTTTTCCGGTGGCAGAACGTTTTTAGGTAGAGGGTCGCGCGTCACGTTCGCCAAATACTCCTTGCCTGGCTTGTCCGGGCGGCGAGCGGGAAAAAGCTCCCGGGGGACAGGGAGAACACCTTTGGCCGGGGCCGGTCGGTCGCGCAACGATTGAAGGGGCTCCGGGACATCGACGAAAACAGGTGACTCAGGAGGGATGTACATGTGAGCTGGCGATGTGCTGAATGCCCGGTTTTGCGAGGGTTTGAGCAACCGCAATCGGCAAGCTCGACATATGGAGCTTGGAAACGCCTCCATGATGGAGATTTGCCGTGCAATTGTCCAGCAGCGAGGTCGATGAAATGACAGATCCGCAAGACTGGACAGAGCGGATAGTGTGGTGAATTTGTGAAGGAGAAGCACCCATAGAATTCCTAACTTGCATTGAGCCTGAGGTTCATCTTGAAGAATTCCTTGGCAGCACTTTCATAGAGCAGCATTACGCTTGTACCAATAAAGTAAATCTATCTGGAACCTTGGCGCTCCCATCTTTTTTCTCCATGAGAATCTAGACTAAGGCGACCAGGATTTCCCTGCGTCTTCCCCTACTTCCCTTTCTCTGCCTGGCGTTTGACTCGGGGATCATTGCCATCGTCACACTCTACCACCATGGGAGCAAGGAAGAAGGAAGCCTCCCGCCGGGAGCGGGAGGGTGTCTCAACAGATGGTATGGGGAACGTCAAAATCAAAGGGGAGAATTTCTACCGGTATGCTGCCAGGAACAAGGTTCTTCTAGTTGGGGACTAACAAACTCCTCAGAAATGCCAAAAAGATCAAGACCTTGAACATGCTTAAGGATGGAAAGGCGCAGAGAAATGCTTCAGGAAAAGTTACCAAAGCCGCCTCATACCAATCACGAGAAATCCCGAAAGCACGAGTCGAGCCAAATCGGAAATGGTTTGGGAACACTCGAGTCATAACTCAAGAGGCATTGGAGTCCTTCAGGCAGGCTGTGGCGGAACGGGCGGCCGATCCGTACCAGGTCCTACTCAAGACGAACAAGCTACCGATGAGCCTCATCAGGGACAATGAAAACACCAAGAACGGCGTAAAGCAACACCAGGCCAAGATCGCTGTGGAATCTACCCCATTCGCCGATACATTCGGCCCCAAATCGCAAAGGAAGCGGGTCAAACTCAACGCCGCTTCTGTGGCGGACTTGGCTGGCGAGTCAGTCAAGATGCACGACAACTACTTGGAGCGGCTGGAAGAGAACAAATTGCTCAGTGGGCAGACGGTCGAGGAGCAGCTGCAAAGAGAGCAAGACGGAGAACTAACAACAGCCCGCGAACCGATCTTCTCTAAAGGTCAGAGCAAACGGATATGGAATGAGTTGTACAAAGTCATCGATTCGTCCGATGTCGTGATTCATGTCTTGGACGCTCGAGATCCCGAGGGAACGAGATGTCGTAGTGTGGAAAAGTACATTCGCGAAGAGGCGCCGCACAAGCACCTGGTCTTCGTCCTCAACAAATGCGACCTCGTGCCGACTAAGGTAGCGGTAAGTTCTCGGTTGCACACCATTTCAATTGCTTCACGACCCCTGTTCCCTTCCCCCTCACCCCTAGCACTTTTCCATCGCTAAGTCAAGGCTCCTTTCTTGCTTGTTTGCAATTTTCTCCATGAGAGTCGCCTGTTACAGCTTTGGTACATTAAGCAGCGCTCGCCACTTTAGTGGTTTTCGACATGGCGTCCGTCTTGGAAGCCTTGTCATTAGAGCGCATGGCGTGTTTCGTTTGAGTTGAGGTCTGCTTGGGCCGAGATTATTCTACGCCTTCATCTCATAGCACACCTCTTAGTAATGTCACACACATGCTGATTTTCATCTTTTCTAGGCTCAATGGGTGCGGTTGTTATCAAAAGAATACCCAACGCTGGCATTCCATGCGTCCATGACGAATTCCTTTGGCAAAGGCTCCCTGATTACGCTTTTACGACAATTTTCGATTTTGCATGCAGCAAGAAAACAGATCTCCGTGGGCTTCATCGGATACCCGAACACCGGCAAGTCCTCGATCATCAACACTTTACGGAAGAAACGAGTTTGCACTGTGGCACCAATTCCTGGTGAGACGAAAGTGTGGCAGTACATCACTCTTATGAAGAGAATCTACCTCATCGACTGCCCGGGAGTCGTGCCACCTAGTCACGGCGACTCGGAAGAGGACATCCTCCTCCGGGGTGTCGTCCGGGTCGAAAACGTTGAACACCCGGCACAATATATCGAGGCGGTGTTACGGCGGACTCAAACACGCCATATTGAACGGACCTATGAAGTTAAAGCTGCAGATTACAATGAGGATCCAATAGAGTTCCTCAGTATTCTCGCCCGGAAGGGCGGGAGATTACTGAAAGGCGGCGAGCCTGACGTCGACGGCGTTGCGAAGATGGTACTGAATGATTTCCTACGCGGCAAGATTCCGTGGTTTACGCCTCCACCGAGAAGAGAGGGTATGGAGCCATCTGGCGAAGACGAATCGGCAAGAGTAGTTGAAGGACGTGAAGGTCGTCTCGGTGAGATGCCTGGTAAGAGAGAAGCCACGGCAGCCGGCTTGGATGAAGACGACCAGGAAGCCGAAGGCGACTCAGAACATGAAGAACAAGGCCAATCCAGTGACAGTGATAATGAGTCAGAGGACGAGAATTCTACACATCAAGCTGTCGATGATTTTGGAGGGTTTGACGACGAAAATGACGACACGAGTGCCGCTGAGAGCGACGGCGATGGCGGAACGCAGTTGTGATGGGATACGTGTTCTCGATGCGAATGGGTTACCCGGGACGATGGTTGTTATCCTGATGGACTCGAATCAATCGCCTTACAAGCCTGAATCATTCATTCCATGGTCTGTAGCGGGAGGCATCCGATTACTAGGTTTCCTTGGTCCTGCCCTCATCTATCCATCTGCGACATTATAAGATCAACCGAAAGCTGCATTGATTTCTGTGTTGTAGACCAATATCGTGGATAGGCAGTGGAAGTATGTAGGACAGACAGGTAGCTGTTAAGGTTGGGAAATATTATATCTCGACCGAAGCCACTGGCTGCGACGTCATACTGGCGGGTGACTCGTGACTCGTGACTGCACAAGTTCTCTCTCCCTCCTCCATCCTCCATCCTGAAGCATTGTTTCTTTCTTCCATTATGAATAAGACCTCACCTCCCTACAATCTTCGGCGATGAATATACCCTCTGCTCCTCCGCCTTAGTGGTTGAATACCAATGCTCATCTTTTGGAGAAGCTTCTTGTTGTGGTCATGGACAGTCGTCGCGAGTGCCATTCCGCCACGTTGGCGAGCGGATAACAGACAGATCTCCCTACAAACCTTCGAATCTCTTGAGGAACTCGCTCGGATCGTGGATATCTCTTACTGTGTAGGCACTACCGGCATCCAGAAGCCCTTCAAATGTCTTAGCCGATGCAGCGATTTTGAGGGGTTTGAGCTGGTTACATCGTGGAACACTGGGCCGCTCCTCTCCGACTCATGCGGCTACATTGCTTTGTCGCATCCCCCATTTGCTAAAAGAGTCATTGTCGCCTTCCGTGGGACCTACTCCATTGCGAACACGATCGCCGACCTTTCCACAAACCCCGCCGAATACGCCCCGTTCCCTTCTGACAGTGAGAACGGCTCTGTCTGCACCTCTGTCGAGCCGCACAATGACAAGCAACCTGTGTTGCCGCAGCTACTCACACAATTCGAGAAGAGAAGTGTGCCAGAAGTAGAATGTGCAAATTGTACGGTGCACGCAGGCTTTATGGCATCTTGGCGGAATACACGCTGCACCATCGTGCCGCATGTGGAAAAAGCTCTTAACGACTATCCAGATTATGAATTGGTCTTGGTTGGCCATTCCTTGGGAGGTGCCGTTGCTGCTTTGGCAGCCCTTGAATTTCAGGCTCGGGGATGGACTCCGCATGTTACAACCTTTGGGGAACCTCGCATCGGCAACCTGGCTCTGAACCGGTTCATAGACAAGCGATTCAAGCTGAATATAACCGATCCCGAAAATTCGTTGTACCGCCGAGTCACGCACGTCGATGACCCCGTCCCCCTCCTACCGTTGGAGGAATGGGGCTACAGAATGCACGCTGGCGAAATATACATTTCAAAGTCTTCATTGCCTCCAACTCGTGCCGATATTCAACACTGTTCTGGTGATGAGGATCCATCATGCGTCGCTGGAGGCACTTCCATTGAAGATGAACATGACGAGTTTGAGACGGACAAGACCAGGAATCTCGACGTTAAGTCTCTTTGGCAAATCGGAAGACGTTATAAGTTATGGGAACTCTTCTTTGCACATCGCGATTATTTCTGGAGACTGGGTCTTTGTGTTCCAGGAGGCGATCCGTGGGACTGGTCCAGAGGCAAATATAACGAGAGCTTGAATGATGAGCCATAGCGTTGGGCAAGGCTGCGATAAGCAGGAAGATGCCTACGGGTGAGTTGAGCTCTTCAGGCAGGGGGAATACGCCTGTTACGACTGACGAGTATGGCAAGAGCACAGCGTTTTACTGGGGCGGGATTGTCTGAAAATCACATAATTATGTCCCGGATGATGTTCATAAAAGCAGACACTTCATTCCTGCTGTCCTACAACCCGTTTAAACTAGTGGCGCTAGGACATTGCAGTTAGTAACCGTTGTCTCGTAATATGAGCGGAGATCTTACACAAGTATCTGCCACAGTGAGTGACCTGCAACATGTTGTGGGAGCCACAATCGTCTTGATTGCCTTCCTCTTGGCCGTGATTAGAATCCTGATTCCTGCATAGCCGAGGACAGTCAGTATCCTTTGTCAAGTTGCAGTAAGAGGCGTACCGCATATGGTGTCGGCTACAGCGCGTTCGGCCGATTACGCTACCGTAATATACGGTGGATGAAACAACGTTTCACGTATAACCATTGTCCAGTTTTTAGAATGAACATCAATGTTAATGAAGATTCAGACCTCTTGAGTTCCCTCTGCATTGACCTTCAGTCGCACCATTTTAGTGACTACACCGTACATACTCCAGGCCGCAAACTTCCATGCATCGTGGATAGCAAAGATCAGTCCCCATCGCATATCAATTTCCTCCGCATCTCGCTCACTCCCCGCCGCCGAAATGGCATCGACACTCTTGCCCTTAGGTCAGTGGACAAGCACGCGACCATGGGCGACTTCCAGCTCACATATGATGCAGAATTAATCGACAAATGTGTCGGTTCGAGGATCTGGATTGTGATGAAGGGCGACAAAGGTAGGATATCACCAATATCGTGCCACGCTACCATGCCGGGTCCTGTTTCGCATACCCTCGACTGCATGGACGTCCTCAATGTTACACCTTCACTGACACCTGCTCCAGAATTTGCCGGCACATTATTAGGCTTCGATGACTACGTCAGTAAGTTCTCCAATGGCATGCCTTCAGTATTGATCGAGCGGCATTGAACCTGCACTCCAAACCAAAAGCAAGAGAAATGCTAATCCGATTTTTGCGACTTACAAGACATGGTCTTGGAAGATGTGATCGAGTTGTGAGTACACGTCTGGGTTCTCGAACCGCCCGTGTTTGGAAACGAGAGAGACCAGCTGACCAGTTGCCAACAAGTGATTATACCGGTGCACAAACAAAACTACCTAAGATCCTTCTCAACGGCAACAACATTTGTATGGTGAGTCACTGTCCCAAGAATTACCCCCGTCTACCTTTGAAATAGTCAATAAATATTTCTCCCAACCCTGTTGCTGCTTCACGAGAGAAAACGGCATCACTAAGCTCACATGTCAATGAACAGTTAATACCGGGTGGGGAAGGGCCAGTGCCTCCGGCATCATGACGTTGCCTTTGGTGGAGTCATATCCAAGCAACAAACGCGGACAAGTGCTCTCAAAGATCGAGTATTGGCATGGAGATAGTGGGCGTAGGAGTGGAAGGACTACCATCGCTACTCAGGCCGCTGTCAAACGACGAGCGGACGGCAGATGCCATATGGGCGTTGTTTGTCAATCTGGACACATAGTCGAACTGGAGAGCATACCCAATGTCCAATGTCTGATTGGAAGTCAACCTCAGGTTGCTCATTTCGGTAGCGTGCAGACTTGTTCTCATTGTACTTTTGGCGCTGCCGACCTTTGCAAAATTTCAAGAGCCTCCTGCTGAACATGTCTCACGATTTCCCCGGCAGGCATCACCTTTCTTACCAGCCCAACTCCCGCACCTACATACGTGGTCAATCTTCCCTCTGGTCCCCATCCTGCATCACCCTGCTTCATTGCCTCCTGGTAGCGGTCCGTATTCTCTTCATTCGACATCCCATGCACTGCATCGAGGTATGTCCTGTTCACAACCCCACGGCCATTGTAGGCCCTCGGCCAGCCATGAATGCCTCTGACAACGTCATATATCGTGGTCGTAGTGGTGCTTGTTCCGCCATCGGTAACTCTCAACACTTCATCCTGATATCCTTTGGCGATAACTGCCTCCTGCGCAGCTAGAAACCTTGTTCCCAACGCTACACCGTTGGCGCCGAGTGTCAGTGCGGCTGCGACGCCCCGGCCATCGACGATGCCGCCGGCCGCGATCAGTGGGATTTCAATTCCTTCGGCGGCAAGGGCATCCGCAGTCTCGGGCAATAGAGTCAGGAGACTAGACCGCTGTGCGAGGCCGTGGCCACCAGAGTCGGACCCCTGCACCACCAAGACATCAGGTTTCGTAGTTTTGGCCACCTCAATGGCTTCAGCCACCGTCCCAACCTGAACCCAGATCTTGGTCTTACCCTCGCTGATTGTGCGAATCGCCTTGGCCCAGTCGATCAGGTCGCTTAATTGCTTCGGCGCAAAGAACCAGGCAGCAGCCACGGGATTCTCTTTGAGCGCTTCGACTGCCATATGCAAGTCACTGCCCCAGTTCTGGAACCCAACGCCAATTGGGAGCGTCCCGTTGTGAAGGAGTACATTTTGAGACTTTGCATACTCGGCAGCTTCGGTGAGGTCTCTTGCAAGCGGAGAGAGGTCGAATCCGCCAGCGAGGAATCCGAACCCACCGTGCGCGGAGACGGTCACTGCTAGACGACCTAATGTGATCTTCATCATGGGCGCGGACACTACCAAGGGTGCGTCTGGCGACGTCCATGGATAGTCAGTGTGGAAGATATTTGTTGCCATTTTCTTAAGCACACGTAGAGTGTAAATACGATGGCACACGGAGTGTCGTCTCGCTTGAGAGCGAAGTCGAGCACCTTATATCCACCAGGGAATGCAGTCCCACCAAAGGATGACTGATGGGTGTCTCCGAAGGTCCGATATTTATATGTGATTCGGTACGTCTAGCTGTTGCGTAAAGTAATAGCTGCTTGTCCCCCGATCCAGTTGAGAATCTCCGCGGATGACAGTCCACCTTCTTGCTGAGACTCGTCAGACTGGCCAGGTTGCTTCGTTCAGCGGATGATGCGAATACGACAACGGCTTTTCCATCGATGGACTTGGACGACTGACCTGCCCATCAATCCGTATATTTCGAGTTGGAGGATTGGACGGATAATGCCTCGGATGATGTTCGTGACCCTGAGCACGATCCCCCTGGTTGTCTGTCGCTGTCTGTGCCACAACGCCACAGCGCCACAGGAATGACTCGGCTAACCTTCCTTTCACAAGACATCGGCTAACCTTCCATTCATGAGACATATCGCTTGGCGAGCCTTCGTTCAAAGCTGTGAACATCAAAGTAGAACTTGAAGTATTAATAGTAGTTGTGAATTGCGACTTCGCGTCTTGTTCATTCTCATTTCTTTTCATCATCCCACTTCCTCTTCATACAAGCCATCAGGCACGCTGTTGTCTTGCTAGACAGATCAATTCTTGCCTTCCGCAATCCATCACAGGCAAAGTTGCTAGTCTTGTTGAGATTCGTTCTCTGTTGAGATCGGCAAGATGAACGCTCCAGACCGGTATGTTTTCACATTTGACCTACATTTGCTGTTTTTTGTCACCCCTGGGATGGAGGCCAGCCGTGAAAATGTGCAGATCAGGAAGAAAATGGGGGAAGCGTCCGTCAGATGTCGGCCACTACCAATCACCTGAACAGTCTTCGTACCACCGCGCCTTGGAGCACACTGGACCTGGTGGGCGCCGATGAGCTCGACGCCGGAACGTTCTGCGGATCTTCTGCTGCTCACCGTGACTGGCCTGATTCTGCCCGACCTCAGCGAATTTGCAACCTTGGCATATTTTGGGAGGGTATAAATTTGAGCCTCGATCAGCCTGCGTTCACTTCAACTTGTCAACAACTCACACATTTCATCCTTCTTCATCTCCCGTTTCTACCAGGCTCTTTTACTTCCAAATATCCTGTCAGAGAGAGTCTCGAACACCATGGCGGAGCCAGGAGAGAGCGCGTCCGTGCCTCACAGCACCACCCCACCTGGCAGTCCTCCGAAACACCTGTACTATGGTCTTTTCATGAAAGGCGAGACTCGTCTCAGTACCACCCCCCCGGGCAGTCCTCCGAAACGTCTCTTCTCTGTCAATGGCGCTATTCCTCCTCCTCCCAGCACGACACCACCCAGCACACCTCCAAGACGCTTCTCTTCTGTTCAAGATATTAAAGGCAAAGCGCGTGACGACACCTTGGATCCTACAACTGGTAACACCACTGCCAATGGCAACGATGCCGAACAGACCGCAAGGTACGTCTAACCTCTCCTAATTGCCCCGCTTAAGCTGGTCCTTGGGCAAGTCTTAACGTGGATTGCAATGAACCACCTAATCAGAAACGTTTCCATGCTGACACAAGACTTCGCAGTGAGGCTGCATTAGCACAGGCGATCAATGATCTCAATGTGGCAAATGATAACAATGCACCGGACATCAGTGACGACATCCCTTCACCAGAGAGACGCGGCCGCAGCACCGTCAATCAATGGAGTCAGCATCCCAGCCATAAGCCCTATCAGTACGAGGGGAAAAACGCAACTAATCACCACAAAACTGCTCAATCCAACATCCCTGACCGGTGCGCAACCGCAAGATTATTGGACTTATAACACTGGCTATCTGACTGCACATCTGGCTCTCCTCCGTCCCGCTCAGCCTGAACCTCATACCTCCCAGCGGCCTCACAGATAGCAGAGTTAACTAACTGGCTAATTTACAGTACCGAAGCTTTCCTTCTCGGACCCGACGAAAAGAGAGTTGAGCCTTCGATTGATACTCGTGAGTAGTTCTAACGCTGCTACTACTTCCCGTTATTGACTCCTCTTGCACAGGCACCCCGAATACGATGATGTTTATCTACAACAAGGAGGATCACACCCTCGGAAACCTGCTTGTCGATAAGCTTCTCAAGAATAGCCACGTCCGATTCGCCGCGTACCGTGTAAGTCGCAGAGGATCATTCGTTATCAGCAGATGCGGAAACTAACACGAGCCAGGTTCCACATCCTCTCTTCGCAAGATTCGAACTCCGTATCCAGACTGATGGCGAGATTACTCCGAAGGAAGCACTCATAGCTGCAAGCAGCGAAATCATCCGTGACTACGAGATTCTCAAGATCAACTTCACCCGCGAGTATGAGTTGAGGAAGATGGTTGGCAGCGCGGCACAGAACAATGGAGCTTGAAGGGGTTTCACTCTCTGGTAGCCCGATCATGAAGGTCATGCTCTTATGACCATGGAACGGTTGATACCCTGTACCACTAGCGAGGGCCTGGCGTGATGGCGTTTGTACGGAAGCAAGAAGGGATGCGAGAGACAGCATGGTCATCACCTTGCACACAATGGCTACCTGCATCAGATTGAAGGGCTTGGGTTCGCGGGCAACCCGAACGGCACCGACCAAAAGTGTTGAGGGTCTATTGACTCAATATTGCTTTAACAAATTCTGCTCCAGCTCCATTGTTTGTGTCCTTGTTATGCGGCACTCTCTGCCTTTCATCACAGTCCGTACCGATCTTGGGGCCTCGTAGCCTTGTACAGCTTCACGGCCAACCCGCTGCTTTAACCATTGCCAAGCCGCCATCCTTTCGCCTGCGCCGATTGCCAACCTCCGTAGTATGTAATCTGGTATCAAAGCCACCCGGTCCGCGTCATGGTTATGGCAATTGCAATTGCAACCTGAACTCGGAATCGTCTTACTCCTTGCATTTCTTTGTCTTTCATCGCGTCGTTTTGTGTTTGTTGCCATCATGTATTCGTCGTCAAACTCATTCCTGGGCGGCACAAACAGTGCACGCCCAGGCCCTGGTGGCTTTGGACAGCAGCAGTCCTTTGGTTCCTTCAACCAAGCTCCCCAACAGCAATCTCCCTTCGCTCCGCAGCCTACTGGCTTCCCCGGACAGCTACAAGCACAGCAAACTGGGTTTCCAGGATATGGACAACAGCAGCAGAGCTTCCCAGCTCCCGTTCAACAACCTCAATTCACGGGATATCCTGCCCAGAACCAATCCCAACCGTCCCAGTTCCCTCAGGCACCACCTTTCCAGCAGCAGCCCTCCTTCCAAGCTGCACCTCAATTACAGCAACAGCCTACAGCTGCCCCCATTCGGCCTCAGCAGACATCCTCGCAGATTGCGTCTTCATTCACTGCCGGATCCTCCACCGCCGCCCCTTCTAACCGACGCGCAACGAAGAGCTCGAGTAAGATTCCGAATATCCGGCTGTCGTTCATTACAGCCACAGATCAGGCCAAATTTGAGCAATTGTTCAAATCTGCAGTTGGCGATAGTCAGTCGTTGGATGGCGAAAAAGCTAGGGATTTGCTGCTGAGGTCTAAATTGCCCGGAAGCGACTTGTCACGGATATGGATCTTGTCAGACACTACCAAGTCAGGGCGACTCCTGTTCCCGGAGTTCGCTTTGGCCATGTATCTGTGCAATTTGAGGTTGACCGGAATAGAACTGCCCCCTGTTCTGCCGGAGAAGATCAGGAACGAGGTATCAAGCATGGTTGACATAATCTCGTTTGGTGTGCCGGACGATAGGCCTCCTCCGCCGTCTCGAACCAACGTGCCCGATTTCGACGCCCCTTTAAGACAGAATGCTGTCTCTCCTCCTGCCCCGCAAGCACCACAACCACAGCAGCCGTCAAATCAACAGCTACTGTCGCAACTCACTTCTCAGCCAACGGGTTTCTACAATCAAGCAACGGGATTCCAACCTGGCCTCCAGCCACAACCGACAGGGTTCCCTGGGATGCCTCAGGGTATGCAAGCGCAACCGACAGGATTCTTGACCAATCCCCAGCCCACCGGTTATGGTGGTCCTCGCCCACCGCTTCCTCCCATGCCGACTGGCTTCGGAAACAATATGTCGCCCCAACAAACTGGACCTTTGCAGGCGCAGCCGACGGGGATACCTGGACAATGGGGGTTCATAAACACCCCCGCAGGAGGCCTGCCGAATATCGAAGCTCTCCAGCAACGATTGATGCCCCAGTCGAGCCGGGAAGGTGGCTATACAACCCAAGGTCTGGCCGGCAGCGCCAAAATTCCTTGGGCCATCACCAAAGAGGAGAAGAAGATATATGATCAGCTCTTCCGTGCCTGGGATGGATTGAGTAAAGGATTCATTTCCGGAGACGTGGCGATTGAGATCATGGGCCAGAGTGGGCTTGATAGGTCGGACCTGGAAAGCATCTGGACGCTGTCTGACCCTACCAACAGAGGCCGGCTGAACATGGACGAGTTTGCTGTGGCCATGCATCTCATTTACCGAAAATTGAATGGCTATCCTGTCCCCGCTCGGCTACCACCCGAGCTAATACCACCATCGACCCGGAACATCAACGAGTCGATCAACACTGTCAAATCTCTTCTCTCGCATGATGCCGAAGCCAGGAAATCATCTGGGGCATTCTTGCAGCCCCAAAAAACCGGTGTGAGCTACCTCAAGAATCATTCATTCCGCAGCGCTTCTAGCTCCCCTGGTTTTGGTCGTAAAGACGCTACTGTCTTCCGCAACAACGATGACGACATTGGATACCGATCCAGTGCAAGACGTCGCCTTGGAGTTGGCGGCCGAACGCCGTCTCCTGCCCAGTCATCTGAGCTGTCTGAATCGTACGATGACTTGACCCCTGACCAAATTCGGAAGAAGATTCGTGAGAAGAAAATTCTTTTGGATGCCACAGACTTTCAGGACGAAAGACAAGCAGAGGATGAGGACGTTCTAGATCGGAGGGATAGACGAGAGGCGGAGGATCTCTTTCGACAGATTCGCCGCGTGCAAGATGACATTGATACTCATCCCAATTCCGGTCTGGTTGGATCGGACACGGGGGCAGAGAGGAGAGCATTACGCAGGGAGTTGCAGCGGCACCAAGATCGTTTACCTGTGTTGGCATCCAATGTTCGAAAAGTCGAGAAGAGCATCGCAGAGGCCAGAGTGCAGCTGTTCCGTTTGAAGGATGCCAAAGCTCATCCGAACAGCGCTTCAAATATTGTTGGGACGGGTCCCGGCGGTGCAGTAACTGAGGCTGATCGTATCAAAGCACGTGCGAGGGCCAGGATGCAGGCCCGAGCCGCGGAACTGGCAGGTCGTCCAGTTCCAACAACTGATGACGAGGGTGCTGCGCAAAGACGCCTAGAGCAAGAAACATTGAAGGTCAAGTCCGAACAAGAGAGGCACGAAAGCATGACTCGAGATGTGGAGGAGAGTGTCAAGGACTTCGTTTCAAGCCTTGAAGATGGCTTGCGCGATCAAGGTGAAAGTGCAACTCAGGAGCATGAACGCAGAAGATGGGAGGAAGCCTTAGGAGTGGAAGATGAAGTCAAGGAGCTTATCTATGATCTGCAGAGAAGCAGCAGGACTGCCAAAGTCCGCAAAGAGGAGTACGTCTCACAAGTTTCTTGGAGTGAACACCATCCTAACATTTTAATAGGCAATCACGCTCTGTGCGACAGCCGGCTGCCGATCATACTCGTGACATCCAAGAGCCGAAATCCTTGAACGGCGATTTGCCTTCTAGGCCAGCGCCAACCACCACTCTGTCGTCGTCTTCACTCACAGCTGGCCAGTCTCAGCAGGACCGTATCGCATCCGCCAAGGAGAAGGCATTGAGACGTATCCAGGAACGCATGGCAGCAGCAGGTCTCAAGCCAGCTGGCGAGACTGGCGAAACGCTGCAACAACGACAGGAACGTGAGAAGCAAGAACGAGCCGAAAGACTCCGTAAGGCCGAGGCCGAAGATGCAAAGCGCGAGGCAGAGAGACAACAGAGATTAGCTAGTGAGGGAGTGGCACCTCCCAGCCCGAAAGCCGTAAAGGCGCCGCCGCCACCGCCTACTCGAAAGACGAGACAGGACAGCGCCGACACTTCGGACCGGAAAGCTGCAGAGGCGTCAATCCGCGCTAAAGCAGAAGAAGAGGCAGGGGCACAGATTCGGGCAGAGCAGCAAGCCCAAGAACAGGAGCGGAGAAGACTTGAGTGAGTGGATGCCACCTACTGTTTGCCGTACCCACTAACCATATCCTAGGACTCAAACTAAACAGCAAGAGGACGAGCTTGAAAAGGAACGCGAAGCTGCTCAAGCTCGTTTGCGAGCACTCGAGGAGCAGGTTAAGGCCGGCAAAGTCAAGAAGCAGGAGGAGAAGGCTCGGAAGAAGGCAGCGGAGAAGGAGGCCAAAGAGAAAGAAGCCAAGCTCGCTGCGCAGCGAGCTGAGCTCGAAGCCGCCAAGGAAAGAGAACGACAACTCCAACTACAGCTCGAGCAGCTAGGTGACTCGTCGTCTGACGACGACGAAGGTCCAGAGCAAGTCACTCCCCAAGAGAGTACACCAGCAACGAGCCAAGTTCTCTCGAGTACGATTTCGTCCCCTCCACCAGCACCTCCGCTTCCAGCGCCATCCACAAGCAACGGTCATGAACATACGCCGGTTTCAAGCCCACCTACCGAAGAGTCGAAGAACCCATATTTCAAGAAGCTATCACTCTCTTCGGAGAGTACCCCGCCAGTCTTCTCACCACCTCCTGAGCAACATGCTCAACCCTTCTCACCTCCTGCACCACCCGCACCGCCAGCCGATCTGCATTCGACCAACCCGTTCCACAGGATGGCCCAACAGGAGGCCACTAAGCCAGTGACCCCCAGCTTTACCGGTGCACAGTCGCGCCGTCGTCCAGAAGAGGATGAGTGGTCGGCAGCTGGCTCTGACAAAGGGGACTCAAGTGATGAAGACGAACCTCATACCAGTGGATCAGCGAAGCATTTGGCCTCAATTCTGTTCGGTACTATGGCACCGCCGCGACCTCTTTCTGCAATGGATAGCAAGCCTTCTACACCAGTTCAGGAGCCAGTACCTGCTCCTGAAGTGACGGGGTCCCCTCCACCACCTCCACCAATGCCGGCTAGCAGTGCTCCGTCAGCACCTCCGCCGCCGCCGCCCATGCCTGGTTCTGAAGCACCAAGCGCGCCTCCTCCTCCGCCACCCATCCCAGAGTCTGGAGCCTTCGGCGCACCTCCTCCGCCTCCACCATTCCCTGAAACTACAGCTGGAGGTCCGCCTCCACCTCCTCCAATGCCTGCACCTGCTCGTGCTGGCACGGCCGATATAGGGTCGCTTCTGGGCGAAATCAAGAAAGGGAAGGGATTGCGCCATGCTGAGACAAATGATCGTAGCACAAGCAGTGTGGCAGGGAAGGTTTTGAGTTGAACAACGGTGATGGAGCGGCCAGACGATTGTAGCGATTAGCGAATCAGTGGGTGGCGCACATACTCGATCTGTCTAGCTATCTCATTGTTTATTGGTCTTACTTAGTCTCCGTATCTTTTGGCCAATACAGCATGGACAGTATCACAGGTACGGATGACATGCCTGACCAAGTTGACGATCACGGTGCACGGAGTACGGGGTACTCTCTCGAGTGTCTGGTGCTGTGGAGGGTTGTGGGTGGGAGTTGGACTGCGTAGTAGGACTGCACGTGATTTGGCGTGCTGGCGAGCTAAGCCATTTATGGACACAAAGTAAATACACAGACGGCGTACACCTCGGCGAACAACAACATTGGTTCTACAGCCAGCAACGACCTCTGCAGAACCAGCCACCTCAACGGGGGCGAATGCTTCGGAAGAGGCAGTACGGTGATTTTCAAGCGTGATCGCGACTAGGCGTTGGATGCACGAAACGCCCTCGCGCCGAGAGAATCCAGACAGAGCAGACTTCAATTCAAAATGCCTCGTGTCGCAGGGCAATCTACAGGCCGGCCAAGTCGGCAGGCAGTGGTGATGAACATGGCCCGCGAAAAGAGCAAAGCATCGCCGGTGAAGTGAGTTGCTTTTCCCTGCCGATCGGGCTCACGTGAATGAGGTGTACCATAATTACCATAATGATTGTGCTCCAAGTGAATACGAGGAGCCATGGGAGTGGTCATTCCTCTTCGTCCGCGCCGCACAACCGGCAGAACCTGAAGCCAAGCTAACATCTTGTTTCCCACATTCAGACTCGCACTCAACGATGACCGAGGCGAAAAGGTCGCACGACTTCACTCGCGGCAAGCACTCCAGGAAATCCATATGAACGAGATACGCGCCGCCGCCAGTCCCATCCGAAAGATCAATCAGCGAAGATCGACAAATGCGAACAGCAACAGCAGGACCATGTCAGAGTCACCACGCACACCGCGAACGTCTGGTGTCGGGATGGCACACAAGAGACTACCACAGCACCAGCGCAACCTGGGCCGAGATAGCGACGTGGTGCCCGGGAGTACGGTCAGACCCAAGTGCGTGCCGATCCTGGCGAACTTCGAGGAGTGGATGAAGATGGCCACGGACAACAAGATCAATGCGGCGAATTCGTGGAATTTTGCGCTGATTGATTACTTCCATGACATGAGTTTGCTGAAAGAGGGCGATGGAGTCAATTTCCAGAAAGCCAGCTGTACGCTTGATGGGTGTGTCAAGATCTATACAAGCAGGGTGGACAGTGTGGCGACGGAGACAGGCCGATTGCTCAGTGGGCTGGCAGACGGTGCTGGGTCCGATGGAAAAAAGAAAAACAAAGGCGACGGTGCTGATGAAGAGGATGACGATGAAGATGGCGAAGATGGGGAGGAAGGCGAAGATGGGGAGGGGAAGAAAAAGGCAAAGAGGAAAGCTGCGAGGAGTCATGAGGCCACACTCGCGCCGAGCTTTGCTTCGTTCCAGGGCAAGAAACTGGAACTGGAATTTGCCGTCGACCCGTTGTTCAAGAAGGCGTCGGCCGACTTCGATGAGGGAGGGGCTAAGGGCCTCTTGCTCAACCACTTGTCCATCGATTCTGACGGTCGCATAGTCTTTGACAGTAGCGACGACGCAGGCGACGCGACACTTTCTGCCGAGAAACATCCCTCACAAGAACATGGTGAAGATGACGATGCCACGGAAATGGGAGTCGCGAGCGCAGAGGCAGCAGCAGTCGATGGAGAAGAGGTTGGTGCCGAAAACGACCAAGACGAAGAAATCGATCTCGCAGCCCTTGCCTCCAAGTTCTTTCCGGATCTGGGGGTTTTGGATTCACAAGACATCTGTCCGTCAATGAAAATGTTCACTCTTGGCGATGCTTCGGGAGATCTTAGTATCCCGTTTCTCAAAGCGCCCGACGACTGGCGAGAGCAGAAGAAAGCGGCCGCAACGCCGCAGCATCCTACGAACAATCCCAATCTCAACCTATCCGACCAGACCGGTATCTTCCTGGACGGAAGTAATGCGATGGGATTCGACGATGACGACGACGATGGTGGGTTGCTTGGTGGATTTGATGTCGCCGACAATGTCGGGTTCGGCGAAGGGGGTGAAGCGTGGGCCAAAGATGCTGCCGTTGATGCACAGACACGGCTTGCTCGAGCCGAAGATGTCGATGACAACCTCATAGAAGGTGACAATGCGGGTGGTTATGCTTTGGCGCTGCAGCACAAGTACCAAGAAGATGCAGAGCACGAGTCGATCATGGCGTATTTCGACAAAGCGTTCAACTCGCGAGCCAAAGGCAAGACGGCGTTCATGACGCTCGAGAACTGGCGCATGCAAAAGATCCAAAAAGCACAACAGGGCGAGACAAGCGCCCCGACAAGGCAGAGAAAGGAGAAGGAGCCATTCGAAATCGACTTCTCCGGGCCGATGTCGGAGTCCTTGAAAGAACTGCTCGAGGCGCCAGCAGTGCTTAACTCGCAGATCAGCTTGCCCAAAGCACAATGGAGGACGAAAGGCAGGAATCTGCTGGACAAGGATGACGAGGTAGTTGACCCGAGAAAACTCATGTATCTGTGGACGAAACCGAAATGTCGAGTGGGCAGACGCAAGGGTGGCATGGGAGTCATTGACGAGGGCTTCGGTGCGAGAAACCGCTTGGGGACAGCGAAGGACGCAGAGGATGACGATGACGACGGCGAGGGCAGACAGGGAGACTACGATGCCAACTTCTTCGCCGACGATGATCAAATGCCCTTTTTCGACGGGCCTTTGCCCATTGATGATGACGAGGACGATGGCATTGTCGACGGAGGTGACGACGGCGCTCAAGCATTCATGGATGCGAGGGAGATGCTCAGTCCTCAACCGGAAGGACAGCAACAGCAACAACCGTCCGACCTTTTTGGGCGGATTGAGGCAGACGGAGACGGCCACGGCGACGGTGAAGGGTTACAGCACCCACCAGCATTAGGCTTGCTGGCACCATTGCAAAATCAGAGCGATCTACTCCCTGGCAGTTTCGGTAGCCAGCTTGTAACCCAGGCCGGCCGGAGATTGCGGCCAGAGTATGTCAACTACGCGCGGACGGCGAAGAAGGTCGATGTCCGACGACTGAAGGAGAACATGTGGAAGGGGATGAGTCAGAAGCTGACAAGGATCAACGTGTTCGGCATGCCCGATCAGTTGCAGAGCGGGACCGAACAGCAGCCGCCAATACAGCCTCAGCCGGCCGTCGATGAGGACGTCGATATGATGGATGTCGACGACAACGCTGCTGCCGCCGGTCCTGGAGCTGAAGGTGCAGATGGGGAGGCAGGACAAGCAGATGCCGCTGCCGTGGCCACAGTCGCCGGGCAATCTGTGGAAACCCTCAGCTTCACAGACGTGATCCAGGATCTACGGTCCGTGTACCCAGAACAGCAGATGAAAGACATCAGCACATCGTACTGCTTTATTTGTCTGTTGCATTTGGCCAACGAGAAGGGGTTGATGCTCGAGGGCGACCGGGAGGGCGAAAAGGCGATGCAAGAGATCAAGGTGTGGAAGGACCCGAGTGTGGGAGAAGAGTATGAGGGTGAATGATGATGATGAACACCACTGGGGATTGGATCTAGGAGTAGGCATGGCTGGGGAATCCATCGGATCGCGTCGCATTGGATTGGAGGTGGTTGAGCAAGGCAACCAGAGCGACGCTTGAAATGAATGGGATTTCTGCCTTTCTCTTTCTCTTCTTTCTCTTTGTCCTGTGATTCTTGTTTTTCGCTCTTCTCGTATTTCTCTTTTTCCTCTTCAACCTATTCAAGACGAGATAGACGGGGCAGGGCAGGGCAGGGCAGGGCAGGGCAGGGCAGGGCAGGGCAGGGGGATTCATCCATCCTATGCTATACTATGCTATGCTTTGCTACCCTACCTATTCCTGTCGTATCCTATCGTATCCTGTCCTGCTGATTGTAGTGAGTGTACGAATAGTGTAGATAGGGTTCGGTCTTGATATCTAGATAGATAGATAGATATAGGTATATATAGTGTATACTATACTGCATGGATATATATCTATGGTGTATGTATATGGCATATTCTAGCCTTGGGATATATCCGTCTTCCCGTACTAGTAGTGAATTTGAATCCAATCGGCATGTAAGTAGTGGACTGAAATCCATCAGCGTCTAAGTTAACCCCTCTACGTGTATCCGTACAGTATATATCCGCTCTGTCTATTGTCTATTGTCTAACACTGGCAGCAAGTTCAAGATCACGCTTAGGCACCGACCACCAATATCCGTCTTTCAAGTTTCTGGCTTCCAACTTCCTTCTCTGGTAGAGCATGCCCGTGACCTTCAGCGGCGCGTCCAGTCCAGCCCGGTCCAATCCAGACTCGACTTCAAGTTCTTAGAGTCCTAGTATCGAGATCTGTACGGAGTACAACACTCGACACCTCAGTCGACAAAATTCCATCTGGCCAGGCCACATTGTATGTGTATCCGTCCATACTCCGTATCCGTACATTGTGCGCGGTACCACGCGCGCAAACTCAGCGTTTCCCACACCTCCGGCGGAATCCACAGAGATCGTGTGTGATACGGTAGCTAGCTCTTCATACATAGTTTGCTTGCATAGTGTCTGTTCAGTAGTAGTGTGTAGTGTGTAGTGTGTAGTGTGTAGTAGTAACTCCGTAGACTCCAGAGCGCAGGGTTGTTGTTTGCGGTCGCTTCCAAAGCGCAGGCGCAAGCTCAAGCTCAAGCTCAGCTCAAGTGCGTGGCGTCGATCCACTTCAAGTCCCCATAATTTCGCGAGCTTCCCGAACTCATCTAACGGGTTGTGTGGTCGACGCCGGCTTTCTGCGATTCATCTCCTGCGCAGCGGGCTAATAGCTTAAGCGGGATGAGAGGACTTTGGACTCGATAAGGACGCGCGCTTGAAGCAGAAGCAGGGGCATTCTCTCTCCCAGCCTCTCGAGGGAGACAGGACTGAAACTGGGTGATGTCCGGAGTATGGCGCCAGTGTGGAAGTGGTACGTAGTGGTGGTGGTGGCGGGGTGCTTGTGCCGGCTAAGTCGGGGTTTATACGTAGCTAAGTGGAAGTCTACAGCTTCTCTTGTCGCTTGGCCAACACCCACAGTCCCTCTGCTTCGGTCAGCACCAAGCCATCTTTATCGACAATCTGGCCGTGCGCCAGCCATTTTCGCCCTTCTCTTGCCACCACCCACGTCCTGACCAGGACGTCGCCGGGAGTCGGGACTGGCGCGCGGAAGGTCACGTTCAGATAGGCGGTGAAGAGGGAGTCTCGAGGGCCGCGCATGTGTTGATGGTGCAGCATCACGCACAGCCCGAGCATCTCGTCGAGAATGGCGCAGGACATGCCGCCGTGAATCACGCCAGGATGGCCGTCTAGACCCGGGCGGCCCAGAGTCAACAGCATTATACAGTCTGGCTTCTCAGGGACCTTTGTAGTCTCGACTTGGCTCTCTTTTCCTTTCAACGTGCCTTTAGGAGCCTCCGGTGGGCCCTTGAAGTCCTTTAATTGTAGCGTGAGTAGGTGCGGGATGGTGCGCGCAGTACTGACGGTGCGAGAGAAGAAGTGGTCTTCGCCGGAAGGTTTGAGGACTCGAGAGAAGGTGGGAATAGGTTTGTAGAGGGGATCGCTTAGGTACTTGTTGGTCCATTCGACAGAAGCGAAATGATCGCGCGACTCCTCGGGAACCCGATTGCTGTCGATGAAGTTGGACATGAAGTCCGTTTGTTCGCCCATTGTGAAGGAGAGGAGGGACGCCGAGACTAGGGGTTGGTTCTAGAGTCACCTGTTACACATTGCCCAGTACCACAAGCAAGCAGGCAGAAGGCAGTAAAGGATACGGAGTACAGAGTATGTTGTAGCTGTATGACTCTCGCGGGATGTATAGGACGAGTATCCGTATATCTGACTCCAAATCCGCCGACTTGGTTGGGGACACCAGCCATTCCCGACTGCGAACCTCGGCACGCGGTCGGGAGTACCGGCGTCGACGATAGGCATGGATGGTCAGATCCTGGGCGAGAGCTCTGGAGCTGGTGAGTGCTCAGTGCTGGCTTTTCTGCGGCCGCTAAGCTATAGCCTCTGGCAGTTCGCGCACCGCAGGCGAAAGTGGACTGGAGTGTCCGTGGCCACAAGCTTGACGGGCGCTGCCAGTGGTGGAAGAGCCTCCGGAGCAGCAGCTTATCCGCCCGGCCAGGTCGGTGGAGGAGGCGATGCCCGCATGATTGGAGGGCGGCGTTAATGTGTTTCAAACCGCCGCAAATGCCTGGTCGATGCCTGGTCGACCTTGCTGCCGCCCCGGTCACTAGCCAGTCCGGCGATAACACTTAGCGGAGAGATAGTGACAAGATGCGGTACTCGTAGTGGCCGGCAACCCAATGCGACGCTTCTTCCTGGTGACGGGAAGAATAGTCGTGAAACTGCTTTTATAAAAAGCCCAGCCATCGCCCTCGACCATGACCACGCCCATTCCACGTCGACGTAGCAACCGGACCCGTCCATCTGACATCCAAGCGAACACCAGCCTTCTTCTCGTCATAAAGGTAGCTCTTACCCTTACCCTTACCCCAGACTGCACCCAGACTGCATAAGAGAGTGGACGTGAGAGAGAATCTTTCTGTCGTGCATCGATCTTCTGTTCTCCATCCTGCCCGTCTGCTCCACTACCACTACCACTATCACTTCCACTACCTACCAGCTACTACTGCCGCTGCCCACCCGGTGCCTGGCGTCTTCTCTCTCACCTCTTTTCTCTGCCGCTCTGCACAGCTGCGATTCTACCTGCACCAGCTTTTCTCTCACACCCAGACAATCGGAGCATCCATTGACAATTAGGTAGCTTTGATAGAGAGCAGACTCCTCGCTACGCCAACCATCTCCCCATCTCTCCCGCTGCCATCATGGTGTCCGCATTTTTCCTCGCGGCCTCGGCCCTCGTTACCCTTGCCCATGCGCAGACCATCGAGACCTCCAGCGCATCTTCGGTAGCTGCCTCCACAACAGTTTCCCAAGTCATGCCTCCCAGCGCCACTCAGGCCTTCAATCCTGCCGGCATTGACTCGACCACTGCATGTAAGGGGAAAATATTCACAATGTGAAAGGTCTCGATCAAGCGAATACTGATGTGGACGTAGTCAACTGGTGTCATGCTCAACTGAACACTTGCCCTCAAATCTGTGGAGGTTCCGCTTCTCAGAACAAGTGTGACCAGGTAGGCTATAGCGTCCTTGCTCCGTAGAGTCGCAGCTAATTCTCTCCTAGACCGCCTTTACCTACACTTGTGTTTGTGCGAATGGTACGGTGCCGGACTGCACTGCGTTCACCGAGACTCTACCATTCTACATCTGTCAAGAAACCTACATCCAATGCATCAACAGCCATCCCAACGACGCTCAAGCCCAATCAGTGTGTGCGCAGAACGAGCAATGTGGTACTCGCAACGCTACCTCTGAGGCCCTGTCCGCGTCATCTGCTGCTGCTACGACTTCTGCGGCGGCTACCACAAGTGCAGCAGCATCCTCCACCATCGCCAGCGCTGCCAGCTCCTCTGTGGCGAGCGCCGCTCCCACTCAGAGCCAAAAGGGAGACGCTGCGGTGGGCTTCCCTCAGAAAGTTGCCACTGGCGCGTTCGCCGCCCTCTTGATGGCCGCATTCAAGCTCTTTCTCTGAGAGTGCTCCACGGTCGGAAACACCGCAGCACCCCTCGATTCGGCTCGGCTCGGGCTTTAATATTGGACATCCTTTTTGTCGCTGGGAGACAGAGAAAAGCATGAGGGGCAAACAACAGAAAATCAGCACAAGACTAATTCCGGCGAAGAACCATTCCATGTATTGTGGGCATGACCCTGGTCTTGAATCATATGGTACGAGGGATCGACGACTTCACTGAGCAATGAGTTATGTTTTTCCGGCGTTCCGCTGTTGCTCTTCGGCAAAAGCACTTTCAATCCTTTAGCAAGCGCCTGCGTGCTGCATGGTCCACGAAGGTGATAGCTGCACAGAGGAGGGCGGCTAGAGGGGCTCGACTTAATAATAAGGTACGGTTGCTGTAATGAGAGAATTGATTGATCTGCAAGATCGAGTGGTCTCCAAGGATTGACATGGAGATCTTCGTACTGTCCCTCACTGTTCCACTTTTTATGATGCGCATTGTGGCATGCCACCACACCACACTGTGGTCAGTGGCAGGGATGTGCTTCCACAGCTGCCACTCTCCAGCCACAGCGAGGCTCAGGCCACCGGCCTCTTGTGGCTTACAGAGTCGGATCACGCGAAATATCTCCGGGCAGCTTCCGGTCTCGATCCGCCCATATCCGTGCTCCAAGCGTCCAGCCTCTCGCTTCTCAGCCACTGCGCTACAGAGTATTCCGTAAACATACCAATTGGAACTCTTCCTCGACACAGTCTTTGCTACCAGCTTGAAATCTTGACCCGATTTGCATTTTATCCTGTTGGTCGTTGTGGACGCCCGTACATGACTTGGAGATGAACAGCATCCGTCATTCTTGCAAGAGACCTGCTTCCACCCTCTTCCGCTCGGCCGTGACCAGACCTCCGTCACTGGCAGCACGAGGGGCACCGTTTCGATCCCCTCTCCCATCTTGCACGCCTCAAATTGGCTCTGGTATGTCCAGTCCGCCGGCGTTGATCTCTCAAGATTCAAGAACCGCCTGTTTACTGAATCCCCTAGTCCGTACTCTGGCCAGTGTTGCAACGCCACCGCAGCGAACCATGCGAGCTCTCAGATATCACGGTGTCAAAGACCTTCGTGTCGACTATGACATTGCTGAGCCGGCATGCGGAGACCATCAGATCAAGATCAAGCGTAAGAACCAAGACTTGTCGCCCAATCCCTGCCGTGGTTGCATGTACCATGACTCGTGGCGTTGAATATTGACTGACCTTTGTTCGTGTTGTAGCTGCTTTCTGTGGGATATGTGGAACAGACTGTAAGATTTCCCCGTGGGCTCAATTGACCTGACACTGGTGCAAAGGCTCTGCACCGATTGAAGAATCCATCTATACTGAGATGAGAGCCCAGGTGGACGACTCGCACGTCCAATCTTCAATCTTCGCCCTCTCTACCTTGTCCCGGGCTAGAGCGTGTCCCTATGAGCATCATGACTAACGGTTCAATGTACAGTACATGAGTACTCGTCTCCGACGTTCATACCGCTGAAGGATTCTCCCCACCCAGTGACCAAAGAGACCATGCCAGTCACGATCGGGCACGAATTTAGTGGTGAGATCGTCGAGATTGGCTCCAAAGTCAACAACACTTCCGGTCTCAAAGTCGGAGATAGGGTGGCAGTCCAGCCAACCGTCTGTTGCTTTGGTTGTGGGCCATGTAAGGAAGGGTATATCAACTGCTGTGACAGTGCAGGGTTTGTAGGCCTGAGCGGCGGCGGCGGCGGGATGTCAGACTATGTTTGTGTCGATTCGCAATTCGTGTACAAGCTACCGGACCACATTCCCCTCGATGTGGGAGCTCTGGTCGAGCCGCTTGCCGTGGCGTGGCATGCTGTCAACCAATACCCGGTCAAAGAAGGCGACACGGCCCTCGTGATGGGCGCAGGTCCGATCGGGTTAGGGGTGATCCAATGTCTGAAAGCTCGAGGTGCAAAGACCATCATTGTGGTGGAGCTCGCAAAGGAGAGACAAAACTTTGCTAAGCAGTTCGGAGCGACACACATCCTCGATCCCAGATATGAAGACGTGGTGAAGCGATGCAAAGAACTCTGTGATGGCCAAGGACCCCATGTGGCTTTGGATGCTGCGGGCGTGCCTGCAAGTCTCAAGGCTTCAACTCTGGCGGTGCGAGCCCGGGGAACCGTCGTCAATGTGGCTATTTGGGAGAAAGAGGTACGATATACCAGAGGACAAGATCTTGCCTCGAGATAGAGATGCTGACCGAACCAAACTAGGTGCCCTTCCAACCCAACAACGTGGTCTTTGGGGAAAAGAAATATGTCGGAGGTAAGCCAGTCACGTCACCCTCATTTTCATTCACTTGTCTATCATTCTGCCGCACCTTCACGCATACACGCCCAAATCCAATCAGCCCCGGCCAAAAAGAAACACAGTTCGAGCTGGACTCGAACCCTGCACCCTACACTATAATGCTATTTCATTTTGCCTCACGAGCAAAAACTCTGACCCCGAAACCCAACTACCCGGTGGTAGTTGGGGTTCGAGGTTCTAGAGAAACCCCCAGTCGAGAAGGGGATTTTTTTGGTACCGGTCGTTTCGTCAGGTTGCTCCCCTACCATAAGCCCTCGGATGAGGACCATAAGCGGTAGGAATCATCTCCCATGGTAAGAGTCACCATCCACCGTCACCGGTGGGGGTGCATTCCTTCCGATCAGGGGTCCGCCTCAAGGATTCACGGCTTCGCCCAGGAGCAAACTGCCTCATATCTGGTGGCCACACCCTCACGCCCCGACTGGCCTAGTAGCCTTGTGGGCTACTAGGGTCGGAATCCGGGATAGATATAAGGAATTGTTGACCAGAATTGCGCGGGTGCAATATATCACCGTTGATTTCTTTTCTGCCGGCCACATCATGTGACATGTCGAAGGGGAGGGAGGCGCTTCACTTCAGTTCACATGACACCCACCAGGATCTTGTATACCTTATTTGACACGGCACACATGGCCAAAGCGAGCGCGTTTGCGTTTGCGTTTGCGTTTATACTATACAGCCCAGCCCAGCACAGCACAGCACTAGGGCTCCTTTGCCCCATGATGGACATGGTTACTAACGTGGGTTCCTCCTCTACCGCAGTACTCGGCTACGTCAACGAAGATTTCGCCGGTGTCATCCAAGCGCTCGACGACAAGAGACTGCAGCCCGTGAAGATGATCACTCGAAAGATCCACATCGACCGCGTCGTCGAGGATGGCTTCCGCGCCTTGATCGACGAGAAGGACAAGCATGTCAAGATCCTGGTCGATTGCAGGGCTTAGAGGGACAAGCTGGACTGGGCTGGGCTGGGCAAGGCTGGGTTGGGCTGGGCAAGGCTGGGTTCGGCTCGCCTCGTCTGCACTACGGACTATACTACGTATTGCCATGCCAGTCGATCGATCAATCGGTCCGTCGCGGCCCTGGCATTGTCACTGGAGGTGAGGCCTGGGAAGTGAGCAAGCAGTCGCTCAATCAGACCATCAGTGTCTGTCTGTAAATGCTTTTGAAAACACAAAATATGCATACATAGTAGGGACATCAGGCCCGTTGTGGGAATATGGCCCACGGATTCAATTGGGTTGTGCGTACGTTGTATACTGTATACTGTATATTTTGTATTGTATATTGCATACCCAGGTACTGTATATCTTGTATCGTATACTCTCGAGTCTGTCTCTGGAAAGTACTCTGTGCGAAGAAAGGCTAGCATTGTTACCGGATTTGAATGGTACTGTACTGTAGTTTAAAGTGTGATTGAGGTGCACCATGGTTTTTGGGGGTGGAGGGGGTTTTAGTTTTTTTTTTTAGTTTTGGAAAATCCTACATACCTGTAAACCCTCTGGCCCAGGAACAATACAATGCCGCTTCACCCTTTGGTGTTTCTCTAGCCTCTTCATGATGAATTTGAGAAAGCCTGCGATGGAGCAGAGTACATTTCTGGTCGGGTCAGGTTGCGAATCAAAGGTCGGACCACACGGTAAAGAAGCACTGGCTTCAAGTCGAGCTGTGACACTGATGGTGGAAACGTTAACGTTGAAGTGGCCGGTTCTATCCAACTCATCTTCATGTTCTCTTTCGACCCTGAAGTCAGCGTGTAATCCGGATAGATACTACTATCTCGGCCTCGAAGCATCGTGCAACCCTATCCAACTCGTGCTGTGCTATTGTCAATGCTAAAGTGATGGTGTGGTTCTCCCGGCGCTTGTATCCAAATCTTGCGGCAAGAAATCCCCCGCCGTCCGCTCGACCTTACGCCCCTCCTGGAGGTGGTCCAAGTCATGGGCCTCGACTGTCTTCACGACCAAATGGGCCGAGTCTCGCTCTTCAACCACAATACCGCCGCCACGTGCTTTGGCCATCAGTTCTTCGGGGGCCTTTGTTCGCTGGCCCGTCTCCTTGTTCCATACCCATCCCTCTTTCATCCACATCCAAGTCAGGTATGCTCGGAGCTCCTTGTCGAACGGGACGACTCGTTTCCATTCGGGCTCGAAAGTTGCAGTTGCAGTTGTAGTTGCGGTTGCGGTTCCTGTTCCGGGCGATGGCGATGATGATGCTGCACCTTCTTCTTCATTTTCCTCTGCACCCCGCTCTTTGGCCAAACTATGTCCCTCTCCTTCCACATTCCGCTTGTCCGCTACTCCCCTCAACTCGTCGCGGCAGAAGATGCGCCAGCTGTCGTGAGAATATGGGCCTAGACCAGGCAAATGAGAAATCTCCCATGCAACGCGCGTGTCCTGGTCATCGAGCACCTCGTCATCCCTCACATCCCTACCATCGCCTTTATTCGGGTAATGGAGCTTCCTATACCGTTTCCCGCGCTCTGGTGGGTTGTTGACCCACGTTTTCGCCATGGCAACGCATTTCTTCGCTCGCTGGTTTTGAAACCCGAGCCCGTAGATGATCGAAGTGATCTCGCTGGTGTCTGCCCTGGCGAGATCCGATGGCGTAGGGAACCTCGACATCAACTGGTAGAAGACCGGCATGGCGCGCTCGCCTGGGGTCTTGTTCAAGAAGATCGTCGCAATGAGTAAGCGGAACGGATCGTGGGCGAGGCGTTCCTGCATTAAACCGAAGGTGGCGTGGGACAGGGGCGGGAAGGGCAATGTCGACAAGAATGTCGGCCTGTGTTTGTGTGGGTGTGGAAAGTAAGGCGATTTGGTCGGCCGACGTTGGCCTTTTCGGCTTTTGGTCGTGACATCTATCCCTTGTATTGTGGAGAGGGATGGTGACTCTGATGGGGATGATCGTGGCTCTTCTGGCGAGAACGGGTCCGGCCCAATATCGTCAGGGACATCAGTAAGGCTGGAATCGGAGGAGAGGTCGTCGAAGTTCAGTCCGTGATAAATGCGTGGACGAGGACCGGGGCGAGCTGGCGTGACTGGCGGCGTGGCTAGAGTCGGTGCCCCTTGGTCTTGATCAGCATCATGCCGCTGGTCCGGTTGGGTTCTCTTTACTTTCGCAGTATTCGGTTGCTTTTGAGCCCTTCGACTTCTCTTTGGAGGCACCGGAGAACCGGCCCCATCCAAATCGCTTTCCGCTACGAAGTGCCTCGAAACATAGGTGATTGTCCGGCGGGGTTTTGTCGACGTCTTCTTCGCCTTTGCCGTCCCAATCGCCGACTGAGCGGATTGGTTTTCTGGAGAAGCCTCATCGTCGGCGATCATGCCCGAGTCATTGGTTGGGATGATGGGCAGCTCTGCATCGGAGGAGGATGAAAGGGCCGGAGAGAGCAAGACACGAGTGTCGTGCGTGTTCTGCGCCTGTTGCTCACTGGCAGGACATGGTGAGGTCATCTCCGTCTAGGCACCGGTGGCACGGCGCCTGCGTCGACCGCGTCGAAGAATACTGTACGAAGAAAAGCCTGGAATTACCTTATATCTGACATGCACTGGCAACAGACTGACATGCTTGCAGAATGATGAGGGAGGTATCATTCTCCGCGAAGTCTTTGTCACCTTCACATTGCACTGAGAAATGCTTTACGCGACCAGTGGTGCCTTAAGGGCCCCTGGTGAGACCAGTAACTACGCGCTTCTGCCTGCCTCGACACCCGTAACATTTCTTCTCATCCCTGCCACGGCAATGCAGCTTGATCTATTAGCACCAGCATGAGTGATACCATTGCACGTCCGTACACTCGGATTCCACCATCCACCATGCACTGTCTCTGTTCATCGAGCTTGGGAAGAGTCCGGGAGGTAGATAGCCAATCACATCGGTTCTCAGGGCAAGCGAGGGAGCATTGTTCCGGAGACGCGCGCGCGATTTTTGTTCCACGGCCACAGATGCAACATTTTCCTCCTTGGGATACCGTTGGCACCGAAACTCAAATGGCGCACAGCTGACATCGTCAGAATGGAGGTAGTCACTGCAAAGGTCGCAGATGCACTTTGTCGCTGAATAGTCCACGAGCTCTTGCGAAACACCGTCCGAAGTCGATCACCGAACAAGCCCATCCTCACGAGTCCTACGAGCCTTACGAGCTCTCCAAGCTTTTTCTCAGGAAGCATGGGAGAACAGGATGAACAAGCACTGTATGCGGCCAGATCTGTCACTGTTCGTCGCAAGCCTGTACCTGCACCTCCACCGCCGCAGTATCCCGTGAAGAAATCAAGCCTGGTGGACCGATGGAAGAGTCTCTCACGCCGGACTCGGATCATCGTACTCGCTGTCGTCCTCGCCATTGTCGCTTTGATTGTTGGCCTCGCGGCCGGCCTCTCGACTCGAAAGAGGACGCAAAACCTCCCCTTGCCATCCGGACATGGCGGCCCTTACACCGGCGATTTGACCTACTACGAACCGGCTCTCGGGGCATGTGGTGTAACGTCTACCAACAAGGATAAGATTGTGGCAATATCGCACATCGTGTTCGATACAGCGAGCACCGGCAGTGATCCAAACAGCAACCCTCTGTGTGGGAAGAAGATCAGAGCACGCCTAGATAACAAGAGTGTGGATCTGACGGTGGTGGACAGATGCACTGGTTGTCAACCAAAGGACATCGATGTCACCGTCAACACCTTTGCTACGCTGGCTGATGTCGACCTTGGGAGGGTACTGGTCGAATGGAATTGGTTGGAAAATATACCTGCCGGGGCGGAGGATTGACGCTTTGTCACGACTAAACGCTGGAGACTGCTTGCTGTTACTCTACCGATATACGCGCCTGACACTCAGCTTGTCTCTCACGGTGAATACTCACCGTTGTTGCCTTCGTACAAAACGGCATTGCCCCCGGACGCAGTGGAGCAGCTCCTGTCATTGTAGTCGAGTGGAGTTAGACGCCGTTGAAGCGGACATGCGCGGTGCATTGGAATATGTCTATCTCGCCAGCTCTCCCGGATCGCCGACTCCTTTCTGTCTTTCCATCCTTGAGGCACACTTTCACACATTGTTGACTGGAACGCCGTCATCGGAGAAGAAACGATATTAGTCATGTCGATTGTAGCATTGGCAGAAGGGCAACAGTACGTTGGTTTCTACTCTCAGCGCCGATGTTGTTCTGACGATTTTCAAGGTCGAGCGTTAGCCTCGACATCCTCCACGATGTTGCTGCCAAAAACAATATGAAGATCTCGGTTAAGGAAGATGAAGAAGCTTTCCTCCTAGTCCTCCAATCCGCCGACGTGACGATGTCTAGTGTCCACGACCTTCCTGACTACATTGATCCGCGACTTGAGCCAGTCTCTACGATAGGAGGGAGACAATACTGGAAATCCAAAAGCAACAGTCACAATGCATGGAGTCACCAGGCATCTCTTGTGGCGGAAAAGCCACTTTCAGATGTCCTTAAAGGCCGTCAAATTGTAATGAAGGATAATATGTCGGTGGGCGGGTTGCCGCACACCTGTGGAACCTTTCCTCAGCTTGTATCAAAGGATGGGAAGTATCCCATTGCGACCATTGATGCAACTGTGACACGACGTCTCTTGGAAGCAGGGGCCACAATAGTTGGAACTTCGACTTGCGAGAATTACTCTTTGACGCCCATGTCCTATACATCTGCGAATGGACCAGTTCATAATCCATGGCTACGCGACCACAATACCGGAGGTAGCACTAGCGGAGGAGCCTGTCTCCTTGCTCTCGGCAACGCCCGGGCTGCTGGTGTTCCAGATTTGGACGAAGCTGGTCAAGACGTCGACCTTGTTATGGGCGGCGACCAAGCGGGAAGTATCCGCCTTCCATCCTCGTATTGTGGTGTTTATGGTCTGAAGCCAACACACGGCCTAATCCCTTATACTGGAATCGCGGGACTTCATCCCATGATCGACTATACTGGCCCGATGGCGCGGAAGTTGGAAGACATAGCCGCCTTGCTTACAGTGGTTGCTGGCTATGATGGACTCGATCCAAGAATGACTCCCGAGTCTCCACTCCGACAAAATGTTCTTGACTATGCGAAGGAACTTTCCACGGCGTCGGATCCTGGTAAAGGTCTAAAGGTCGGCATCATCAAAGAGTCTCTTACTTCAGGTGGAACTCAAGCGGAAGTTGCAGAGGTTGTGAAATCCGCAGCATTCAAGCATTTTGGAGCAAGCGGAGCGACAGTATCCGAAGTCTCAGTTCCATTTCATCTCCTCGGACCGGCTATCTGGACCGCAGCTACAAGGTCTCATCTCGCGGGGTTGGCCATCGGCGGAAGAATTCCTGATGTGCTAAGCCACAACATCCCCCACCTGAACTTGAGGTGGCCACCAGACCAGGAGATGTATGATCTCCTGTCGGTCTCTAATCCCGCGGTGATCAACATCATCTTCTGTGAGACTTTCTTGAAGGAGAAGTTCGGCCCTGAGGTTCAAGCCAAGGCTCACCGGCATGTGCTAGAACTGAGGGCGGCGTACGACAAGGCTTTGGAGGAGTACGATGTTCTCATCACGCCTACTGCCCCGACCGTTGCCCTGCCACATCCTGATCTGCGGCCTGCAGCAGAAGGTGGGAGCACCGTCATGGACAAGATCAAGTTGGCGGTGGGCGCAACAAACAACACTGCACCATTCAATACTTCTGGTCATCCGGCACTCAATGTTCCTTGTGGTTGGGCGAGTTCACGGACTGGCAAGGGGATGCTTCCTGTGGGAATGCAAGTCATCGGCAAGAGGTGGGATGATATCGGTGTGCTGAAAGCAGCCAAGGCTTTCGAGCTTGGAGGAGGGGGTCTAGGGCCATGGCCAGGCCAGAAGCAGTCATAGCCACCTGTCGCCAGACCGGAGGACGGGCAGGTGTGGTTTGCTGGCGTGTTCGCGCTAGAAGAGGACTATCCAGGGCCTCTGTCTTCCCGATCTTCCGAGCTGCAATCGTGATGAGCCCTCGATTGTCAGGGAAGTCAGCAATATCACATTTGTGGAATGGAGAATCAAAAAAGGCCTCGCCTAGGTTGAAAAAGTCTGCTTGGGTACCGATGGAAATGAAAGATTTGAGACAGGCAACACGCGGGCTACGGACTCGTCACAGCATGACAACCGGGACGTGGGCACTCGCCCACATCCGTCCAGCTTTCTCGGTGGGACTCTGAGAGACAGTTCTGCTACAACGCCGTTGGGGTTTGGTTGTGGACATAGATACCTAGCTCAGAACTACATATCCAGAAAAAAGTCGACATGGTGGGAGAAAGACGAGTCAGTATAGCCATTGGCAAATCCAGTCGACTTGCATGTTCCCTTCGTTTCTCTGGTCAATCGGTCCTTGCTTCCCAGTCGGCCTGCTCGATCATACCATGCTATGCTTCGGCCTGAGCAGCCCGGGCCATTGGCATGACTGATTCTGAGTTTTTCCCGTACTTAGGCTTTGGTCTGCTCGTCTCTTCTGGTTGAACACGTTCGATGAAACGGTGCGTCGACTTCATCCCGAGACCTCCGCAACCGCCTTGACCATCTATAACTGGCGGCCAAATCGTAGAGATATTACTCTGCGGACAATCCCACCACCCTCCTCCTGTGACCTTTAAATCTGAGATGACACGGGCACCCTCCACCATTGCATCTCACCATCCAGCTGCTCTTGGCGAGCACAGTTGAATTCACTGCACACGTCAGGTACGTGCCTTGGTCTTTATTGCAGGGTAATAAGTAGGAATTGCAGAATATCTTCCAACAATCCCAGAGAACGGTGGCCTAGCGGTCAGTGCAGCATCAATTTGATAGCCTGCCTCTGCTAACCCATACGTACTGGATTGAGGGGGGTGTTGAGATTATCTCATCCAAACCTTCCTTCAGCAACCTGACATCCTCTCTTCTTGAGAGTTCGAGTCCTAATGCCTTCAAGCTAGACCTTATAAAAAAGGGTCTATCTGGTAAGGCTGTGATTTGAACCCTCGGGACATGAGGTGCAGGTGTTGAAGTGAAGGGAGATATCTCAACACCCCCTGCCCGAAAGAAAAAAAAAACCAAAACCAAAAAACAGGATTCAGTTCCAGTTTCACTCTCCTTCCAGTCTCCCAGCAATGGGAACTGGAAGGAGAGTGTTTTTGTCAGTATCTCCGGATGAGAAGAGGAGGTTTTTTTTAATCTTTTATAGCTATGACTTGGAACGACGTGTTCTTGTCATCTTTTTGGAAGACATAGCGTACCAAGGCACCTTGGAGAGCCTCCTGGATACACCATGGTGCCGTAGGTATACTTACTTACTCATAACGTTCTCGGCGTCCTGGTCATCTCGCAGAACATTTCCAAGGCTGCTCTCCCGCTCAAGCTCGACGCTGCCTCCAGCTGCATATGCCGTGAAGAGCCCAGAAGACTGGCCTGATGGATTGACCAGCCCAAGGGGATATGTTCTGAAAAGAACGCTGCTTTCAATGCCATGGCTGCTGTCTCCCGTGGCTTAGATTCTCCACCACGAGGTACGGCGTTTTATTCGGTACACACTGACTTGCAGAACGGCTTTCCCTGTGGCCAGGAGGGACTATGAGTTGCTATCTGTGCCCAAGCGTGCTGGACCTGCCGTCGCCACCCGAATCTTTGGCGCCGTTCAAACGTGGTCCTCGATTGGCGAGCTATATCGAAGGCGGCAAAGAGGTAGAACGGCGGTTGACGTGGCACACTGTGAGATGTAGTTGAATCAAGACCTCGGAAGCAGCAGTGCTTGTTGTGTGGGGGGAAGTTGGGCAGCGCGGGCGGAGACAAGCATTATTGACCAAGGATGGAGTACGAGTATGGAGACTGGTCAGTAGCGGGCACTCGGCATAGAAGACCACATTATACAGAGTACGGACCATGTACGGAATACAGTGCGCGCAATCGTCTTTCGAGGTTGTATGAGGTTCGATCCTTCTAGTGGTGTTGTCATAAATAAACCCCAGCATATCTTGACTCCTTTGGCGAGGTCTTTTGTTAGATCCTCAGCCAATGGCAGGCGCCTGAAGCCCCAGCAAATTCCCTGCCACCTGAAAAAAACCCCAGACTGCGCCTCGACGACCAACGACATCATACCAGTTGAAGCCACCGCCCACCACCACGGCCAGCAAACCGCCCACAAGCGTGACACGACACCTGATCTCCCGACAAATCTCTTCCTCTTTACCGCGTGTCTCGTACTCTCATGGAGCCATGCCGTTGTATCGCTTTCTAGTCCCCTGAACGATCGCCAATTCCTGTGACTTGGTGTACTCTGCGTCCACCTAAGCGCCGTGGTACCTTGCCGCGCCTTCCACCGCCCGACCACCGCACCAAATGATACCTACGAGTTAAGCGCTTGACTAGATAGATCTCAAGGTCGCATCATGCAACCTCCCGACCACCATGCCTTTCAAAGTTCGAGATAGCAGTGTCGAGCGACGGCGGGAAAAAAAGGAGACGGCCAGGCTAGAAAAGCCAGAAAGAGACCGGAAAGACAGAGATCGGGACCGAGACAAGGACAGACAAGACAGACAAGACAGACACCGATCCCATCGCAAACTCTCGACCAAGGACAAGACAAACTCTAGAACATCGCTGTCTCCCGCGGACAACAAGAGACGATCTTCCATGCCTGGGAAAATTGAGGATGGTCCCCTCACCAAATCCGACTCCAAGTCTAGTCTACCATATCCATCCTTCTCCAAGGAGCACAGCCGTGAAGCGGTGAGTGTTACCTCCCGGCCGGTCTTGAACGTGTATACACCACCTGCAACAGATGTGAACGCATCAAAGGATAGGCTGTCGACCTCAAAATCGACCTCCGCAGCGTCCAACCGGGCTCCTCCCAGCCCCCCTCTGACCGATCAGAACTCCGGGTCTGGGAAATGGAGGTCCAACGCCGGCAAGCCCGTGTCCGTTGAAACAATACCGGAAGAGAAGGTCTCAAGTAACGGTAGAGACCCAAAGAGCAAGGCCAGCTTGCGGCCACACTCTTCGAAGTCCAATGGTCATCTGCGCAGTACATCGGAACTGGGAGCAGACGGCTTATCAGCAAGGAAACATCGAGATACAGCAGGCTCGCCGCTTAAAGTGGTGACAGCAAATCATGCTGCTATTCCCATACGGTCAGTCAGTCAACCGATCAGGATCGAGTCGCCAGCCACGACAACAAGCGCTTCCGAGTCCGTCACGAATATAAGTTCGGAAGCAACCTCTATAGCTCCAGAGCAACCGAGCATCCAGCGACCAGGATCGAAAGTCCCTCCCGCGGCAGTATTTCCTGATGTACAACCTCACGGCGGCCCAGATGTTCGGCGCCGCTCTCGCGGTGTCACACCACTGGAAGTGTTTGACGATGGAGAATCATCAATATTATCTGCAACCCCAGGCGGTGTCTCGGCCACTCCAGGACCTCCGCCTCCCCCGCCAGCTCCCGCCCTTGTCGCGGTCCCCAAGGTCGACTATTTGCTGCAGCATGGCGGGTTGAGCCAGACCATCCCGAAAAACCTGTTGTTGGCGGGCAAGCCAATGGCGATCCAACAGGCCCAATCTGCAAGCCAACCACCCGTTGTAGTTGCACACCTCTTTGAGCCTTATACTGCGCTCCTAGACGACTATGAGAAAGTGATGTCCAAGAACGGCTCCATTGCTGTCGCAACAGGCTATCGATCTGTGGCACGGCGACTGCTCGAGCGGCTCGAGGCGGTCTTTGCGCGGGACATATCCTCCGAAGCCTGCCAATGTCCGATGTGTGAATACGACGGCACGCATGATGTGCGGAGTGTGAGCTGGGGCGAAGTTCTGGAGCTGGTGTCTGGACGCAAAAGCCTTCCCCCATGGCCTCCATTTGCATTCACACAGTCTCCCGTTGGACTGGGCATATCTCTCGAGCTGCATGTGCCGATGCAAAAGCTCGACATCGACGTGCCAGAGGAATATCGAGAGCACTATATTCGGCAGTCGCGCAAGACAAAACAAAGCGTCGACAAATGGCTGAACCGGCAAAGTGACTGTCCTAGCTCTCCACCTGAAGAGGTCGACGACGAGACACTTGCTTTCGCCATCCTCACGCATCTACCGGCTGAGCACAGGCCTGTGTTCAAAGACCTGTTGGGTATTGTAGACCGGCCGGTCGAACCTCCTCGAAGAGCTCCAACTCCAGAAGTACAAACTCAGAATGACACCGCGCCTCGCCTACCACGGCCTACGCCAACACCCACTCCTGCTCCGCGGACCCGGCCCGAGCATATTGCTACGGCTTCCCAAGCCATTCAACGACTGTATCGACTGCCTACGACGCCGCGAGATTCCGAGACTGCTCTGTTCCTCCTCAACAACCCGACGTTGCACAATGCACTGGCAACTCTGGCCGCGATATCCAACGATGAATGGGACATACTGACCTCAGGTCGCTTTGATGGATTTTTGCGTAGTGGAGCCGAGGAAGTACCTTTGTCGATGCCTGAGATGGGTACTCCTTCTAGAGGTCCTACCCCGTATCGACCGCCAACGAGAGGCGTGACGCCAGGCTACGTTGGTGGATCTGCGTCTATCTCAAACGGCAACGGATACGGATCGCAGCAAGGAAGTTACAGCTACGCGTCTTATCCAAGTACAACAGCACAGTACGGGGCCCCGATTGCGTTTGACGAAGAAACCGAACTTGCAACTTTGGCCGAGGTCGAGCGCGAAATTTATGCCGGCATGGAGGCGCTCGAGGATGCGTTTGAGGCGTTGCACGTCAAAGCAGAAACGGTCCGTCGGGATTTACGCGAACGAGCTGCCGGTCTGGCTGCCACTGCACAACGTCGGAGAGGCAATTTGGGTGGAGGCATCGAGGTACGCATGGACACCCCGGCGAGTGGCATTCATCCGACGTTTGCCGACGGTGGCGTCTATGGCAATGGCAATGGCCACGTTCCTGGAAGCGGGAAACCTTGGGATGCAGAAACAGATGATGGATTGGGCGAGTGGGATGGATACAGTGAAATCGAACCTGACGATTCGGCGAGTAACATCTCGAGTGCGAGGAGACGGCGGCCGAAACGGAGGAATGAGCGACGGACTCCGGCACTGATCGAGGAGGAAGATGAAGATGAAGATGTCGTTAGTGAAGCGACGGGGAGCCCAAGGAAGCGATGAAGGGGAGATTGGAGAAGCCAACGTGGTGGCTGTCATGCCCGCGGTAGTAGTGGTGTTTGAGTGCATGTCGATAGACCGGCCATGGAATGAGTACTAGTAGGATCTAGTATCTCAGGCCCTTGGCATGGTGGAGAAGCGATTGCGATGGCGGCACGAGGAAAGGAATGAAGTCACGATACTTAGCAAACAGAACAGAACTTGGATCCATCAAGCCAGGTCCCAGAAGAGGATCAGGATCAGGATCAGCAGCAGGATCAGAGCCAGACGGGAAGCGCGTATGGTCTCTGCAGTTCTTCTACACATACAGCACCAGGCTGACTTCCGTGACTTGACCCTGTCTTATCTAACCGACGACCACTCTAAAGTTATCTACACACGATCGCTGGTAGCTCGTCTAGAGATTATATTGTTTATTAGTCCAGTTAGAGGTAGCCTATGAATACAAGTACAGCCAGCGAAGCTCTCTATCACGCTCTTCCTCCATGGCCTGGACGCTTGCTAATATTAAATTGCTCACCGTTCCTCTCGTTTGGAAGGGTTACCGTAGTTGGAGCACAATCAGCCCTGACGCCCCGCCTCCGTCCACTCACGCGACACCGATGCCAACACCAACGGGTGACAGTGGGAAGTGTCGCCGTTGCTACCATTCATTATACATGAGGCCCCAGATTGGTTTAGGCTGCTTGGTTCACGTTACGGAGTGTCCGTATCTTGCCAGGTCTCGCTTCACAGTTCTGATTTGAGCGTAAGCGTCGGAAGATGGAGCGAGAGCCTATGTTCGCGTCCAACCCCTGAGCATTGATTCGAAGACAAGAGCTTCGATACGAGTTCGAGAAACTTTGTATCGCCACCCCCAAGGTATCATCCATGCCTAGTGGTGGGCAGCCTTAGGCGATCAACCCCTGCCACCGAACCACCACCGGCTCCGTCAACGGGGCTTGTCCTCCTTCTATTGGCTCTCCAACAATCGTGCACCTGTAGGTTCGTATCCCGCGCCTCATACAGGTCAGAAGGCTCACGCCACAATCCACTAATGAACCCGCCAATACGACATCCTTATCTTTGACAATTCCTGTGCAGCGACACCAATCCCGGAAACAGTTCCACAGGCCAATCGCAGTGTACACTGACTCTGTAAGATGGTAAGGTAGGCAGCGCAGCTCTCAGGGCTCGAGGGATCCGTGCGGCGAATCGCTTGGAGTTGGAAATGGACGGGCATTTCACTCGGTGAGGGGTGACTGCGATGGGCTGTAGACTGCGCGTGCCAGCGTCGGTGATCATGACGAACAGACGAATTTGGATCTGCGCTGAACAGCCTCATTATGGTAGACATCGGTATCGCGGTGCTGATAAGATCTGGTGAAGCTCTGATGACGAGGGGAGCGCCACATCGGTCAGGCGCAGGCAGTTGGACTGCTTCTGTGGTTTGGCCACCCTACACTGGCATCTCGGCAAGGCCTAGTCGGGTTTCGCCCAGATGAGCCTGCGCCGGCACGATGTCACCTCAACTGTAGATCGCGCATCTTCACGGTGCTTGTGGTGCTTGCAATGCATGCGAACCTTGGGGCTTTAAAGCCCGGGGTGACCGCGGCCGTCACTCCTCCTTCTACCCTTCCCACCCTCACATTCCTCTCTCCCGTCTGTGGTAAAGATGAGTCTCAAGAACGAACCCAACACGCTGGGCGAGAAGCATCCCCACGATGTTCCCGCCTATGACAACGACAAGCTCGGGGAGCATTCCTCCGGCCAGCAATTCGGCCACGATCCAGAGGATGGTGCTGTCGTGGCAGGTACACAGAACGTGCTCCATCAGGATCTAAAGGGCAGACACATGCAAATGATTGCCATGTAAGTTGAATACCTGATCCCGAGTCCGCAAGTGTACACACATACTGATCGACGCCCTCGCTCTCAGTGGTGGTGCAATCGGTGCTGGTCTGTTCGTTGGTTCTGGCGGTGCTTTCCAGACGGGTGGCCCGGCTTCTGTGCTTCTTGGGTTCTTGATTATCGGTTCGTCACACTCTGCAGGAACTGCGATGCGATAGCTAACCCGTGTTTAGGTATCATGGTGTATGTTTCTTGCCTCTCGGAAGACCTGAGACGTTGGCCTCAGCTGACATGATCATTCAGTTACCTCATGATGCAGGCCCTCGCCGAATTGTCCGTCATGTATCCGGTCAATGGTGCCTTCACCATGTACATCTGCCGTTTCGTCGATCCCTCGCTGGGGTTTGCTTGCGCCTGGGAGTACGCCATCAGTTGGCTGACCGTCCTTCCCTTTGAAATCTCGGCTGCCTGCAACATCATCCACTACTGGCCCGGATCGGAGGGTATCAACAACAGTGCTTGGATCGTCCCGCTGCTGGTCGCTTTGGTTGCCATTCAGTTCTTCGGTGTGAGGGGATATGGCGAGGCAAGTTCACCGGACGTCTTCAGGAGAAGGGAATGATCTAATAATTGAACAACAGGTCGAGTTCGTCCTCAGTATAATCAAGATTCTCGCCTGCACGGGTTTCATCATCCTTGGAATAGTAATCAACTGTGGTGGGGTTTCAACCGACCCCAGAGGCTACATTGGTGCGGCATACTGGTAAGGAGTTTACAACTGCTACCTATCGAGTGGCTCTCAGTGAGGCTGATGGTTCGAAACAGGCATTCACCTTATACCGCATTCCTCAATGGCTTCCACGGCTTCTGCAGCGTCTTCGTCACCGCGGCGTTCGCCTACACTGGCACTGAGCTAACCGGACTGGCTGCTGCGGAAACGGCCAACCCAAGAAAGGAGATTCCGAAGGCCTCGAGACAGGTCATCTTCCGTATCGGTTTCTTCTATGTGGTCAACCTTTTCATCGTTGGTTTGATCGTACCGGAGAACAGTCCCTTGTATACTGGCGAAGGTTCCTCATCGCGTCACTCACCTTTTGTCATTGCAATTCAGCTTGCTGGCATAAAGGCCCTCCCATCGATTTTCAATGCTGTCATCTTGATCGCTGTCATGAGTGTCGCAAACTCGTGCACTTTTGGTTCGACTCGAACCATTCAGGCTCTCGCTGCAAATGGTGCGTAGTCCATACCATGACTTTGATTCTTTCCGACGCTAACCTCATACACAGGCATGGCCCCCAAATTCCTGGCCTTCATTGACAAGAAGGGCCGTCCTATATACGTGGTCATTCTCCAGCTTCTCTTCGGGTGCCTGGCATTCATCAATTTGGCTAAAAATGGCGGCACCATCTTCAACTGGCTCTTGTCATTGTCGGGTCTTTCCATCCTCTTCATTTACGGCTCTATCGCTCTAGCTCATATTCGCTTCCGCAAGGCCTGGTACGTAACAGATTGCAACCCCAGTTCTACCCCGCTCCTCGTCCTCGGTGACTAACCACCTACAGGCTTGCCAACGGTCATTCCTTGGATGAGCTTCCCTTCCGGGCCGCTTTCGGCGTCTGGGGCTCGTGGGTGTGCTTGTTCATCAACGTCATTAGCCTTATCGCCCAGTTCTACGTCGCACTGTATCCAGTCGGCGGCCCCTACCTGGATGCCGACACCTTTTTCCAACTCTACCTCGCCGGTCCTCTGCTCATCTTCCTATACGTGTGTTGGAAGGTCTACAGCTGGAAGTACCGGCCATCCGACCGCCCATGGTTCATCAGAACGAGGGACATTGATATCTACACGGGCATGAGAGAGGAACAACGGCCCATCAGTGGCCCAGGTATCCCAGAGGAGGTGAGGCGCGCCAGCATCGTTGAGTTGTACGGTGAAAAGAAGAAGAAGGGTATCAAGCATTATGTTCTGTATCCCATCAAAAACCTCTTTTAAACCGTCAAGAGTTGGGGGCGATCATCCTGTGTGTCTACGAGACAGCGATCTGTGGTCGCTGTGAACGGATACAAGCGATGGAAGATGGAGGATGGATGGAACTTGGAGGTTGTGTGGACATGCAGTTGTGATGGAGTAGTTAGAGGCACCACGGGACTAGAACTGAACAATGGAGACTGTGGACTACTTCTCTAGCATTGCTGTTGATGTACGGATACTCTGTATCTATTATAACTTATACCAGTGAGTTGCAATTACTACCTAAGCCCTAAGCCTTAGGGCCTTGTGAGCACGATGTCCCAAGAGTCTTTACCTACGAAGTAGGTCTAGTAGTACGAGTAGGTAAGACTGGGTCGGCCAGCACTTGCGGAGTACGGATACTGTGTACACTATCTACGGAGTACGAGTACTCTGAAGTCTAGGTACGGTACCACCTAGATGCCTACTACTAGGTAAGGAATAGGTGACTACCTAAGGTATGGAGAACTACGGTAGGTGAGGCAGGTAGGTACCTTAGGTCAGGTATACAAGGGAAGGCTCAGGCCAAGGCGTACGGCATAAGGCCAAAGCTTATAAGGTCTAAGGCCAAAGCTCCTAAGGCCCTTAGGCTTAGGGCATACCTTAGGTACGTAGTAGGTGGGTAGAGCTCCTAAGGTTTAGGCTTAGGTTTAGGCTTAGGGCCTTAGGGCCCCCCTTCCCCGCACCGCCAAGATCTACATGAGTGCAGTGCAACATTGACGTTGGGCTGTGAGCTTGTTCGCGGAACTAACCCGATCGGGCCCTATCTGCGAACCTGGCACTGCCACGATTGATTGCGAGGCAGGGCAGGGGCAGTGCTATGGTGATGGTGGTGATGGTGATGGTGAAGTAGGAAGAGTCGGTGTATATATTTTGGCCTTTGTCCTTTGTCGCCGTGGATTTGTTTTCCTTTTAGATTGTCAAACTACTAGGTATCTAACCTACGACCTACAAACAGAACATAGGATACGACGATACGTATACAAAACAGCACAGCAGAGCAGAGGACAAACACCACACCACACCATACTACGGAGTACACCACAGCACAGCAGAGCAGAGGACAAACACCACACCCTCCCACACCACACATACCACATCAGATCCTTAACATAAGCCAGTCCAGCCACCTCTCCCCCCTCGACCGAACCACAACTCCGAATATCTGAAATCATCCCGACCTTCCTTCACCATGTATCGTCCAGGACACCAATACGGCGCCTTTGGCATGCCGATGGACTCTCCCCCGATGACCCTCCACCGCCGTCAACGGCCATTGCAAGGCCCGATGATGCTGGATCCGAGCAGCAACGAAGCCGCCATGTATGGATACGGGTACGGCAACGACAACGGCTATGGCTATGGCTATGAATGCCCCTGCGGTCGCCGTCGCTGCCGAAGATCATGTGCTAGGGCCGGCCCTGGCCCGCGACCACGCAGGCAAAGGCGCCCCCGTGGTGGGCCGATCAGTCTGGTGGTCGGTGGTGTGGTTGAGTTGGTCAAGGTCTGCGTGGAGAAGAGCAGGGAAAAGGAAATGAACAAGGACGCGGTCCAGCAGAACGAGAACACTAACACCAACGCCACCCAGCCGCGAACGCGATCCACCAGAAACAGAGACGGTGCACCAATTGCATACAATCAACACGGCGAAACTGAGTCGGAGTCTGAGTCTGACTGGGAAGATGATCAGGCCGACGAGCATGAGCACGAGCTTGGCCGCGCCCATGGCTACACTCGTGATGAGAAGAACCGGAACTACGGCCCCCACTTGGATATTGACGACCAGCCTCCTTCGTACCAGGTCGCGATGGGGCTGAGTCAAAGTCAGAGTCAGGGTCAGAGTTCAAGTCCAACTCAGAGCCAGAGTTCAAGTCAGGCTCGAACTCGACGTCAGCCTAGATCATAGAGAGGACATGGAGGAGTTTTGAAAGCTCTAGTAGCTGTCACCCACAGCACAGCACATACCAGACCAGACCAGACCAGACCAGAACACCTCAGCTCAGCTCGGGCAGTAATTCCGGCCGCCAAATGCCGTGTTGGAAACTTGACGGCAGCAGCGTTGCTTCGGTTGGAGTTTGGATGTGGAGGAGAGGAGAAGAGAAGAGGGGAGAAGAGGTTTGGGATATGGGATATGGGATGGGGTAAGGGATGGGAGATGGTATGGGATATGGTATGGGATATAGTATGGTATGGGATATAGCATACAGCAAATCAATCAGCACTCGCGCTCTGGCTTGATCTTTGGATGATCATGAATGACAATCTATCGAGATCTCCCATTCTATTCTGGTCACCTACTGGTTACTGTAGGTAGGATGAATCGGTCACGACGGCGTTCGGACATGGTCCCCAGTCTATATCGTGATGATCACTCTGTACTCTGTATCCGTACGAACAGCTTTTGAAAAGGATTGGTCCTCTTGTACTTGTACTTATACAAATAGCTTTTGAAAAGGTTTAGTCTTCTTGTACTTGTACTTGTACTTGTACAAACAACGATTCGATTCAATTGATAATGCACCTTGTCTTTTCAAGGCCGCCCGGTCTTGCTGCACGCACAAAACCCGCAAAAGCAAAACTTTTCATTTTCCCCTTAGGCTGGGTTCTTGTTCTTCTTCTATTCATGCTAGGGCTTAGGACTTCCCGTCCTGCCGTACCCCTCTAACTTGGACTCTCCTGCCGTATCCCCCTAACTTGGCCGTATCTCTCCAACTTGGACTCGGGACGTCGTCGCTGACCCCCAAGTATTCGTACTGCCGACTTGGTCCAACACACGTGTGGAAGCTGCCTGGCAGAATCAAACCCTGGTTCTAGATTGGTGACAATGGGTCTTCTTGAAAGCACGTCGCAGATGGCCATGGCAGCTCCGTGTTCCATAACTACTACTCCGTATCGTGATCCCGCCGTTTGTGGCCGATACAGAGTGATTCAAGTTGTTGGCAAGAATGAACCTTGGTCCAATAATCCATGTCAGATGAACGTGAGCTGGCTCGGACGATACGGTTGGATCAATACTGTGCGGTGGTCGAACCCTCATTCCGCTCCACCAGGTCGCCGACTCCCAACCTCTGGCCGACCTTGACCTTGATCATCTTCTCCTTCTTGGCCTCTTCACCATCAGCCTGGGCGGCAGCACCGTCGACCTTGTTGCCCAACGACCCAACCGCATCGCCTTCGTCCTGCTCGTCGTCCTTTTCACTTTCCACCTCGTTCTGCTTGATCTGCAAGCTCTTCAGATCCATTTTCATGGCGTACGCATCCTCGCCGTCGGCGTAGTATTTGCTCTCGACCTTTTCGACCTCGAAGCCTAGCGTGTCTCGATATAGATGCAGGGCGGCGACATTGGACATGCGCACATGCAGGCTCACATATTCGGCATTGAACATCTCTGCCATGGCCCGTTGGCTCATGCGCATCAACTTCTCGGCGATCCCCAGCCGTCGATGTGTCCGCATCACCGACAAGCTCGTGATGTGTCCGTGTGCCACCCCGTCCGTGGGTTCTTCTTCCATCTTAGCAAGCACGTAGCCCACCACTTTCGGGTACGCTCCCGGTTTGCCCCCGCGTCCACGCACCACCGCCACAAATGACAGCTGCGGCCATGTCAGCGCGTGGTACAGATAGTATTTGAGGAAGTAGTTCTCCGGCAGGTTCGTCAGATTGCATTGTTGGATCGACGGGAGGAGAGATATGTGCGACGGGTACGACGACACGGGGATGACGTCGACCATGGTGTTAGAAGCCGAATTGCTCGGGAGGGTCGGTTTCGATGCTGATGCTCGGCTACTATAAGAGGAGTGCTGGTCGGGTCCGGAGGACGGAGTGGTTGGGCTATTCACGGTTCTCGAGGTTGGAACTCGTGGAAAAGGCAGACGGCAAACTGCGGTAGTGCGGAGAGTACGGAGGACTATCGAGTACGGCGTAGTATAGGTAATCAATGTGCTGCTGGTAACGCGGAGTATTGGGACAGGAGTCACATTCTACTACAGAGATATCACAGGGTTATTAGGAGATTCTCACCACCACCACCACCACCACCACCACTCAACATGCTCCAAGTACAAGCGATTCACATCGTTATCATACTCCAAAGCCAATATGGGCCTTGGGAAGGAACCCAGTACGGAGTACTACATATATTCATGTTCTAATGCAATACCTACGCGCATATTAGGTACCTTGGTAGGTCCTAGGTAGGCTTCACCCGACCGGGATCTCATAGTGATTGCCGATATTAGCTGATCGATAATATCATTATCCCGATTCTCTACTGCTCTGGAGTAATCAAAAAGTCTCTAAGAAAATACATCCCCTAGCGCCATTTTTCGTGGTTCTTTCAACTGCTTACTATGGGTCTATGCCGATCTGCCGCTGAGCACATCATTTTCGCTATACTTGTGTATCCCGTACGCAGTACTAGTATAGGTCAGGGCCAGCTGGCCGCTTTATCTGGAACCCGATGCTTCCATCCTGTTTGCCCATCGGATCCTCCGTGGAAGACAAGTCCGATTGCTCTTAATCGGACAAGAGGCTGAAGAGGCTGAAACTTGGCCGTCTTCACGCAAATTAGTAGGTTTAGCTGGGCACGTACTATACTGCGTGCTGTCTGATGAAGAAAGGTACACCATGGTTCATTCCATACAGATCCGCACGAACGCTTCCTCTGGATGGTGCCATCGAGCACACCCCCTGACATTTCCTTCCACTTCGCACAGCTCCCACATGCCCTAATAGGATCCATAGTGGTCTACGCGTACTGTGATCCTCCTATGGAAACCGGAATGTTCACGTACTGTGATCGAACAGTATCGTCCGATTTGTTGTTGATAACTAAGTTCCACCGGAAAGGGGCCCACACGATTAGGCCCGTACTACTACTACTCAGAACTCCATACTGTCGCTGCCGAACTCTGCATTTTCTATCAGAAATCTGGAGCACCCACGCCTACAATCGCCCTGACTGGTGCTCCAATAGAGTCACGCCATCTGAAGTCCCGGAAACGCGATATTCATCTTATGAAACTGATGCTGATTTTCAAGAACAGTAGAGCTATGCTGAAAAATATAAAGCTGGACTTGGCTTTCAATATGTCTCTGCCATCTGGCCAACCACTCGAAAGAAAGCCGTTTAGGAATAGTCAACCGACACTAACGACTGATTCAGTATGTCAGCTAAACCGCCCTTGAATCAAGGTGCCGGGTATGGCGTCGTTGTCGGCTTCGGCGTGGCCTTTGCCCTAGGTAAGTCCCTCACATTTGGCCCTACTCATTCGCCGCTGACATGTTGTAGGCATGGTCTGGGTGACAAGATCGATCAAGAAAGCCTTCAATGAAGACAACAAGTCGACCGAGACGTGAGTTTGCATCGGTCAATCCATCCCCACTCCAACAGAGCATCTCTGACTCCCAACCCAGCTTTATGGTCGCCAATCGAAGTGTCGGAACCGGACTTACCGCTTCGGCTGTCATATCATCGTGGCTCTATAGCACAGCGCTTATTGGCACAACCCTACTGACCTATTCGTATGGACTTGCATTGGGTGTTTGGTGGGGAGCCTCAGCAAGCACCATGGTCTGTCTGATGGCATACCTATCTATTGAAGTAAAGCGCAAGGCACCAAATGCGCACACCATGCTGGAAATCATCAAAACGCGATATGGGACTGGGGCGCATGCTCTCTGGATCTTTCTCTGCCTGTTGAATAACTCCTTCCAGTTTGCCGGGATGACTCTTGGAGCAGCCAACGCGGTGACCAGCTTGACTGGAATGCACATCCTCGCCAGCACGTATCTACTACCTCTGGGGGTGGCAGTCTACACCTATTTCGGGGGGCTCCGTGCTACGTTCCTGACCGACTATGTCCATACGTTCGTCATCATGATCATCCTTGTGTGGCTGACCATCAAAATGATCACGGTTAAGGAGATTGGATCTATCGGGGCACTTTGGGATGCTGTGGTGCAAGCAGGGAAAGATCGTCCTGTGGAAGGTAACTACCATGGATCCTACTTGACCATGAGAAGCCAACAATGTCTCTTTTTTGGTATCTTGCACGTTACGTGAGTATCTAGCTATGATTTCTATTCCGGATGATCACCCACTGACAACCTCAGTGGTAATTTCGGAGCCGTTATTATGGACACTGGTTTTTGGCAAAAGGTATGCAATATAACACAGCAACAATAGATTAGAACGCGCCGCTGACATTCTTGAAGGGCTTCTCCGCAGATGTCGCTTCTGCAGTGCCAGGATATATACTGGGTGGAGTTGCCTCCTTCTCGGTACCATGGACTTTTGGCACGATCGCCGGCTTGTCTGCCATAGCATTGGAAACAACGCATATCTGGCCTACGTATCCTAATGTAAGGTCGATTTCCAGGACAGGGGATTATGTTCATGCTTACACATCATCCAGAGAATGACCGCTGAGGAAGTGTCCAGTGGCGCAGTGTTACCCTACCTTGCTCAGGCTGTGGCAGGCAAAGGAGGAGCAGGGGCATTATTACTCACGGTCTTTATGGTGAGTCGATAACGCAAAGGTCAGAATTTATCAGGCCCTTGAAAACTAATGGTCTTAGTCGAGCACTTCGATTGCTTCAGCCCAACTGATCGCCATGAGTTCCATCATCTCGTTCGACATTTACGGAACGTATGTCAATAAGAAACCCACCAACAAACAACTAATTAGATGGTCCCATATTGGAGTCATCTCCTCGGCCCTTTTTATCTCTACACTCGCCACGGCTTTCCATGAGGGCAACATCAGTTTCTCGTGGTTGCTATACATGTTGGGATTGATCTCGACTCCTGGTATCTTCCCCACTTGCTTCTCCCTTCTTTGGAAGAGGCAGACCAAGGCTGCCGCTATCGCCTCCCCGATCGTTGGAGCAGTCTGTGGATTGTCAGTGTGGTTCGGCACCGCGTATCATTATTACGGAGTGATCAGCATCGATTCGACGGGTGGAACAATGCCATGTCTTTTCGGAATCATCACCTCTGCCTTTGTTCCCCTGCCAGTGAGCATCATAATTTCGTTGGCGAGGCCGCAGGTCTTTGACTTCTCCGTCTTTGGTCGCATTGAACGGGTGAAACCCGAGCATGGCGAGGCATTGCATGATCTCCAAGACGAAGCAAACTACTTCTCACCGGAAAGAGTCAAGTATATGAAGAGAATGAGCCGATGGGCGGCGTTTTGGGCTGCATTCACCCTCACCGGACACGTCTTGCTGTGGCCGCTGCCCATGTACGGTGCGAAGATGTCCTTTTCCAAATCAGTAAGTGAAAGTGAAGCATCCAACACGCTGTTGGGGCGTGCTTCGATCTGATTGACTGGCTGACTGATTGACTGACTGGATTATCTGTAGTTCTTTATCGCCTGGATAGTCATTGCCTTGATCTGGCTTTGGTTTACACTTGTCGTCGCCATCTTCTATCCTCTTTATGATGGAGGTTTGAAGCAAATCTGGATCGTGCTCCAGGGGAAAACGGCCGTCAAGGCTTCGACCGAGATCGACGAAGACTCATTGGGCACCGCACCGCCAGAGGCCGTTGCTGTCGAGCCCAAACACTAAGCTCACCCGCAGCGAGAAACTGTCCTACTATTTACGGCATGGGTCGATGATGGTTCAACAAGACTTCAGAATCAGGTCTGGCTCGCCCTCAATTTGTCCGACGTGATAGACTCTCTCAGTTTTGGGTTTCTCGGGTACTCGACTCCTTGTCTCTGTCACTCCATCAGAACCAACTATCTAGAGATTCACGGATTAGACGTCCTATAAACCAATTGTCCGAAGCACGTTTCACCTCATCATCGTGCTGAGAAACTGGGATGGGAAAGGAAAGAATGCTGAAGACATGGGTGGTAGTATAGCCGTACATAGGCCTTGGTTGAGATCACTTCTTAGTCGTAGTAGACATGTTGGGCGACTCTATCTGGGATCACGAAATGACTCTAACGTTGCTGCGTCTATGCAAGATCGAGCTCTCTCCTAAAAAGCATTGAATGACCTTTGGACCCATTCATGCTATCGACATCTTCATACCTCCATTGGCAGAAATCACACTCCCTGTCGTCCAGCCACTCTCCGGCGCACAAAGCATTCCAACCACTCCTGCTATCTCGTCTGGGAACGCCGGTCGCTTTCCACCCATCCCGTTGAGGACCATGTCGTCATATTCCTTGGGATCTATTCCCGCACGAGCTCGAATCTCATCGTCTCCGCTATAGGTCATCAATGGAGCACTGTCCACATACTTCTGGTTGGTCTTCCAGAACCCTTCTCCGGCCTGACTGTACATATCTCCCCAGACCGGTCCAGGATTGATGGCATTGACCGTACAATTCTCGGCCAGTTCTCGTGCCCAAACTCGAGTCATGGCTTCAAGGGCCGCTTTTGTCCCGGCATATATGGACTGAGATTCACAGCCGATGGATGCGGACACGCTGGATAGATTGACAATCCGACCGGACCGGTCCTTGGGCAGGTAGGGCTGACATGCTTGAACCAACAATAACGGCGCCAGGACGTTGACGTTGTATTGTTTCTGAAATTGCGTCTCTTCTATCGGGCCCAGCTCGGGGTCGTTCAGCAGTTTGTTGCCTGCGATCCCTGCATTGTTGACGATTATGTCTACTTGAAACGCCCCTGTTCGGGGATGCGAGAAGTGGTTCTTGGCTGTTGCTAGGATCAGAGGCGCGCTTCGCGTAGGGTCCGCCAGGTCGGCTTGCACCGAAACGCAGTGAATGTCATGTTCGCTCGACAACTCAGCACACAGTGCGTTGGTCGGTTCCGTCGACGAGTCGGAGGTGTAGACCAGAAGAAGCGAGCATCCTTTGGCGGCCAGGTTGCGCGAGATGGCTGCTCCGATCCCTGGTCAAGTGTTAGAAGGTCGTTGTAGTCTGGTGACAGCCCAGCCTGGAGCCGGGCTAGACGTCAGACGTATGTACGGAGCACTGTACCTCTTGATCCGCCGGTGATGATACCAAGCTTGCCCTCGTGCGGCCGGTAAGCCACGGCTTTGGGCACAGATGTAGAAGAGAACACTCGTTTGGGTCTTCCTGGGAGCGCCATTGTGTGAGCTACAGTATCACAGTAGCAGAACCGGTGAGGGCTGACTGGGGCGTTACCTAGACTTTTATTTATCTTTGATCTGGTCGGTGGAGCGAACGCGGGGAACAAATGCTCAAGTGAGACAGAACGCGTCGAAATATAATTAGAGTTCGGACGTACATGGCCCGCAGTTTGAGGTGACAGTATGTTCAGATTCCTCCGCATCTTTCAGGTACAGAACACCCTGTTCCTCACCAGTCACTGTTTGATTGCACACCGGTCTCCGTCGCCGATATTCTCCCTTTTCTTCTTTCTATCCTTCTCTCCTGTATCAGCGGATGGCCGTTCATGGACTTTCTGAAATCTGCAGTCGCCTCTGCCATTGCCAAATCAAGCTCCTTTCCAGTGACCATCGGGGACAGGATCGATCTCGGAGACTCGATCTGGTCTTTACACAATGCCATCAAGAAGGTATGCCTAGATACCGCTACCTGTCGCAGTGTACGACAGCTTCTGATCAGCTGCACAGGACGACTATAGTCAATGTTGCCTCTTCACCTTCGACATCAGCCTCAACAAGGCCCGGCTACCGTTGGCCAAAAACGCGGCGCGAAAGTTGCGCACCCTGCGACATCCGGGCGTGATTCGGGTCATCGATGTGATTGAGAATGAGACGCACATATACATCATCGTCGAGAAGGTCACACCTCTAAGCTGGCACATCAAACGCAAGAGTCTGAGCGAAGAGACCATAAAATGGGGATTGTACAGCGTTTCTTCCACCTTGAAGTTCATCAACAACGATGCTTCTTCCGTACACGGCGCCGTTCGAGTCTCGTCGGTCTTTACCAGTGAAAGTGGGGAATGGAAGCTTGGGGGCTTTGAACTGTTGAGTTCGATGAACGAAGACGACGCCATCATTTATACGTACGGGAGCTTGTTACCGGATTCTGGCCGATATGCGCCCCCGGAAGTTGCCAACGGCGGCTGGTCCGCCATCAAAAAGAATCCCCTCGGTGCACCCGACGCATACGGGTTGGGGATACTGGTCTTTGAAGCATTTAATGGTACTTTCATGGGCACTGATCAACTAGGACAACCTAGAAGCATACCTGGAAACATGGTCCAGAGCTACCGAAGATTAATCAACGCAAACCCGAAAATCAGATTGAATGCCGGCCAATTTGTCGAGCTCGGAAGGAAGACAGGAGGGTTCTTCGAGACACCTCTAATCCACATCACCGAGGATGCGGATCGTCTGGGGTTGAAGACCGAAGATGAAAGAGACGAGTTCCTAGGGTAGGAAAATCTATGTTTCCTGTAATATGATGCTAACCCGGAGCAGAGAGCTGGATGCCCTGACCGACGACTTCCCGGAAGACTTCTTCAAGATGAAAATCCTACCCGAACTGCTTAAATCCGTCGAGTTTGGTGGTGGAGGACCTAGCGTTTTCGGAGCGATCATGAAGATAGGTTTGAAAATGTCCGACGACGAATTCGAATCTCGACTTGGACCTGTGATTCTGCGGCTTTTTAGTAGCCCTGATCGAGCCATGAGAGTGTGCCTACTGGACAACCTACCGTTGATGGTCGATCGGATCCCCCAAAAAGACGTCAACAACAAGATTTGGCCAGCCATGACTACGGGTTTCATCGATACAGCCCCAATAGTGAGGGAACAGACGGTGAAAGGTGTACTGTCAATAATCTCCAAACTGTCTGATCGAGTGATCAACGGAGAGTTACTGCGATACCTCGCTAAAACCGCCAGTGATGAGCAGCCTGGGATACGAACCAACACGACAATTTGCCTGGGGAAGATTGCCAGGAATCTGGGAGTTGGTTCACGGTCGAAAGTTCTGATTGCAGCATTCTCTAGGTCTCTCAGGGATCCCTTTGTACATGCCCGCAATGCAGCTTTGATGGCCCTCAACGCTACTATTGATGTATTCAGCGACGAAGATTGTGCCACCAAGATCCTTCCGGCGGTTTGTATCAGCCTCATCGACAAGGAGAAGCTGGTTCGCGACCAGGCAAACAAGACTTTGGATAGCTATCTGCAAAGGGTGCGGAAATATGCATCGACCATGTCGGATACTGCGCTTCCACGGGAGACTGCAACCGGCGCTGCTACTGCACCTGCTCCCGCTAGAATGGGAAATCAGAGCGACACAAGCTGGGCTGGTTGGGCAATTTCCTCCTTTACCAACAAAATGGCCGGTGCAAGCGGCGAAATGGCTTCGTCGACAACTGCGAACGGGTCTGCGAATGGGTCTGCGTTGAAACAAACGCAGTCACTCCCCGCCTCTGGGCGCGCAACCCCTACAGTCAATGTCATCCCCGCGAAACCGGTCACTAGCTCTCCAAGGCCCACTGCCTCATACACAGCAAGGAGCTCGACTTCCCAACCGCCTGAACCTGTGGAGACTTTTGAAGATGATGCCATGGATGCCTGGGGGACGATGGATGACGATGGAGACAATTTTTTCGATGCTTCCAGCCAAGCCGCCAAAGCTGCCGGTGCTCCTGCTGTTGCCTTTGATGACGGCGGGGAACCAGATTTTGCAGGCTGGTTGGCTGCACAGTCCAAAGCGAAGGCCCACAAGCAGCTGCCTAAGGGATTGACCAAGTCAAATGCCGCTGGAGAAGGATTGAATATCAGACCATCTGTTCCGGCGAGAAGCATCTCTGCTGGCGCTGGCGTTGGTAATGGCGCGTCCAATGTGAAGAGACCTACCGTTGGAAGTGCCAGGACCGTAACTTCAATGACTGTGAAGAAGGACGTCAAGAAGGAGGTGCCGAAGCCTATCGAGGCAGACATGAACGATGATGACTGGGGAGATGCTTGGGATTGAAGCTTCAGCCTGTTGAAACCTTTTTGCATGCCATCGAAATCTTGGAATTGTGAAGCGATATCAGACAGTTTACTGAAGCGAGGAGTCTGGTGTCATAATGTTTTGCAGTGGAGCCCCTTTTGGTCAACAATACTAATCTGGCGTTCATCTACTCGTGCTTGCCGGATATTGTCAATTATATCTGTGTGTCTCATCTGCATCTCTCCAACAATCGTCAAGATACGTTTGCAAGCTTGATGACGAGCCACTGGTGAAAAGGGGGGTATTTTCTTGCACTGCAACAAACGGAGCTTTGGCGGATGTCACGGCCCTCGGGGCAGAAATAAAGACGATGAACTAGCTGCCTACGGAGGATCTTGTCTGAGATGGCCTCGCTCTTGGGGGCATCAGCCATTACCGTCACCATACTAGGTGCTCCGTACGCCAAATCAAGCGGCAATGCCTGACTTTGTGTGCCAGAATATCCCACGCGAGAAGAGAGTCCTGATCTGCCCTACTAGTGCCGGCATCATTCAGCCAGAAGAGGATAGCGCAACGAGTCACATGGACAGTGAGGCCCTGAGGGCTCAAGCACGCGAGGGAGATGAAAAAGGACTCCAGTTTGATACGGACCACTTGAAAGTCGGCCCAGTTTCCGACCCGAAATCTTGTCCTCTCAGTGAAATTTTGGAGACCGCTCGTCAGAAACTGCAACGTGATAAGGTGCTACAGGAGGCCGCCGTTGCCATGGCCAGACAAGAACTCGAATCAAAGATGTCAGCTTTGGAACGGCAAGATATTACCTACTACCCAGGCTCAGGTTCAGGCTCTGGCTCTGGCCCAGGGCCAATTAAGACACGGCAAAGAAGGCATCGGCGACGATCGAACAAGCACGAACTCGTTCATTCACTCACTGGCAATCCAGTGCATGGAATGTACGGCAATGAACTGCACCAAACGCCCTTTAATCGAGGCTTTTATAAACAGAATTGGCGAATGGGTATGAGGGGTAACCTTCACCCACTGCCGAAGCAGGAACATGTCGGTCCCGCTGGCTGGATACAAGGTCAATGGGGAACCTCTGCGAGTCTGGCACTGGGAGGACATACCCAGGTCCTGAGCGACCGTTTGGGAGTGACGATTCCAGATGGCCAGAGTGTGGTAGGGGAGAACTGGGCACTCCGCGAAATGATCCGAGAGTATGTAGGGCTGAATGGCGACGAGATTAGGTTTCTGCTGGACATGGAGCTGATGACGGCGAAGAGACGCTGGCTTGATTTCACTTGACAATTTCGAACACGAACAGTCTGACAACTGTCGAGTCGAGCTGAAGAAGCACTGAACGTGGCGAGGCAGTTCGACCTCATGGAAGACAGAAAGAGACATGCTGGGGGTTCTGGAAAAGACTCATATTCTGTGTCTGTCCTACATGCAGGCATGGCATCTGCGTAATTTTCTTTCTCTTTGATCCCAGCGCCAGTTCTAACCGTCGTCAAGATTTTCGTTGCAGTGGCTTCGTGTAGTATTGTATCCAGACGTTGCCGACAAAAAGAACTGGAGGATGTGTATTCATTCATTAGATCTTGCCGTCATTGCAGTCCATCGTATCCTCATCTCATCTTCCCCGGTAGTTTATTCCCTCTTTTGCAGCTCATTGTACGGATATCCTCCCATCCTTGACCATCTCTCGCATCACCTCAATGGTCTTCTCGACGGCCATCTTGGCGATATTCCACTCCTTCTCCTTCTTGGCTGCCAGTGCCGCCTCGTCGCCCTCGCACTCCGGATGCAACCATTCAAACGTGTATGTCATGTACAGATCGGTGTCGCCCCGACCGCCCTGGCTGATGACGTTCTGCACCTTGCTCCCGTCGTCCTGGTGGAACTCGACCTTCATGGGCTCGTAGGCAATACATTTCTCTCGGACGCGGCGGTTGCCATCGCGGAAGACAACTTCGCGCACCGTGACGGGGTGGCCGTGCTCGGTTTCCGAGGTCGAGATCACGTCCGTCGAAACGATTGCGCCACCGACGAAGTCTTGCCCCGCGCGGATCTTGCGTTGGAGTCCTTGCCAGATCTGCTCGTATGTCAGGAGGGGGTGGGCGTTGGGTGGGTTGATGGGCGCCGTGTAGGCGATGTTGTTGGCGGGTGTCGGAGCCATTGACGCAGAAATACGGTACGTAGGACGAGGGGTACACTGGTGATCACTGGGAGACAGAGAAAGAGAGATGTTAATTGAAGAGTCTGTGAAAATAAGGTCTGTTTACACGGAAGAGAAGACGCGTTGCACGAGGTATCCTGGGACGAGCAATACTGGTCCTGTCGCTGTCGTTTGTTTTCAAGGCATCGGAGTGGTGGTGAGATGTGAGATGTCAGATTCAAGGACTCCGCTCGTTGTCCCACCACACACACCTCGCTTTATTTTGTCTCTTGACCAACTCTCTTGCATCGACAGAACAATGTTGGGGATGGAGTGCTCGACTACACATACGGATACACATTCTCAACGCTACAGATACACATCTTCAACCACCCCGATTGACGGAGGGGACCGTGTTAGAGAGATGTCCCATCCCCTGTCTCGTATGTCAGCAACGAGTCTGACTCACCCCACTGGCGTCGAGAAAATACGCCCTGACCAATCATCGACGATATGACATAGGCTGAACCCGCCTGGGAATGGGAACTCATTCGTGTTCGACTCAAGGGTTATATCCACGAGCTGTGACTCTGAGGCCTGAGGCCTGGCAAGAGAGTACTTACTAGATTGCAAGATTGTTGCAGCCCTACGACTCCAAGACGCAAGACCCCATCACAACACTACCTGGATCTGTCGCAGAGAGCAGAGCAGATTGCGACCTCTCCCCACACCTCACAACTTGCTACAATGAGCGCAATGACACAGACCTTATTGATGGAAGACTCCCCCCAGTCCTCCGTGCCAGAGAAGCCAAAACGAACTCGCAAGACTCATAACAAGGTCAGGTCAGGATGCTTGACTTGCAAGTAGGTTCCCATCTCCGTACCGCGCCGTATGCTCGCGGGCTCTTCGACCGATGTCTGACGAGGCGCAAATAGAATCCGAAGAAAGAAATGCGATGAAGAAAAGCCCTTCTGCCGTCGATGTACCAGCACCGGCCGTAAATGCGATGGCTACCCTACGCCGTCCCCGACGAATTCTTCAGAAAAGTCGCCACCTACCGCAGCCGAACCCGCCTCCAAACGTCTCAAGACCACTCCCGATGGGCAATTTATCGTTCGTGCAGTCACCGAGCCAAGTCTGAGTGCAGATGTGGACCAGGAACTTGCCGCTCTCATCAGACCGCCCTCGAATGTCATGTTCCAAACAGACAACGACTTCTTTTGCTTCGACTTCTTCCGAACCCGCACAGGCCCTGAGTTTGCAGCTTACTTTGACAGCTCCATCTGGCGTTCCTGTCTCGTTCGGGCCTGTTTTCGGCATCCTACCGTCATGGCCGCCGCGGCAGCCGTTGGTGCTGTTCACCGAAGATTCGAGCTGGGCATCTCTCGAGAAGCGTTCGAGTACTGTGACCTCTCGAATGAAATGTATCAGGGCGCACTGAAACGACTGTCGGACGATTTGGCCGCTGGAAACCCCAATGCCGCCGAAATCAACATGCTTACCATGAAGCTGTTCAGCGTGTTCGAGACGTTCCAAGGGAACGAGGACCTCGCACAAATGCACCTGGTGGCAGGGCTCAAGGCACTGCTGAAGCGAAACATGCGTACTACCTACAGGGACACGCAGTACCGGTCGGTGGACATATCCTACGACAGCCTCCGGCGACTGTTCCTGAAGCTGGAACTCGAATCGGTGCGGTCCTTTCATGGTCCGGCCAAGATCCTCAGCGAGCCTGAAGAAGCCGTGCCTCTTGCAGTTTCGGACCCGTCGCTCCCAGATGGTATCTTTTTCCTGCCCGACCCCGATCCATATCCGATTCCGCACGCGTTTACATCCCTCACACAAGCACGCGATGTGCTCTTCACCGAAGCCACGTGGATCTGGCACACCTGGGGACTCCTGGAACAGGGCATTTTGTCCGGGAGTGGCTTCAGTCGCCACCAGGTCCACATCTCGCGGCTGTTGCAGTGGTCAATGGCGTATGCCGAATACTGCAAGCACGAGACGGCGCAACGCCAACCGCACGACCAACCAGCGGCGCAGCTGCTGCGAGTGTACCGCGAGACGGCGTACCTGATCCTTCTGACGCAGATGGCCTTCCACTCGCCCGAGACGGGCGCGGTGATCATTCCTCTTTGCGACCCTCCCGAGCTATGCAGCTGCCATCGATCGTGCCGGACGTACGCGGAGCGCAAGGAAGCACTCAACGCGCATTTCGCCCGGCTCCTGGTGCTGAGCGAGAGCGTGCTCAACCGCGGCTCCTTGTTCGCCTACAACGAGCACTCGCTCAGCATGGACAGCGGCATCGGCCCGCCCCTGTACCTGGGCGCGCCGCAGCAGCCGCATTGTCGGTCCACGAAAGTGCGGCACCAAGTGACGTCGCTGTTGGACGCGAGCGAGATCCAGACCCGTGTCTGGGACACGCTGGGCGTGTACTCGATCGCCGAGAAGATGTCGGCTATCGAAGAGCACGCTGTCGTGCAGTGCGGCGCCGTGTCGGCCGACCTGGAGCCCAAGTGGGTGGACGTGACGTTTTTCTTGGACGAGAGACGTCTGCTGCTGCGCTATTGCACCCCGGATCGAGAGGGCCGCGGTGGAAAGATCAGAGGGACGGGGCTCGTTCCTTCCGACTACGGCAGCAGCGGGACGGGGGGGTTGATTTGGACGCAGGAATGGGCGTCTTTTTGATGGCGACAGCAACAGCACACCGATACCCATCCATGTCGTTTGTTCTGTTCGGGTGATTTGACTGTGGTTCTGGTTCTGGTTCGATTTCTGTTCTGCCGATGGTGACGGTGACGGTGTTTCTTTCCCATTCCTATATCTAGGGCTACCTAGGTATGTAAGTGTCTCAAGCAAGCACTGGGCAGTTGTATCACTCCTTGTTCAATCGTGCAGAGCGACGACGAGGGGTGTATTATTATTATTAATTCCTTTTAACGTCCAGTAATCACCCTTCGCGGGCCTATGAAGACGGTTCTCTCTTCCCTATCCCTCCTTGCTTACTCCCGCTCTTGTTCGCTCTCTCCCTCCCTCTCCATCTCTTCCTCTTCGTCCCTTGTTGCTATCTCTCCTTCGTCGCCCTCCTCCCCCACCTCTCTGTAGTTCCTGTACTGTGCCAGCAGGTCTGTGGCCAGGACTAGGCGGGCCGCCTCAAGGCACCCTTGTCTTGTGCTGAGTATCGCGGCTAGGGAGTCCCCAGTGTTGTTCCTAATGACTCTTGCTCGTAGCTCGTTCCACCGCCGGCATTTCAGTATAACGTGTTCCACCGTCATCTCCTCTCCGCTCTCACACTGTAAACAGAGAGGGCTGTCGACCCCGGGCACTCTTCTCTTGTAGAGGAAAGCATTGAAGCCGATTTGTCCTGTCCTGAGTTGGACGATCAGCGCTGACAGGTGTTTCCGTAGTCCACGATGGACTTTGCATGTTTTCTTGTTCAGCTTTGGTTGGAGTGATCGACTGTGGGCACCTTTTGCTCCTTTCTCCCATCTTTCATCCCATTTTCGATACATTTCCTTCATCAGACTTTTCTTGGCCGACCGGGAGTCTTTCTGGTCACCCTCTAGACTCAGCACCACGTTAATTTCCCTGGCCTTACTCTCTACCCACTTCTTCAGGGTTTGAAAGGGACTATTTGGCTGTGGAGTCCTTCCTCTTCTTCTACCGGCTCGAAGAATTACTGCGGTCCTTCCTTCGATGCTTTGTAGCGTCTTTGATTTTATCGCCCTGGCTGTCGCTAGGTAGGTGAGTGTATCGGTGTGTAGGTCTAACGGTTCGACGCCGAGCTCTGCCTCTAGAGCCTCTGTTGCTGTGGCCCTATATGCCCCGGCGACCACTCTCAAGAATTTTCCTTGAAGGTCCTGGAGCTTTCGGGCGACGCCCTTCCTTCCCTTGAAGAGGTGACTTGGCTCGTTCCATAGGAGAGCCCCATATGTCAATGCTGGTCGAATCGCCCGGAGGTATACTTGTTTCGACGAGGGGTGTAAGTCTTGCAAGTCTTGCAAGTCTACAATTGAATGGCTATATAAGTCTTGTAAGTCTACAATCAGATGGGCCGTGGAAGTACGAGACGACAAGGGAAGTGTCCGATTTTTCATCAATATTATGTATGTATGTATATATAATGTTGGAATTCCATGTCAGATTGTTCACGGATCTGGATATCCCATGTCTGGGTCAGGGTCAATGCCGTGTGCCATCTGAGACGATATAAGTCTGGCGATAGCGGTATATTAGCCAACCCGGTAGTCTAGTCTGGCCCTCGGCCGAATGTGTTCGCCGAAACAAAATGATATCGTCGTCTCGTCTTAGCGATTCTATAGACAGCACATCTGTCCAAGTATGTATAAGGTATTTATAAATCCTCATCCAGAGCTACAGCAAATGATACCGCTGCAGCGTCGAGTTCAGCCTCCGAATTCGGAATTCTGGAAAAACGCCCAAACACATGCCATGCCACCCACATGCACCAGAACCGAATTCTGGTAAAACGCCCAAACACATCACACGCCACCCTTAATTAACTGCTCCGATGGGTGCGTCGAAATCCAGGCAATCTAGCCGGAGACAATGTGGTCTTGGTCTTTTCCTCACGATCCCGACCTAGCCCGTCATGCTCAGGCTCAAGCTCGGCCTTTTCCTTGTTCCTCCTCATGGCCTTCCGGCGGCCGGTGCAACAGCAGACACCGCAACAGGTGCCGATCTGCATTAGGAAGCCAATAAGATCCATGCCGGTGGCGATCCACATGAAGGCCAACATGGGTTTGCCCAGACGGGCTTGGATGTTGAGGTCTGCGGCGCCGGAGAACTTGTCGTGGAAGATGATGAACATGATGGTGGCGATCAGGGCGCCCGCGGCGGTGAACAGCAGGGCGACAAAGGCGAGGACGGCGATGGGCAATTGGCGGAGGAAAACGCGTCTGGTGCGATGCTCCCATCGCGGGTGTTTGGAAAAGCCGAGCGGGGCGAGAAAGACACAGAGAAAGGTCAGGACGGTGCCGACCAGGAAGCACGCGAACATCCACGTGCTGGCCAGGCGGACCAGGTGCAGCACGTCGATGATTTCGCTGGGCAGCGTGATGGACGCGCCCGCCAGCAGTTCGTGCAGGATGATCTCGACCGGATTGAACCAGTACAGCGTCTCGGTGGGCGAGCAGTACGTGATGCCTTGGCCGTTGTAGCCCTCGCAGAAGTTCCACAGCCCGACCTGGTAGAAGTCGTGCAGCCCGATGCTCTGGGCGATCGAGTTGATGAAGATGGCGTTGGGCACTGACGCTGGGATGATGTTGGCCATCTCGATCTTGAGGAAGTACGTGTCGCGGATCACGGCGTCGTTGTTGATGTTCCCAATCTCCACTAGGATCAAGAACACCAGCCCGATCAGGTAGATGCAGACGGTGAAGATGCGGAGGCCGGTCGGACGAGAGTCAGGCGTCGACGGGGTGACCGTCGTCGTCGTGCGAGACCGTGAGAAGAGGCCCATGTTGACGAACCGCTCGCTGGCTGGCCGAATGATTCAACGAGAGGATGAGCCCGACATCGACATCCCACAATGCTGTAGGTACTAGTTTCTTACTCTCCGCTCCTCTGTGTAGGTAATCGGTAAGGAGCAGAGGGAAACTAGATGCTCAGGGGATGGATTTGATGTTGGATGGGCCAGGTACTGACTGTACTGCAGTTGTAGCAATGATTTTTTCAGGTGTCCAAGTCATTGATTGCCAGCTGTTGTACGGACAGTATCCGTACAGTGCCAGTGTGGCTGAGGCTTGGGCTGACCGATTACATCAACGACTCGCCGTGCACGGCTTAGGCTCAGGCTCAGGCTTAGGCGGCTTCCCGAGACTCAACTAGAACCCTGGGCGAGGTGCTAAGTGGCGCACTGGCCCAGAAATGCCTAAATGATGCCCCCTGTAAGCACCTTAGGTTCCGCTAGCGACCAGGATCGGCCGCCTATTTTACATGTGTACGATACATACTACGCCAGCCGAGCGGCTTGTGGGTTGCTCAGGCCTTTTTCGGCGCCTAAAGGCCCAACATCTCATCGGATCGACCCTGACTATCCGTACAGCACCCCCTGTCTACTCTACCGCGCCTCAACCGAATGCCTTGGCCCCTTGGCCCGGCTAAGACTAATGGGAAATCTTCTTGCCAGCATCGAAGTACTGTAGCATACTATACATAACAGGATCATGGTCAATGCGGACAAGGTGAGCGCCTCCCGGAGCTGGAGTATGCCAGAACAGAGGTACACAGACATCTAACAGCACCACTATGCCTGGCACGCTGGAGCTGTGGTCACAGGTCTCAGGCAACATCTAAACAGTATACGGAGTATGATACTCGGTACGTCATTATTATCGCCGCTTGGTGCTCCGGTGGCACTGGTGGGTACCTAACCTCAGACACTGGGTGCCTACCCGGTACTACGAGTACCTAATACCTAGCACCTAATACCTACAGGTGCCTAGCAGTCCTCCGTGGTCTCCGTGGGCTCCGTAGGCTAAGACTCCGTAGGCCCCTAAGCCCAAGGCTCGTAGGCTGTGCTGGCACCCCTGGATGGAGTATCCGTACAGTAATGTGGAATTATTCACTGAGACAGATCTTTTCATTGACGTCGTTCTCACGTGCATCTGTGGTGTCTGCATCTTTCCACCCTGCCGTCCATCTTCATCATTATCTTCATTTGATCTCATCGCCGTCTAGATCAGCTTCACGTGTGGTGTGCAGTCCCCATGTTTATACCGCAGTGCTTCTTGGATATACCCTTATAATCATCTTTCCTTCGGACTGGCCTGTCGCAGGTCTGGAGGCTGTGGTGACCCGGCCACTCATCCATAGGCCACCACCACCGTTAATATCACTACCCCATCAACACCACCACCACCACCACCATGCATATAATACGCCTCCTCCTCGCGGCCAGCCTCGTCTTCTACGCCTCTGCCCAAACCACCGACTCTTCACAGACCGACTCAGCCAGCGCCAGCGCCACTGCCACTGCTGCCGACTACGCCACTAGCGGGATCAGCTATGCCGACGACAGCAGCACCATCACTCTCTCCAACTCTGCCACCATATCCGACATCTCCTCTGCCATGGCTACAGCAAATGCTACCGCTGCAGCCTCGAGTTCAGCCTCAGGAAACGGCACAAGATCGAGTTCCAGTCCAACCCAGACCCTCCTCGTCGGGACTGCCCAGACGACCACAACGCTGAACGGGACCGTAACCGGGACTGCGACGAGGAATACCACCGCTTCCAGCACCACCACCTCTATCCAACCCACCAACACCGTGCCTTGCAATGGCCACCCTGATTTCTGTCAACGGAAATTCAGCAACATCACCTACGTCGCCGCCCACAACAGCCCCTTCGTCCGCCAAGGAAACCTCGCCGCCAACCAGCAGCTCGACGTCGAGAGCCAACTCAACGACGGTATCCGAATGTGTAAGGCTGCCAGGCAACTCTTCTCGCCCAAGCCCTCCATTTGACTTTGACTGGCCACGTGTTCTGATTCTGACTTGTGTATAGTACAATTCCAAACCCATCTGGTTAATGGCACCATGTACCTCTGCCACACGTCTTGCGAGCTCCTCAACGCCGGCACGTTGGAAGACTACCTTAGCACCGTGACCAAGTGGTTGCGTGCCCATCCGTACGACGTGGTCACGGTGTTGATGGGCAACGACGATGTCGTCGATCCGCACAATTACACCAGCCCGGTCATCGCATCAGGCCTGATTGACTTTGTCTACACCCCGCCCACAGTGCCCATGCCACTGGACTCGTGGCCCACCCTGGCCGAAATGATCTTTGGCAACCACCGCGCCGTCGTCATGCTCGACTACCAAGCCAACCAGACCGCCATTCCGTGGCTGCTCGATGAATTCTCCCAGATGTGGGAGACGCCGTTTTCCCCCACCGATCGAGCCTTTCCCTGCACGGCCGACCGCCCGCCCGACCGTCCGCGAGAGAACCGCCTCGATCGCATGTACATGGCCAACCACAATCTCAACCTCCAAGTTGATCTGGCGGGCATTAGTCTGCTGGTGCCGTTCTTCCCGTTGTTGAACGAGACCAATGCCATTACAGGCTACGGCTCCGCGGGCGTCGCCGTGTCGAACTGTACGGAGATGTGGACTCGCCCGCCGAATTTCTTGTTGGTCGATTACTACAACATCGGCAGCTTCAATGGGAGTATTTTCCAGGTCGCCGCCGACGCCAATAATGTCACCTATAACCGTGACTCGTGCTGCGGGACGGCAGGGACACAGAGTGCGGCTGCCACCAACAGACTGAGACTGAGTGGGGGAATAGATACAAAGATGGTGTTTGGTCTCATTGTTGGTTTGGTTTGGTTTCTTGTCTAGCTACACTCACCTAAACAGTGGTTCAAGATGCTATAGCCTGTGCCTATCAGTTGTTCGGGCTACTCACCTAGACAGTGGTTCAAGATGCTATAGCCTGTGCCTATCAGTTGTTTGAGCTACTCACCTAGACAGTGGTTCAAAGATACGCAAGATACGATGGACTTGGCAACGGCGAGGCGAGGCGAGTTGTTGGACCGGATTGTGCTGGACTGGAATGCTAATGCTAATGCTCTGCTCTGCAGTGCAGTGCGGTGCGCTACACGCACCTCTCCTACCGAATATGTGGCATGGGCGAGTTCTTGGACTTGGATCTGATATGGATCTGATATCTGCCCAGAGCTCGTGCAGCGCAACGTTCACTCATGGTCAGAGACTTTACTGGCATTAGTGGCAGGATAGAGGGGATTCGATTCGATTCGAACTGATTCTGGGTTGGCATGTGGTTACGTACTATGATGGTGTTGATGTTGATGTTGTTTTTAGCATTGAGACGGATTTCCATTCGCATCCGCCTCAGCGCCCGGCGTCAGTTGATCTGGTCTGGTCTTTTCTCAGGGACCAGACGTGGCTAGGATGGTTCATGATATGATAGGATATAGTATATTATAGTATAGGATAATACGATAGATTCAGGTCTAGGTTCACAGTACCTATGCATATTGTATACTACATATACTGTATATATACGAGCGAATCAGGATAATGATAATGATATTGATAACTTATATATATATATATACAGTATACTCCGTACTCGAGAATATTAATATTATTTGACCAGAGGAGGCGGAGGCGGAGGCGTGTGGCTCGCCCATCACAGAGTTGGAGGTTTGCGCTCATCTAACATAGATTCTCAATCACAAACTCTCAATCAGACTCTCAATCAGACTCTCAATCAGACTCTCAATCATAGACTCTCAATCATAGATTCTTGATCATAGATTCTCAATCATAGACTCTTAATCATAGATTCTCGATCATAGACTCTCAATCATACTCTCTCAATCACAAACTCTCGATCGCAGACTCTCAACCACAAACTCTCGATCGCAGACTCTCAACCACAAACTCTCGATCGCAGACTCTCAACCACAAACTCTCGATCGCAGACTCTCAACCACAGAAGATGGTGTTGTTGTAATCGGCGAGATAGTAGTAGTAGTGGTGATGTTGGTAGTGGTAGTGTTGGTGGTGGTGATGTTGGCGGTGGTACTTGTTCTTGTCGTCGTCACCACTACGACTGCCCTCGTCGTAGGCGTCGGTGTTGGTATGGGTGTGGGTGTTAGTACAGCAGACTCTTCATCAGACACAGACACAGAACCAGAATCAGAATCAGAATCGGAGAGTTGACTTGAAGAACGCGAGTAAAGAAGAACGCGAGTAAAGAAGAACGCGAGTAAAGAAGAACGCGAGTAAAGAAGAACGCGAGTAAAGAAGAACGCGAGTAA